CCCCACACACACGGTTCGCACGCCTCACCGTCGTAATACCCCTGCTCCCGGACACCAGGACACCAGAAAACCATGGCTGTAATATTAAATATCCCCCTAGTATATATAAGTATTCCTTTCTAACTTTATACCTTATTAGACTATTTAATACTTATAATAGTAATTCTAAATATTACCCCCTTAAAAAAGCTAGATAGTAGGCCTTACCTATAAGATAAATAAGTACTAAAATTTATTAAATATCTTAAAGATAATATATAAATACTATAGGATAATAACTATAAGATAGTAATAGGTCTTAAAGTACTAGTAAATAACCTAGTAAAAGCGCTAGACTTAGCTCTAAAGGTATATAGGACCCTCTTAAAGAAAGAATAAAAAGGATCCTTATAGTAGAATAAGGAATATTAAAACTCCTACTAGTAGATAGCTAAGGAGATATAGAAGGCTATATTAATAGTAGAAAGGTTAAAGAAAGAGTTCTAGTAAACTATAAGATAAGTAAAAGTATTATTTAATAGGAAGCTAGTTAAAAGTATTAAGGATAATAAGGCTCTTTATAGGGTAATAAACTAGTATAAGATAATATTATAGTTCTAATTACCCCTAATAAAGTATAAAAAAGTAATATACTTTAAGTTAAAGGAATAGGTAGAGTGCCTCTAGAAAGCCCTACTAGAAAGGAGGTTATAAGAAGAAGATATACTAGAAAATATACTAATATATATAAAATAATTAATCCTATAGAAAGAAGAAATACTAATTAAAGAGATTTAGAATACCCTAATCTTAATAGGTAATACCTTATTAGGGGTAGATAGGATTATAGTTAAGATACTCTAAGCTATATAGCTAGTCCTATAAGAACTAATTACTAAACTCTTTTATAGCTACTTAATAATAGGCTATTATCTATTAATCTTCTAATAAGTAGATATAGTAATAATCTTAAAACTAGATAAAGATAACTAACTAGTTAAAAGGTAGTAACTAATATTACTTCTATTATACCTAGGTAAAGGTATTAAATAGCTACTAGTAAGGTAAATAGCCTAGGTATACCTCTAATATAATATTCTCCCTCTAGTACTTATAGGAGCCCTACTAAAGTAATCCTTAATAGATATAGTAAGGGTACTAATTTATAATATTAAACTAGCTTTAATAAGTAAAAAGAATATAATCTTCTTTATATTTAATATATAAGAGGCCTTTAATATAGTCTAGCTTTACTAGCTACTACTTATACTTTAATAGTAAAGATAGGTAGCTAATATTATCTCTTAAATAGGCTCCTTCCTTATAGGTAGGAAGGTATAAGTCTATATTAATAACTACTAAGGAAGTATAGTAAAGCTAGTCTATAGTCTTTTATAAGGCTCTTTAATTTTACTAATTCTCTTCCTCCTTAGTATAGAATACCTATATATAAAAGCCTATTACTATAGGTATATAGATAATAAAGAAGTCTTTACTATAGGATAGAACTAATAAGATCTTATAGCTTAAGCTTAAGAGAAACTTAATAAGGTAATTAAGGTAGCTAAGGATAGTAGAGTAACCCTAGACCCTTATAAGATAGAAGCTATTCTCTTCTTATAAAAAGGGAAGAATATATAAATACCTTTTACTATAGTAAATATATAGTACCTATAAAGAGAGAAATAAAATAGCTTAAGGTATACCTAGATACCTCTTTATTCTTTAAAATATATATTAAAGAATAGACTAAGAAGGCTAAGATACTTATAAGATATATCTATAGGCTTAGCTAAGTGCTTTAAGGTATCCTACTTATCTTTATAAGGTAGGCTATCTATATAATAGTAATCCTAAAGCTCCTCTTTAGGGCGGAACTATAGTATACTAGTAGCTTAAAGCTATTATATAAGAAAAACTAAGATAAGACCTATAAGTAAGTCTATATAGGACTCCTTAAGTAGCTAAATAAAATATAGAAGTATATAACTCTAGTAATAAAGGGATATATCTTAGCCTAAAAAACTATACTAGTTACTACCTTATAATAAGAGTTAAGCACCCTTTTAGTATACCTCCTTCTTAATAAGGTAAAAGATTACTATAGACTATACCTAAGGTTACTTAATAAAAAGTACCTATTAGTTTATAAAATTAAAGGGTTTAAGATAAAGAATAGGGTAACTAGCCTAAGATAATAATAATAGTTAATATTAGTAGTTACTATATATAAAAGTATACCTATATTTAAAAGACTACTATTATAACCCCTAGTATACCTTCTAAAGGAATTATACCTAAATAAAGCTATTAAGACTAAGTATTTTTAATAATAGCTTAAAATAAGGATAAATTACTATTTTACTATCTTCTTAGATAGCTTAATAGTAAAGAATAGTAAAGTAAGAATAGGCTATACCCTCTTTTAAAAGGTAACTAACTATATTTACTAGGGTAAAAGACTAATACCCCTTAGTAAGGTCTTTAATATAGAAGTTAAAGGAGTAAGGTATAGACTTTAAATAGCTATATAATACTTTATACTATAAATTAATAAGATTATAATCTACCTTAATAATATAGTAGTAATATTAAGCCTAAGGGGGGGTATTTTTACCTCCTCCTATAGCTTAATTATAGAATTCTAGGTTTTAGCTTAGTCTTCTAATACTTAAGTTAGTATTTACTAGGTACTAAGGTATTAAAGAATACTAGATAATAAGCTTATAGACTATCTTATAAAAGAAGGCTTAGCTATAAGGCCCCTAGTTAACTAGACTTTAATATAAAGTTATATAAAAAGAATCCTTACTAATAATACTATTAAAAGGCTTAAGGCCTAGTAGAATAATAACTAATATAATAAGTACTAGCCTTTATAATTTCTAATAAAAGACTACCCTAACCTAAAGCTTAAAGTACTAATCTACCTAGAGCTTTACTATCTCCTTATAGCTAAGACTAGCTATAGGGACTTTATACTATACTATAAGTAATTCTATTACCTTAATATAATACTTATATATAGCTATAATAAAAGAAAGTTACTAAGGTATATCTTCTTTTATAAAAAGATATAGGGAAGGATAGTACCTTTATAGTTTAGCTAGTACTAGTATATTAATAATACTATAGGTACTAGTTAGCCTAAGTTTATATAGCTAGCCTAGAAGACCTTATTTTTTAGTAAGATTTACCTAAGATAGCTATACTTATACTCCTTCTTATATCCTCCCCTACCTAGGTTACTAGCCTCTAAGTAGCCTTTTATTATTAACCCTATAATAAACTAGTAAGAGCCTTATAGAGGCCTATTAGATAGATTTTAATTAGAATTATTTATAAAATTTAGGTTTAGTTTTAAGGTCCCTATAGGCGCTATTTACCCTTTTTAGGGATTCCTACTGGCGTTAATTAGTAATAATAATAATAATAATAATCCTTTCTAACCTATATGCTAGCGGCGGCGGCCTGCAACATCAGCTGCTTCTCCTCAGCAGACAGGTTCAGGATCGCTTCCTCATTTCCAATGACATCCTTCAGGTACAGCTGCTCTGCGGTTGGGGGCTTTGGCGAAGGAACTTCCTCGAGTATCATCCCTATATTAATGATCCCGGAGGTTGCTCTTTCCACAAAGTCGGGCGTTTCAGATTCAGGAACATGGTTCATGTAGTAGCTCAGAATGGACGCCAAGCTATCGCGGGCTCGCTGCGCAACGTCGCTCTGTCGGTCAGACATGGTAAAGTGTAGAAGTACTGATGCGCGCACATGCCATATATTAGTACGGTTGTATAATGGTTGTATAGATGGACTCTGTCAGATCAATGAACCTTACCTGAACAGCGCGTGGGAGAAAAGCTTGCAAAATGACGTTGGATAAAGGTTTGAAGATGCTGGGCTCAGAACAGGAGCGGGCATCCTTCAAGTACCATTGTTCCTCCAAGAACGTCTGCCTGATGTCTCGAGATCCAGGCTGGCGGCCTGTCACACACAACACCTACACGAAGGCTGCATTCTGACGTGGTCACGCTCCAGTGTAGACTGGTTCTGTCGCGTTGCACCTTACTGGCATGAATTACCTGAAGTACTCTTCAACGTTGCACACGACGGTTGCCTACGAGGAGTGCCTACCTTTGATTGGAGTAGCCCCTCGTTGCCACGCCCGTCGATATCCACGTTTTTTTCTACCTTGAAAAGATGGCTATGTGATGTGATGCACGTTTGATTGGCAGTGGCAATTCTTGACCTGACCACTCCCAGGTTATTAGGTGGCTTAGCGGCGCGGAGGGAAACACTCAAGAGACGCAGGCACGGATTTTAGAGTGACCAAATAGTATACAACAAAATGGCTAAAGCAAAAGCGTAGAGAATTGATTAGAGAGTGTAGCGGCAGTCTCTCTATGATTTTATGGTTTTTATGTAATTCATCATCTTAGAGTTTTAGCTTGGCCAAAAACACGTCGCCAAACGCCACAATGTCGCCAGCGCCAGCCACAGCCGTGCCCACTTTTAGCCGGGAATTTTTGTTCGCTAAGTGACACGAAGTGACAGACAGCCATGTACTCTGTACCGCCCCTTTTTTATCCAGGTCGTAGATCCCGCTACAATGAGTGAGTCTAAAAGGGCGAGGAAATTCTGCCGCCAGCTTTATTGACGTATGACTCATTTGAGGGGGGAGTGAAGTGGATTGAGGGCTGCCGCTAGGCCTCAAGGCAGCCGTCTTCAAGAGTCTGTATGTGTGTGTGTTGCAGCTCATGTTGAAGGTACTTCTACTTCTCTGTGAATCACACCTCGCGAGGTACAAGGTACCTGGTACCTACCTAGTTGACTAGTAGTGCCAACACCAAGTCGCGCCGGGTTAGGAGGGTAACGAGAATGCTATGAGAAAAGAAAGGATCATGACAAGTTCACGCTTTATTTGAACCCTGTAAAAGGTCTATTTATCTTGCCCTTATTGGTATAGAAACGATCCAATCCCGGCAACTGCAGACTGCGTCTAAGGAAACATACCACTGTGAGAATCATAATTCCACTAGTTCATCGATTGTGTAGTGCACGTCCAACGCTGGCGCGTTGACTTGCAGCATTTTCTCCTGCACCAGATTTTCCATTCTGAGTTTTTCATCAGGGTCCAAAAGACTAATTCGCTGCTCGATATTGGTAAATGTGCCAAAGAATTTTGCATCAATAAACGTCCAATAGATCTCGTCGAATAGGGCACTATATCGTGAAGCCAGGCAAACCCAGAATAGCCCGGATTCAACGGAATTCTCCATGATGGTTGAAAGACGTCCAGATTCCGACAAAGCACCCTTTCGGATTTTTTCCGTTTCGCATTCCTTTAGAGCCTGGATAAAAACTTGAAACTTTGGTGTGTAGCGGACCAGAAACTCGTTCAAATCTTGGTCCCAACACTCAGGAGCCTCAAGCAGCAGCCACCAAGGCGCGGCGTAGGTGAACTCTGCAGGAGCAGCGTACGTAAATTCCCAGTCAACAACGCCCACGACTGCAAGCCTCGATGGGTCAACAATGACATTCCTTGGTGACAGGTCGTCGCAAAACAGTCGGAAGGGCCCTTTACATTCTTCATCGCAGAGTTTTCGAGACACTCGGCGAAACAGGCTTCGGGCGACGTATTTCTTTCGGCAATCGGCCTCGTCCACGATTGCATCATTCTTCTGATGTTCAAGTTGCTCCATATGGTGGCGGGCCAATTCTTCAAAGTAGTCGCCGGCACTCTCAAACGTCGAATGCTTGAAAACAGAGAGAGGGATGTTGGAGAACTGCGAAATTCGATTCATGTTGAATGTGACGGGCCGCTTTTGTACCACGAAAGAACCATCAGTATTCTGCCCAAGGGCACCAATCAATGGGAACTCAAGCTTCGATAGTTCCAGCAGAATGTCCGCCATGCCAACATAAGCCCTTTGGAGCACTCTAGGATGCAGGCCGGGCCGCAACGAAATTTGGTCTTGAGCAGGATCACGAAGATAGTCACTCATCAAATTGCCTGCAATATACTCCATGACAACATACGGCCCATATTCGCTTGTTCCATGACCAAATACCTTGGGCACTCGGATTGGGCTGTGAGCTGCCAAGTAGCGCATGACCACGACCTCGTCCTCGACTTTCTCGCGGCGGGCAAGAACTCTTCCGATGGCGGTAAATCGAACGACCACACGATCACCATTCTCGAGATTGATTAGGTAACAGACATTGAAGGCGCCATTGCCGAGCAGCTTCCCGGTCGGTGCTGATTGTCTGCAGTGGTGTACTGCGAGATAGCCTGCATAGTGCACAGGGTTGTTTTCGACGAGTAACTTAAGCCAGACGGCGAACCGGTGGTCCGCCCTGTTTTTGGCTAAACAATCAATGTCCATGGTAGCAGCGGACAAATTCGTTTGGATACGAGATCAGTTATCAATTAGGAGATCAATTAGGAGATCGCCCTCATGGACGCGGGGCTTTCTAAAGGGGCAGCAATCGTCCCCACACAGTATAATTACTTCCCAGCAAGCCTGCGCACTGTTCCACACATGTTGAGAATTTGAGACGAAAATAGTGCAAGTCGAAACAGTGTCCCCAACAAAAGGAACCTCGATGCGAAATGCAGAAAGTGCCGAAACCGGCGAGTGTCTCCTGGTTGAAGGATGGGTGGGGTTACGATAATGCCCGGCTTTGATCTAATCACATTCATCTAATCAATCAATCGTGGCATTGACCCAAAGCTGAAAATATGCCAAGGTCAAGGTAGCATCATGTGTAAGAGACGGTAGCCAATACGACGACAACACGATCAGATCAACTTCTCAAAGTAGAAAAAAGCCGAGATTCGTTCCACTGGCGTCAGAAAGGGCCCCAGACTCGCTTCCTTCTCGTTGTATTAGACTAGAAATACTGCCACTTTTCTTCTCTAGACATGCCCACGTCACTCAACCCTCATTTCATCAACAACCATTCAACACTCTCTGCAATGGAGCCCCAACTAGTCCAACTCGGCGACGACTTCCCCTTCTACGTCGCCAGCTACAACGGCGTTCCGAGCGGCGAGTACGAAGCGCGCTTCATCTACAAGGAGATCTTTGGCGACCACTGCTACGACGTGGCGCAGCTGTCGGACCCGCGGCTCATCATCGACGTGGGCGCCAACATTGGCCTCTTTTCCGTGTACATGAAGCGCAAGCACCCCGGCTGCCAGCTGCTCGCCTTTGAGCCGGCGCCTGACACCTTTGCCGTGCTGACAGCCAACGTGGGGCTGCACGCGCCCGGCGGCGTCGAGACGCGGCAGTGCGCCCTCGGGCCCGCCCCCGGCACCGGCGCCCTCACCTTCTTCCCGAACCTGCCGGGCAACTCGACGCTGGTGCCCGACGAGAAGCGGCGGTTCCAGGCGCTGCTCGGCGCCGAGGTCGGCACCAACTTCACCGACAAGATGTTTGCCGACGCCGGCAGCGTCGACGTCGCCGTCCGCCGCCTGTCGGACGTGCTGGACGAGCGTGGCGACTTTGACGCTATTGACCTGCTCAAGATCGACGTCGAGGGCGCCGAGCTGGGCGTGCTGAAAGGCCTTAGTGAGGCGCACTGGGACAAGGTCCGCAATGTCGTGCTCGAGACGTGCGATTTGAGCAGCGAGCGGGAGGAGCTGACGCAGCTGCTCGAGGAAAAGGGTTTCTCTTTGGAGAGCACCAAGGCCGATTGGAGTCCCAAGGGAGCGCAGTTCTACACCATCATCGCCAGGCGCGCAAAATAGACAAGCTAGAGAAAATATGAGTTTTTGATCTTGTGCAGACCTTTGATCACAAAAGTGGTGAACAGAGGTATGGTGTATAGACCTCTACTTGCAAAGTACTGCTTTTGAAACAGCCCTCACAACAGTCTGCAGCTATCCAAACAGATCAGCTTGTCCAACTGCTCGCACTTTTTCTCGGCACTCGTATGACCCCTCGCTACCTGCCTATATCCATCACTCTCTCTGGTCACTTGTCGCTCAAACATGCCAAGTCAGTTCCCTCATTAGCGCTGCTTGCTCATCTTGTACGGCTGAGCAATTGCGCCTCCTGCCTGCAGCCCAGCCCAAAGAGCCTATTCTTTCCGAAATAAATCCCTCACGCCTTCGGCTAGCCTTGCCAACCCCAGACCAGGTTCTTGGATGGCTTGCGCCTCTGTAGCATCTTATCGATCTGATAACGAGGCGACATGTCAGCCGGCCCGTCTGTGCACTTGCTTCCGACGCCGATCCTGCAACTAGTACCCGGAATGCGTGAATAAACTACTGCTGAAACTGTGATCGACAGAGGTGAGAATATTGCACTGCTTCAACTAGCAAAGTCTAATTGAAGGTATGCTCTGATGGGTGGATTGCGCTTCGCCAATTGCTTCCATCGCGGTGAGCATCTCCGCATTTGCAATGTCATGTTTTGACACTCTATAAAATTGCTAGCAGAGGGAAAAGGAGAGTGGATTTGGTCGGATGACAGTTTAGAGATCTACAGGTGTCAAGATACCGCCACGCGCTGTTTCAAACTGTGTGATTCTCTGACATTCCCGTGGCAGGGCCAAGCAGTTCCGCATGGTTCTGTGGACAGCGGATGGGGCATCTCGACGGGAGCACTCGGAGATGTAGCCTTGTCCTTGAGATTTTCCAACGCCCGCAAGCTATAGGGCTGCAGGCAGCAATCAAGAGTTACACGGCTGAGCGTGGCAGATGGCGTGCTGGAGGATGGCAAGTCGAGCTTACCAAGTACCGGTCGCAGGCGCACAGCATATCGGGGCAGCCTCTACAATTAAAATCCAAGAATAGGAATATAATATAAGCGTCTAGTATGGTATACCATCATGCACGGCATTGATCAGCGCAGCATGCTGCAGCAACGAAAATGTAGATCTCAGAATGAAACGGCACGCAGACGGGAAAGAAACCGAATGCCGAGATTAACGAAAGGACCTTTCTTCTTCTCCAAACAGCCCAACGAGTCCAAGGACCCTGCCGACATGTCGCGGTTCGCCTAGGATATCGAGAAGCGCGCGTGGCGGGAGTTTGTGACTATCTTGAAGAAGAAGAGAAAGGAAGAAAAAGCCAGAAAAAAAATGCAGAGACTCACCTCCAGCAGCAGTGGGGCCGGTTTCTGTTGCACGTGAGGGCTCACGTGGGACATCTCCGCTGTGAACAGTCCGTGTTACCTGATTGGATTAAACTAATTTATTCAACCTTGCGCTGTACTAACTAAGTCAACTAAAGTGGTGGTGAAGTTGCCCGGAATATTACAACAGGGTACGGGACACGTCACACGTTTGCAACATGACGACTCCATCTAGCTAGAAGCCAGGTGTCCAACAGGGCTCATTGGAAGATTTTTTATTTATTCTTTTAGAAAAAAAGGGAGAGAGGGGGGGGGGAGAGGGGGGTTGCCTTTTTAGCCAAGACTGCATACAACGGCGGTGATTTCTAGTAGCCAAGTCCAGAAACAGGCCCCGCGCGCACAAGGTACCCGAGCGAGGCGTAATTCTCCGTGCTAGCTCGCTTATTAACCCTGTGCCTGTAATGCGGGCTTGCTGACCTGAAGGAAAAATTACTGGCGTTCTGATCTGCTTGTGTATACCGTAGATTGGGGCAGGAATAGGTCTACGAAGCGCTCACCGGGGTTGGCACGTTGAAGAATGCGTGCGTAATCACATTTCCTGTATCAGCGCATATAAGCAATCTAAATTGAACAAAAGAAATCAGCTCTAGTGGGTATCATAGTAAAAAAAGCACAAAAAAACGCCGCATTGGGATGGCTTTCCTTTCGCCTCATCCCGCCCTATCCAACAAAGTTGTAGTTATGTACTCGTATAAATCTCTCTCCAAAAAAAAAAAAAAAAAAAAAAAAAAAATAAGCCGAGAGAGTGCATCCAAACAAGGCCACACTGATTCAGCTCGATTCCTCCTCCGGACCAGTCTCGGCATTTCCGTTCTCCGCGGCCGGCGATACGCTGGGCGCCGTCAGCGGAAGCGGCGCCGTCAGCGGAAGCGGCGCCGTCATCACTGTATAGATGGATCTGCCCGGGCTGTACAAAACCCTGCGCATGTACTCGTTCAACGAGATGAGGCCGGCCCGTTCAGCGTACAGCGGCGTCAGCGGAACGTAGCACGCGCCGCGCGTCAGGCTAGGCAGCGAACGGGCCTGGTCCTCCACCCCGGGCGCGACATACAGCGTGTCCGGCGTGGCGACGAGCGCGGGCATGCTAAGGTCCGCGGGCGCCGCCCGGCACTCGCGCCGCCACTGCAGGTACTTGTACAGGCTGGTCCATGGAGCGTTGCTGGGGGTCAGCCGCGGGTAGGCCTTGTACGGGGGCTCGAGGCGCCAGCCGCCGGCGAGGGCGGGCGACCACGGCGGGCGCGTCGTGGCGCCCCAGGGCATGCGCTCCGCGATGAACGTGTGCATGAGGTTGCGGAAGCCGATAATCTCCCGCACGTCCGGGTCCTCGATGAGCGGCCACGTATGGGTCGGTAGCGGAAACGGATCGGCCGCTGCAGCCGCGGGGCCCATCGGCTGCTGCTGCTGCGCCGGGTACTCGATGGCGCGCGGGACAGGCCATGCGGCGTGGGGGTTGACGCCGACCACGGCCAGCAAGTGGACGAAGAGCGCCGCCGCCGTCTTCTGCCGCTCGACCAGAGACAACTGCCTGGGGTCCTTGACGTCGATCCACATATACGGGAGATACGGGTAATACTGTTTGCATGGCAGCCGCGCGGGCAGCGCGCCGCCATGCGGGCAGTGAGACGGCGGCGTGCAAAACTGCCGCGGCAGGACCGTGCCGGGTTGCAACAGGGCCCGGTATTGCAGGTTGAGTGTCTCCAAGTGCTGGCGCACATGCTCGTCGATGGCGGGATACGGGGGCTTCAGGTGGCGCGTCTCAAACGGCGTGTTGTCGAAGGCAGCCCCGTGCCAGTGCATGCCCGGGCCGCTGATGCTGCTGTGCCACTCGATTCGCTGGCACAGCGGACAGGCGGACAGTATGGGGTAGCCTGCTGTCATGCCCGAGGCGAGCAAGCCGCCTGGCGTGTCTATGACCGTTGCGCTCTCGTCAATGTAGGGGTGGAGCTCGGGCTCGAGATGGCGAGGCCAGTACAGGGTCGGCAGCGGAGGCAATGTCTGGAGCACCAATCGATTCGGGCCAAAGTAGAGCTGCAGACAGTCGTTCGTCTCGCTCAGCAGGATGATGAGGTTGAATTGCAGCGCCGCCACGCTTTCATCCGTATCCCATCGTCGCGCCACCAGGTACGGGCTTGCAAACAAGTCGCACTCGTGAGTCCACGCGGCCCCTTGTGGTGATGAGGGTGCTTTGAACCAGGCTATGCGCCTGCATCGGGAGCAGACTCCGAGAAAAGGAAAGCCCTTGATCTGGCTGCTGTGTGAAAATGGATTGATCGCCGCTGAGGAGGAACTGCTGGCGCCAGGTGCAGAGTCGGTGTTGTTGGTACTAGATTCGCTATCGAGTGCCATAGTTTCGAAGTATGTAGGTCTCTTTGTTTTTCAGTGTAATCAATTGTCAAGGGAAAAGATTATGGTCGCCAAAAACAGTTCGTCAACTTGGAATGGGCGAGCAGAGAGTCGGAGGAGGATTTTGGTAGCCAAGGAACGTTGGTCGAATGGTCCGTCACCGAGGGGTGGGTCACCTATTTAATAGACTGCTTAGAATATAATCAGTAGAGCAAATTATATAATCAGTAGGGAAAATAATATAATAAGCATATAAAAGCTTTCTGTGACCAAGAGTATAGCGCCATTATCGTGGTCATGTACCAGCATGCCGCTAACACAAAGTGTAAAGCTAACCGCGTCGTCCGTGTGCACACCATCAAGATCCGCGCGGATGGAAGTCTTTGCCAGGTCGAGAACATTGCTTCTGCTATGCACGCGAAAATTCAGGTGAGCGTAGTTGGATACATTTTGATTGGAGAAAATGTTTTTCTTGTTTTTTTGGACGTACATTCTATGTTTATATGATTTTCCCACCCAGTCCCGGAGAGCAGGCACCCAACTGCCTCGGGGCCATTCTATCGGTTTTATGCACCAAAACGCCATCCGTGGAAACCCAAAGTAGTTCGTAAATCTAAAAGAAATCGCTACACATATTCAAGTCAGAGGAGCGACTGGCAATGAATAAAAGCACAGCCCAAAGGGTGACACTCTAAAAAAGGCTGGCGTCCCCGGTTCCGTTGGCGCCATCCTGCTTGTGGGTCATGGTCTTGACCACCGTGTCAAAGCAGCCTGAGCTAGCGGCGACAAAACCCAAGAGAGCAGGTGACGGGCTAAGAACCTTGCTAGTGAGTTCCGGATGAGCTTGAAGGCTAGAAACAAGTTAGCGGAGTTATCTTCCACGGTGTCTGCTTGGCTCATACCCAACGAAGAAGGGGTGATCCTTGATCTCAATTGTCTCGACACGCTCGCCCTTGTCGTCCATAGAAGTGAGGCTCAAACCAGCAGCATCCAGCTTCTCAATATACTCGGGATTAACCTCGTAGCGATGACGGTGACGCTCCTCGACAACCTCGGCGCCGCCATACATGGCACGCAGTTTGCTCCATTCCGTTCCAGGCTTGAAGTGCGAAGTACGAGTACCCAGTCGCATTGTCCCACCCATTTTCCTGCAGTCACGTTAGTACACGCCAGTGAGCTTGTTACAGGCGGTCCGACTTACTCCTTGGAGCCCTCTGGCATAAAAATAACGACCTTGTTATCCGCCTCTGCGGACATTTCTTCCGAAGTGGCATCGCTAATACCCATAACATGGCGAGCAAATTCCATGACAGCAACCTGTAGACCAAGACAGATTCCAAGGAAGGGTATTTTGCGCTCGCGGGCGTATTTGGTGGCTTCAACCATACCATCGACACCGCGAGAGCCAAATCCACCAGGCACAATGATGCCCTGGGCTTCGCAAATAGCCTTCCAGGCGTTGTGGAACTTGGTGGGATCTTTCTGCTGCATGTCCTTCTCGAGATGTTCAGAGTCAACCGAGACGAGGTTGAGCTTGCGACCGCAGCGCATGGTGGAATGCTCTAGGGCCTTGTGCACACTGAGGTAGGCGTCATCAAAAGAGACGTATTTTCCGACCAGAACGATGTTGACCCGCGGCAAGTGGCGTTCAGGCGTGACCGTCCTCTTCCACAAGTCCCAGAGAGCTTGGCCCTTGTGGACCATAGACGGGGGCACGGTCAATTTATCTAGCGCAAGGCCGCTCTGCAGAAGCTGCAGAAGACCTTGCTCCTGGAGCAGCAGAGGAACTTGGTAGATGGTCTCCATATCACGAACACCAATGACCTGCTCATATTCAACTTGGCAGCTGTTGGCGATCTTCTTGATGGTGGCATCATCGAGAGAACGTTCGCAACGGCAGGCGATCTATCAAGAGTCAGTAACGCATATAGTATATGCATGAATTAGCCTACCATGTCAGGGATCAGACCAGCGCTACGCATTTGTCTAATAGCATGCTGAGTAGGCTTTGTCTTCTCTTCGCTGTTGATGATGGGGACATATGAAACGGAAATGTTGAAAAAGTTCTCGCGGCCAAGCTTGTGTCTCAGCTGAACGAGAGCCTCTGTAAATGGACCGGATTCAAGATCACTACACATTGTTAGTACCTCCAGACCTGCTTGGTGAATAAGATACATACCCAACGGTACCGCCCTATTGAAGCAGAGTCAGACTACATCACGTCTACTACACTTATGCGGCCGATTTAAAACTTACGAGTTCAACTAATTACAGTAAGCAAATGATCACATAGCACTTCTACACATGACTTACCGATGCACACGTCGGGAGCCTTGCCCGAGTCGTCAACGGGGGTGTTGGCGACGCGTTCGATTCCTTCTTGGATGGCGTCTGTGATGTGAGGAACGACCTGAACAGCTAGAAGCGCCAGGTTAGCTTCATTGGCAAGCCTGGATCGGCTGACAAAGCTTACTCTTTCCCAAGTAGTCGCCACGGCGTTCCTTCTCCTGCGTATTGTTAGCTGTCGGTCGCAAGATTCAGCCATTGATCGATCGAGCGTACAATAACGTGGGCGTAGATCTTTCCAGTCGTCATGTTGCTTTCACGGCTCAAGCGAATGCCAAGATAACTGCTATGCGTTAGCAGTGTCGATCGCTGTCGAGGGTGACGGCGCAACATGCCGTTCGTAGTTGCCGAGATCCAGGTCGGTTTCTGCCACGAGTTTAGAAAAAAAGCCATACATCACTGCCTGTCGGGAGACTCACCACCGCCATCAGCTAGAACAAAGCACTCTCCATGCCTAACAGTCGGTCAGTGTCGATCAATGGCGTCGCAACTCCTGCCAGACATACTCGAGAGGATTGAGCAGTCCGGCGTCTGTGTTCAGGTAGGGATCGATCTTGAGAGCCTATTTTCTTCCAGTCAGAACCGCGGTCACGCAGACACGCCGAGATGCCGTACCGTGACGCGAAGCCCCATAGTCTTCAGCAAGAGGCCGGCACTACTGGCTGTTGGTTGCCCAATATTAGTGTCGATATGTCAATCGGAATTCGCCGTTCGTACCAATGATTCCTGGTTCACATGTTAGCCTTGTCGCGGGCACGAGACGCCATAAATGAGTGCTGTTGGGGACCTTGCTTCATGCCAAAGTTCCCCGCCATTGCTCGTCGCGTGTGTGAATCAACGGTGAAAAACGTTATCTTACCCTTGCCGACACCGGAGATGACTCCACCATTTACAAGAACAACCTTCATGTTGAATAGAATCGGGTAGGTATCAGAAAGACAGGAAGCTGCCAGAGTAGAAGCAGTTATCGGCGTTTGAATGGCAAAAAAAGTTTTGCCCACCGCGTATCTGGTAAAAATATCCTTGCACGACAAGTAAAGAGGGTCCTAAACCAGCGGCACCCACCGCGTTGATGACTAAGATAGTCCTGGGTTACCCTACAGCTACGTCGCGTTTACATTTTACGTGAGAAAACGTGCAATCAATAAAGCCGATCGATGGTATTGAGGAAGGATTTACGCTATTTGAGAAGGGTTCGAAGCTGCCGGGTTTTTTTTTTGGAAGCAATGGTGAGCGCGTGGTTTCTCATCAGTGAGGTCATCCTCTTGGGCCATGGAACTCCCCAATAGTGAACACGATCTGTGAAGAATTTTACCCAAGAGTTGTGGAAAAACGGGCAAATTCATACAGATTTACCCGTATTATTTGAGACGTGCTATCCAAGTAGCCACTTTACTGTCAGTGGTGTCAGGCTTCTTTCTGTTTCCGGGTGAGATAATAGTTGAAAACTCGATGTTGAGCCACACTGACTGAGGCGATCAATCAATATTCATGTGCGGTCAAGTACAATAAATTCCAATAGAGGAAGTATTCTCCATTCTTCTCTTCTTATCACAAGTCGATGTACATATACCGCACACAACTCACTGGTGGGCTGGCCGGAGCTTTTATCAAGGGCCTCCAGTAATAAGCCGAGCCAAGTGGCCGTCGCTCGCACGTTGGTTCGATTGCATACCATGTATTTCCTCTTCCGGTAATCTTGCCTCATTTTCTTCATTTATCGAATTTATCTCCGCTTGTATACTCCACAGCCGCCACTGGTTCGTAGCCGCGCAGTGCGGCACCACTTGCAACTGGAATGCGGTCGCCATATCAGCCTAGCAACCACCAGGCCAAGGTGCAGAGCCGCAACAGCGTTTATATAAGTGAGCTGCAACGGTGCTGCCTGGTTCTCCTATTCTATTCATTACACTCTTTTAGCTCGACTTGGTATAAGTTCGAATCACTAGACCTTATTATCGACAACTTTCTACCTCTTTTGTTCCCCCTTTGTCTCCATCTCGCTTACAAGCCTCGACGCCAACCCACGCCCTACCCAATTTTCACGACTTCTTCCCTAGACCATTCTGGGTCAACCTGGTCCTAACCTGTCTTTATTCACCGTTTAATATCATGGTCCTGCCTGAAAAGCTTGTCGGCTTTGGCCTCGGCCTTGGCAATTTATTCTCGCCCACCGACGCTGGTGCGGTCTCGCCCAAGGTCCTGGGGCTGCGCGATCTCCGAGATCTCGCTGGCTCGTCCACCACCGACCTTGTCCGTTTCAGTGGTACACTCAAAGTGGCCCGAGGCATCGTGGAGAACCAGAAGCGCTCCGAGATGATCGAAGTTCCCGTCGGCGGGCTGATGTCTATTCTCGACCGCATCCATGCCCTGGAGAACGAGGTCCAGGACATACTTGATGGCAAATGGGTGAACAAGAACGGCAAGTCTATCGAGCCTTCGGTGGCGGGATCTGCCGCGGGTGGATCGGCCCCTTCCTCGCCTTCTTCTTCCTCTACTGGTCCCTCGTCCGATGACAGCTCGGGCAGTAGCTCCGGTACTGGCGGCTCCAGCGACAACAGCTCTAGCGGCCAAAGCTCTGGTAACAATGGCTCTGGTAGCAACGGCTCTGGAAGCAATGGCTCTGGCAGTGGTAGCTCTGGCAGCAGCAGCTCTGGTAGCAATGGCTCTGGTAGCGATGGCTCTGGAAGCAATGGCTCTGGTAGCAACGGCTCTGGTAGCAATGGCTCTGGTAGCGATGGCTCTGGAAGCAATGGCTCTGGAAGCAATGGCTCTGGTAGCAACGGCTCTGGAAGCAATAGCTCTGGCAGTGGTAGCTCCGGCAGCAGCAGCTCTGGTGGCAATGGCTCTGGTAGCAATGGCTCTGGTAGTGGTAGCTCTGGCAGTGGTAGCACCGGCAGCAGCAGCCCCAGCGGCAGCCCGGGTTCCCACTCCACAGACACCCCGGCTGGCTCAACCCTCCCCGGAAGCTCCCCTTCCTCTACCCCGTCTCCCGCCGGACCATCGAGCGGAAGCAGCAGCGGCGGCCAAGACGACTGCGCCCCCGAGCACCTCCTCTACCGCCTGGGCGGCGGCTCTCTCCAGCGCCGCTCCGTCTCTGTAAGTGAGCACCCCCTCTTCCGCCGTACCACTGACTGCACCCTGGACTCGGTCTCTGGCAGCAGCGGCAGCAAGGCGCTACCCAGCGGCGTCGCCGTCTTCAAGGAGGTCACGTCCTCCGCCGCCACCTCGGCAGCGGGCAGCAGCGCTTCGTCTTCTCCCACCGGCGCCGACGGCGCGCAGAGCAGCGGCGGTCCCGCCGCGGACGAGTCGGCCGGCGCAGTAGCCGGCAAGTCCTCTGCTCCAGCGGCACAGTCGGGTATGCCAAGCGCGGCGAGTGCCGGAAATGGCGCTGGGAACTCGGACACGCTCCGTGTGACGTTGCCTCCGTTTGCCACCACTGCCGGTCTGGGATCAAAGAGCCAGGGCTACTCGTCGGAGAGCGACGGCGAATCGACGATTACTACGACAATGACTTCAACAAGCTACACGACCGTTACGGTTCGTTTCGGCCCGTCCCCCACAAAGGCGGGCTTCAATGGCAAGTATCTCAACAGCACTGCCTCGATCAGCACCCCGGATCTGACCACGACCACTACTTTCCCTGCTCATGGTTCCACCACGATTACTGCCGAAACCGCTTCGGCCTCAAGTCTCGAGTTCCTCAAGTCTCTGAGCAGTTTGCCTCTGTTTCAGAAGCACCCGGCTGCTTCGATCTCGTCAAGTGACTCGTTCTCCACGGGAATTTCTTCTACTGCGACCAGCTACTCCTTCGGCTCGTCCTTTAGTGGAAGCTCGTCTACTGCGACCAGCCACTTCAGCTCGTCTACCCCGACCAGCCAGCTCGACTTCAGCTCGTCCTTTAGCGGAAGCTCGTCTACCAGCCACTTCAGTTCCGGCTCGTTCTCAACTACAAGCTCGTCTACCCCGACTAGCCAGTTCAACTCCGGCTCGTTCTCAAATACAAGCTCGTCTACCCCGACCAGCCACTTCAACCCCGGCTCATTCTCCACTGGAAGCGCCTCTACTCCGACCAGCCTGGTCAACTCCGGCTCGTTCTTCACCGGAAGTTCTTCTGCGACCAGCCGGTTCAACAGCAGCTCGAGCAACCCGCCAAAGACAATCACACCAAGCGCCAGCGGAATCTCGACCGGCAACATCGGTTCTATTTCCGCGCTGCCTCTGAACCAGACAAACGCCACATCTCCCTCTGCGGCCTCAGAGTCCACCACTACGACAAGCATCATCCTCAGCTCCCAGACCAGCAGCCAGTCTCTCCCGGGAAAGAACAGCACATCGACCTCGTCCATGTCCACGATCCCACTCGTCACTGCTTCTCTCCAGCGTGTCTACAGTCTCGCTAGCGCCAACAGCAGCGCCATCGCCGTGGAAAAGCCAGCCATCCCCGGCTCGACCCTCACGACCACTTCGACCATCACGTCCACCGTGTCCATTACCCTCGGCGCCGGCACCGCCGCAGGACCAGCCATTGGGACGATCTCCGCTGGCGGCACGGGAACGGCGCCAGCGGCCACCATTTCTGCGCTTGTCTCCAACGGCACGCTCAAGCGGCGCCAGAGCGGCTTCAAGACGGTTCGCGCCATGGGACGCCGGACGGCGGCGGCGGACGACCAGTGATGGACAAGGGTTGTGGTTTTTGTTCCACGTTGAGTATTCTTATCGGTGTGATTTGATCCGGATCGCCTGCGAATTTCGCTAGCAAGTGTGCATCGGCCCTTGTATTCGTTACCCACCGCTTGCTCGAACCAGACAGACGAATATGGTTATTGTTCTGGGCCTGCGCCGTTTCTTTGGACGTTGTGCTCTACTTTGGACTATTCTTATGCGCTCGCTCATTTTGTTGGAATATTTGGTGGGAGGAATTGAGCTCGGCATTCGGCAAGGGCGCCGCGGTGGCACTAACAGCGACGCCCCAACAACTGGATTGGTTAATCAATGCCACGATGTGCGACTCGGGACTAATTTCGACACGTTTTCTCAGTTCTGAATCAATATACTCCACAAGTGTGGCTGTTCATAAAACAGTTTTCTTTCTTCATGTGACTCCAATGTGAAGTGTTTCCGTAGTGGCTGCAGAGTGTCTTTGACTCAGCGTCGTGTTTGCCTTTGCCAAGAGCCGCTTCAAGACGACGATGATTTTTTTTTCACTATGCATAGTACGCCCAGATATAGAGCGTGGTCTACCCCTTCCCCTCTGTCTACGCCAATACGTAATTCTGTACCGAAAACCCCGCTTGAATGACCCTACTTGATGAGATGCAACGATTATACAGTCTGATATCGCACCAGATCTAGGGACGGACAACATGGCCTCTTCACATGACGGCACACTTCACGACCACTTGATTGACGCCGAAGGCGGCGGCCCGGCGATAGGCGAGAACATTGTACCGCTAGTGCCTCCCACCGAGGCCAAGATTTTGCGTTGGCTCCGATAGCTCAGAGGAGAGACCACGCCGGCCTACTGATAAAACTTTGCGACTTGTAAATACGTCCTCGTCTGGCTCGGCACAATGACGACTTTGGCATACTAATTAGCTCGTTAAGCATGTCAACTTTCCCCGCAGTGTTAACAATAAAAGGACTATATCCCTATATGTGGCGGCGGTGCATCCCGTTATCTGTGGCAAAGAAAAAAAAAAAAAAGTGCGAACGGCCATATATCTATTCATGTGGAGATGGCCATCCATGCAAGCCCTCGCCCTTCCGAAGTGCGGAGGCCAAACAGCAGCGTATTACGTGTTGCGTTTTGATAAGCAAAGCGGGTTGGCGCAGGGAGCCCCCTCCCCTCCCCCCCTCTCCGAGTTATCGGAGTTGAAAATACATGAGCGCCCGGCGCCGTGTGTGTGTTGGCCGGAACGATTCCGGCCAATAGACTCCGCTTTTCAGGCCGGGCAGACTCGGTGTTCTGGTGGGCCGCATGACCAGCGACGGCGCTGAGGCCCCTCCCCCCCTTGTTGTTTTCGCCGGGTTTTAGTGCTTGGCTAGCGAGGAATGGAGTTACCGTCAAGGGGGCCAGTGCGAGGGCGCGAATTGCAGAGCATGGCCCGTCTGATTGCTAATTGCTGTGTGGTGTGGCGAGGGGCCGGGACAGAGTTGCTTGCCGCGCCGTGTTGGCAACGTGGGAGAGAGACAGAGTGAGAGAGAGTTGGCGTTAACCACGCAGTTGCCATATTGTCTTCTTCGCTCTCATGCGGGACAACCTTGTGAATATATCTATTGTTCTGTCGGAGTAACCGGGCGCTTTGGTTCTGCCCGTCGTGGGCGGTCGTGACGACCTCACCATGGACATGGCCTTGCATCTGCCGAGCCGGACCACGCAGTCCAATAAATCTCTGGCTTCATTTTTTTTTTCATTTTTTTTTGCGACCGGGTCTAGAATCTGCGAGGGCTTGGTAGCCTGGGGACAGAGGCAATGCAGGCGTGACCACATTGTTCCCCCGCTCCATGTGGCCGGAATCTGTTCCGGCCACGAAGTACTTAGGCGCGCGAGCGAACCGATCCTTGGTGTTTTGTTTTTCAACCTTTTCTCTTCACTTCAAGAAACTCGCTTCAAGCCCAGCAAACTTGACCTCTGTTTTGAGATTTGTCTGATACTACTTTGAACACTCCATCGCTTTACTTTTATACTTGGTCTTTACTGGCACGACTTACACCAAGTCACTTACACGCCGTCTCACTCACGCACTCTCACACACTCACACACACTACCCTCAATCCTCTCCCAACTTCCACCACTTACATCAACACACACTCCCCAACCACTTACACCACCGCTTACACCAACACTCACAATGGGTTCCATCGGCGCCTCCACCTTCAACGTCCTCGACGACCCTCGTCCCGAGGACACCTCCATGCCCGCCTTCATGGTCTCCACCACGCGCGGCTTCCTGCCCCGCGCGGACCCCGTCGTCACCCTGCCCGCCGAGTTTGCCGCGCTCGAGTCCATCCTGGAGCGCATGCCCGTCAAGACGCTCTCAGGCGCGCCCGGCCTTCTGGCCACCGCCGAGCTCGGCCCCGAGGTCGACAGCGTCTTCCCGGACCTGACGTCCGCCATGGACCTCTACAAGGACAACCTGCCCCTCATGAACGCCCTCTACCGCGACTACTCCTTCCTCGCCTCGGCCTACCTGCTCGAGCCCTGCCACGAGCGCTTCGTCCGCGGCGAGGAGTACGGCCTCGGCCGCCAGACCCTGCCCAAGCAAATCGCCCACCCCATCGCGCGCTGCGCCGAGATGTAAGTCCCTATAAAATCGAGGAACCCAACAGCAGTCGACTAACACCCCCCAACAGCTGCGGCTTCCAGCCCTTCATGGAGTACGCCGGCTCGTACGCCCTCTTCAACTACCGTCTCGAGGACCCCGCCAAGGGCCTCGAGTACGACAACCTGCGTCTGATCCGGGCCTTTGAGCACGGTCTGCACCACGACTCGTCCGAGGCGGGCTTCGTGCTGGTGCACATTGACATGGTGCGCAACTCGGGCCCGCTCGTGGCCGGCGTCATGAAGAGCTTCTCCGCGGCGGCGGCGCAGACGGCGGCCGGTGCGGGCGCCGTGGCCGAGCACCGGCGGGCGCTCAACGCGGGGCTCGAGGACATTGTCGGGGCCATGCGCAAGATCAACGGCGTCATGGAGACCATGTGGGCCAAGTCGCGGCCGACCGAGTACACCAGCTTCCGCACCTTCATCTTCGGCATCACGTCGCAGTCCATGTTCCCGCACGGCGTCGTGTACGAGGGGCTCAACGACAACAAGCCGCTCTCGTTCCGCGGCGAGAGCGGCGCCAACGACTCCATGGTGCCGCTCATGGACAACTTCCTGCAGGTGCCCATGCCCGAGACCCCGCTCACCGAGATCCTCAAGGACTTCCGCAAGTACCGCCCCAGCAACCACAAGGCCTTTCTGAGCTTCGCCAAGGAGCGCTCCGCCGAGCTCAACCTGCGCAACTACGCGCTTGGCCTCAAGGGGTCCACGCCGCCCGCGTCGGACGAGGAGCGCGACCTGCTCCGCGTCTCCCGCAGCCTCTGGCTGCAGATCCTGAACCAGGTCCGCGACTTCCGCTGGCGTCACTGGTGCTTTGCCCGCGAGTACATCCTCAAGCGCACCTCGCACCCCACGGCCACCGGCGGCTCGCCCATTGTCACCTGGCTGCCCAACCAGCTCTTTGCCGTCCTGGACGAGATGGCCGTCATCCATGAGACGGGCCAGGAAGACGGCAAGGGTCTGGGCGCTGTCGCCGAAGATGTCATGGAAGCCGCCCTGCGCCAGCGCGATACTCTCCAGAAGGAGGTTGACAAGTACTGCGCCGAGCGTGGCGTCCAGCGCACCTAGAGATAGATATACCCGCACGTGTCCATGTTTCTACGAAGTCATTTAGTAGTCGGTCAAATTGTAAAAGTTTAGATGTTGAATAAAAGTGTTAAATCCTCATGTTCTTGATCCCGTTCTAGTCCGTTGCATTCATCACTACAGCACCAACCCCTTGACTTGGTCAATCTTCCTGAGGTCGACATTCTTCAGCATCATCATCCAAATAAGAGCCAAGCCCATGATGCATGTGCCGGCAATGAGCATCAACTTTTGACTCCCAGCGTAGGCGTCCATGATGGCTGCCCGCTCTGGAGTGCCGACCGCATAGCTCAACTGCACATCCAGGTCGTCGTAAATGTCCCGCCACTGGTCCTTGACGGAATCTGGGAGTAGCTGTTGAAGCTTGCCCGGTAGAGTGTTTGTCCAGATGGCGCCAGAAATACTGTTCCCGATGGCGCCGCCGATGGTGGCAATCAGAGACAAAACAGCCATGGCCGAGGCAACTTGGTCGTGCAACACCGTCGCGACGACAGAGACCTGCTGCCCACCAATAATGACACCACCACCAAGCGACATGAAGATCTGGCACATGATGATGTATCCAAGGCTGTGATTTGGCTGGCGGAAGTAGATCAACAGACCGACGCCGAGAATGTAGAGAGGAACACCCCACATGAACACCCATTTGTAGCGTCCGGACCAGCGAATCAAGATGCCGACCAAGAACAGCTCGATGCCGCTCACGACGTTGAAGATGTTGTTGATATATCCGGCTTTGGCCTTGGAGATGTCGTAGACAACCTGCAAGTACGAGGTAAAGTAGCTATTCCAGCAGGCGTACGAGATCTGGTACGTGGCGGCGATGAGGCAGGCTCCCATGACGCACGGCGACTTGAGGAGCTCCCAAGGAACGACAGGAACGCTCGCTCCAAAACGCTCCCACATGGTAAAGACAATGATCAAGACAAAGCCGAGAACAAGCATGGCGATGATGTAGCCCGAGCGCCACTGGTCCTTGGAATCGGCAGCGATGGTGAACGGGAGGAGGAAGAGGACGAATCCGGCGCTGAGTAAGAAGACACCGATGACTATCAGGTCAGTTTTTAGAAGCGTCATACAGTTTTAAAAGACTCACCGTCGAATTCGATAAAGTGGTATTTGACGCCTTGTGTCCAGGTACGGTTGCTGCGCTCGCGGTTCAGCAGCCCATTCGCCCTGGCCAGCCGCTTTCCGCGCTGCAGCATGTACATCATGGGCGCCGACACGACGGGCAGGACTATGGCCCACGCGCCAAAGCCCCATCGCCAGTTGCTCTCGTAGATGGTCTCGGCCGCCTTGGGGCCTCCAAAGGCGGTGATGATGTACGGGGACGAGGTGAGGGCGTAGGCAAAGGCGCGCATCTTGAGTGAGGAAAAGTCGGCTGTTATGATGTCGACGGCAAAGATCATGCCGGTAAACCCGACGTTGTAAAAGACCTGAGACAGCGTGTTAGCTTTCTTGCACGCGACATCAGGGTAGTCTGGACATGTACATTGGCAGCAGTGTACACAGCAAAGCTTCTGCTGGCGGCCATGAGGAGCAGACCCAGAGTCGACAGGGCCATCATGGCGGCGAAGCCAAACGTGCGGTCCCAAATGTTGAGGATCTTGGCAATGGGCATGTACGTGGCCGCGGACAGGATGCTGGTCATGACGTTGATGACGGGCATGAGCGAGTGGCTCTGGAAATCGCTCGTCACAAACGGGGTGAGAGTATCGGAGAGGGATCCAATCATGGCTCTGCAGAAATACAGCAGCCACATGCTTTGTGTATGTTTGTTAGAATGGCGAAGCGTACTTGTCCATCGCGGGGGAGTATGTGCGTACCAGCAATACACGACAAGCAGCGAAGTCCTGCTCCACGACAGGGCGACGGCCTCGGCGATGCGAACACCATCCTGATTGTCGTTCGAGACGAGCTCCTGGAATTTCTGTACCTCAGGCTCCTCGATGGGATTCTGGCTGGCCCGGGAGGGAGCTTTGTGGATGGCGGCTTCAGTCATGTTGTCGGGCGTCGCTGCATCGTGCATGAAACAGAGCCAGCGACAGCTAGACGAGAGGAGAGCAAGACGTTTTCTTTTATGACCATGTGATGGAGCCGCGTAAAATTCCTCTGTCGTTACGAACCCACGCGAATCCACCCAAGAACGTGCCGTTTTTGCCGGGTCTAGTTGGGGTGTTGTTGGCTACATCAGATGCTGTCAGCATATGCCAAGTGAAGGGACCAGATGAAGTGTTTTATCCTGCGCCACCTATGTTCTTTTATTTCCGCCCTTTTGCCGCGACACTCACCCTTCCTCATCACCGACGCTGGTTGAGCTCGACATGGCGACAACCTCGCATCTCGACGATCTTCAGCGCCGCACAGAAATTCGGCTCTTCTATGGAGCGCTGTCTGAGAGAATTCTTGCCAAGAGGACTGCGGAGCCGGGATCCTCAATATTGGATCTTGCGAGGCTACTATGTTTAATAGTGTCTCGGCGGCTTGTGGAGCAAACGATTTGGGAAATGCCCGAGGGAAGCGAAGCAGGGGTGGTGGCCATGGTCTGATTGATATAATTACCAGTTAATTATATATTTCATTGCCGGCCGCGAGTAGCTCTTTCCATGCAGGGTTGGTGTCGATCTGTGTCGCCCAGACACAGATACCAGAGACCATGTCCACGTCGTCGGATATCGGCATGAAAATTCGGACAGCCATTTTATAGTACAACAAAGTCATTTACGTCTACCCTAATCGTCACTACAGTTTTTCTTCTATATTTGCTGATACTTCCTCGTGCATTTTCAGCTTTGCAGAGCGGATATCCCGACTTTGGTGGCTTGCCGGCCCTCCCACAATCAGCAAAAGCCGACTCCGAATTAATCCCGACACTCTCACAACAAACAAAAGGGTTTAAAAAAATGCGCAACATTCTCCTCTCCATTGCGGATTCCACGTGGGCGACTTGAAATTTTCTTTCAAAACCCGTGGGCGGCTATAGGCCACGCGGAATTGCACACATGATCAGCGGCCCGCTGCTTATCAATCGCATCTGATAATGCTTTTCATCCCCAGCAACCTCACAGAGCTCCATCCCTCCGAAGATCCGCCACGTTTTGTCTAGCACGCGATTCCGACCAAGTTGTTTATTCCACCCTTGAAAGATTTTTGACGGGCAACTATGAAGACATTCCGCCCAGGGCTCCTCGTCGGGCTCGTTGTCTTCGCAGCCCGTCCTTCATGCTGCGCCGCCGACGAGCCATTCAACAGAACCTGCGTCGAGAGCTGCCAAAACGCCCTGGAACCCGTTATTTTTACCGATTTTGTTTCTCACAGAGCCCCCGAGGAGCAGGCATGCAAGAGCACCCTGAGCCTCACGTCAACGTGCCTCTGCCTCGACCTCTACTGCGGCGCGCCGACGCGCGACCTCGCCTGGCAGCGCCTGAATGGCACATGCGTGGGACTCTTCAACACGTCTCTGCCTGCAATTTCGCATCTTGCCAATTACACAAGGGAGCAGATATCCCACCTTCCACGAATCCAAAGACGTCATGTCCTCGGCCCGCAACAACCCTGGGACAAGCCTGTCCTCCCCGCGCCGCACTATTTCAGCGTTTGGCTGCAAACCCTGGTACAAGCCTTCCCGACCACGGACCGTTCTTCTGCCCTTTTACTTGACGCTAATGTAAAACGCAGGATGGATGGCGCTACTCGAACCTTCACCACTTCTTGTATGGGTACGTGGCTGAGTTTCATCGTATCTCCGAGCTCTGTGGCTAATTAGTAGTAGAGCGGCCGTCGTCATCTTTTGGGTCCTCGTGGTGGCCGTCGGCTTCCTTCACCGGGTCTACCTCGTCGTCTGCCGCATGTACTACTCCTATCCCGCCTTGCAGCTCATACCGCTGCCGCTTGGTCGAGCGTCGTGGCTGAAGCGCCGGCTCCTTCTCCCAGCAACGTTCGGCTACCGATGCGCTCAGCGAGCCTGGGGCTGCAGCGTGCCGCCTCGCCTCCAGTCAATGACAATACTATTATTTGTCGTCATCAATACCGTGTACACCATCATTGGGTACCGATTCACGCGCGAGAATTATTAGTATGTGAAATTGCGCCCAGCCTCCCGTGGAGATGCACGCGCTTACATCAACTCCAATAGCTTTGACAATGTTCTTGATCAAGCGCTTCGCTATGTTTCTGACCGAACGGGGATTATATCCTTTGCCAATTTTCCCCTGCTATGGCTCTTTGGCATGCGCAACAACTTTGCGCTCTGGCTCACAGGATGGGACTTTGGCACGTACAACAGCTTTCACCGCTGGACAGCTCGAATAGCGACAGTACAAGCTATACTGCATTCCGTCGGCTATACCATAATCCTGCTGCGTCGTATGTATTTTTCTTGTGATTTTCATCTCTTTCTTCTATTCTGACAAGATTTAGAGGGCGGCTGGCATGACTTGTATACAGAATATCTCGAGCCATACTGGCAGGCTGGTGTCTTGGTAAGCCGCCCGATGTTAGGCGAACGTCCACTTACAAAAAGCAGGCTACAATTGTCATGTCTCTCATAATACCACTGTCCAAGCCGTCTCTACGCAGATATTCTTACGAGGCATTTCTCGTCATACACATTGGCTTTTCAGCCTTGCTACTATTATTCATGCTGGGGTGAGTGTCTCCTACCCATGCGACAACCTGACTCACACCTGCGCAGCCACGTCTCCATCTTTGAGGGCCAGTGGAATGGCTTCGTCCGAGTACCGACCTACATATGGATATTTGATCGCGTAATGAGAACGGTGCGCGCCGCTGCCTTTCATCCTCTATCGTGGGGCAGCCAAGCGCACGCGTCCTACTTTCCGACCGCAGACATTGTGCAGCTTCGCGTACCAGTGGAGTGGTATTCGCTGCGCAGGCCGAGTCCTGGCACATTCTTCTACCTCACGGTATTGTCAGATGTCAAGTCAAGAGTGCAGAGCCATCCGTTTACAGTGGCGGCCGTGATGACGACGAAAGGACCCGTCGACGCGGGCGAGCGCACAGCGTTACTAGGTCCAACGAATGGGAGCGGACAAGACTTCAGAATGAAGCCTGGTGGTCCCTCGGCATCTATACACTTCTTAATACGGCCGTATAACGGATTTACGGCCCAGCTGCGTGAGCTGGCACAGGAGACAAAGTCCTTTAAAGTACTCGTCGAGGGGCCGTACGGCACGAACCATCCTCTCCAAACGTATAATCAGGTCGTCTTCATCGTAGGAGGCACAGGGATCGTGACAGCCATATCGTACCTCCCTTGCCTGACGGGAGGCTCAAAACGGAAGCCGATTGTGGGCCTGCATTGGGCTGTCCGCGAGCCCGCGTTTGCCAACATGGTTCTGGAGCAGTACTTTGGCGATGCCCTTCAGTCGGACAACCTGTCCGTGACGCTGCACGCGTCGAGGTGCCTCGATTTGCAGCCATCCTTCTCGACGCGCGTGTCGCAGCTGATGGGCCGCCCCAGCACTTCCGCCATTATCGCGGCCGCCGCAGCGGCCACCAGACGCGGCCGCCTCGCCGTCGTCGCCTGCGGCCCAGAAGCCATGCTCGACGACGCGCGACTGGGCGTTGTGCGCGCGCTGGAAACAGCCACGGGCGCCATTGATTATTTCCAAGACAGCTTCGCCTGGTAAATCGTCTGAGCAGATGGAGCAGAATGTCTAGGCACCCATGGCGACGCGGGGTATGTGCGGGTAAGGCTTTGCGGGCGTCCTGCAGCCTCGTCAGCAAACAACAGCAAAACGACATGGGTTCGGGGGGGGGCCTGCGGGAAAAGGCGCCGAAACATCGTAGGCTATACTCTAGACCTGTTTTTGATCCTCCTAGTAGAAAAATAGTTGCATTTTTTGCCATCGCAGAATGAAGAGCTGGCGAATAGCCCACCGCTCCGAGTGGAAACGTGAGGGAATCTGCAAGGAAGGCACACACAGCTGTCAGTTCACCCCCCTCCCCCCCTGCCCTGCCCTTCCCCTGCCGTTGCCTTACCCTCCAACTCTTTGCGCAGGCCTCGATACAGGACACGGCGACGAGTGCTGCCACGACGACTCGTACTGCTTCGTCGACCCCGAGGGCCTGTCGAGCTGCTGCCCGCTCGGGTCCAACTGCATCGGCAACTCGGTCTGCAACAGCAAGTTCTACTACTGCGCGAGCACCACGACGACTGTGTCGCCGTCCGTGACGGCCGCCCCCAACGACACCAGCCCCGGCTGCTGCTCGCGCCGCTGCGCCCCGAGCTACTATCTCTGCCCGTCCGCGCTCGGCGGAAACTGCTGCCAGTACGGGTGGGAGTGCCTCGCCGGCGGGAAATGCGCAGGACCACTGACGACGACGACAACAACAACAACGACGACGACTACAGCGACAGCCACGAGCAGCAGCAGCACTGCGCCGACGCCATCGACATCACAATGTTCGGGCGGCGTCGCTTGCACGAGCCCGGCGACGCCTGCGGCGGGGGGCTTGTCGGCGGGCGCCAAGACGGGCATCGCCATCACGGCCGTAGCCGGCGCGGGCGTGCTGGCCGGTGTGATTTCGTGGCTGTGGGTGCTCCGGCGGCGGCACAAGAGACGCGCGGCGGACAGCGTGCACCGCGTGAGCGAGGTGCCCGGGGACAGCGTGCCGGTGGCGGGCTACACCGACGAGGCGGCAGCACCGGCGGCGGCTGGCGAGGAGGCCGGGGCGAAGCGCGTCGTGCCGCTGCAGCCCAACACACCGGCTGACATTGCTTCGCCCGTCGAGCTGGACTCGGCCGCGCGCGCCGACGGTGATGCGCCAGAGGCCAGCGGCGGCGCGCCGACGCAGCTGGAACACGCAGAGGTGTACGAGATGGACGCGACCGACGGGGTTGCTGGGTATCGCAATATTGCCACGGAGGATTCGGGGGATGAGGAGTCGACATTTTGAACACGATTTCCTACTGGTTGAACTTGCATTCTGAGCACAGTTTCCTACTTGTTGCATTCACATTTTGAACAACCATTTCCTACTTGTTGTATTCACATTTCGAACGCTGTTTTCTTCTTGTTGTATTCCCATTTTAAAGACTGTTTATTTCCTACTTGTTGCATTCGCATTCTAACCACTATTCCCTACTTGTCGCATTCAGACTTTGAACACCATTTCTTACTTACTGCATTCACGTTCTGAACGCTATTTCCTACTTTTGTATTTACATTCAACCACTATTTCCTACTTATTGCATTCCTGTATTTCCTAACAGTTTATTGACCGAAAAACTCCAAGCATATTCGTACATGATATTTATGAACAAAGGGAAACAAGGACGATAGCAGAATACCAAATCAAAGCCAGCCAAACAGAAAACTATCCCAAACTGAAATCAATCCTTACAAATCTTGGCGATAATTGATGCAATTTTCACAGCGCTTGGTTCTGGCAGAAAATCCGCCGACCACTTGGAAAAAAAATGTGTGTCACGGCAACAGCATCACCGTAGTGTGTAGCCTTTTACGCCACCACGCCTCCAAAAGGCGCACACGTGCGCAGATCTCTGACCAAGTCGTCGACATTACTCAAGTACCTGCCCAGCAGCTGCTGCTTCTCCGCGGTGGCGAGCGTGACGCCGCCGCCGCCGCCACGCCTGCGCGCCGCCGCCTCGTCGCCCGCAAACGCGCCGACGAGCTTGCTCGGACTGCGCTGGAGCATATCCGGCAGCGAGTCGCGGCGGTCGGCGGCGGCGCGGGGGATGGACGGCGTCTCGGGCATGAGGTAAAAGTAGAGAAACTCGACGAGCTTGAGCTTGACCTCGCGCGAGGTGGAGCGCGACTTGAAGAGCGACGTGACGGTGAGCAGCCCGTCGAGGCCCTCAAAGACGCGCGTGTTGGCGGGGACCTGGATGAGCGCGACGACGAGCGTGAGCAGCGTGGCGGACTGGATGGCCGGGCAGTTGAAGGGTTCGAGGAGGTCGAGGAGGAGCTGGGGGGTGTTCGCGCCGTGTGTTAGCCTTTGTGCTTCACGCGGGCAAATCGAGGGCTTGCCGACTTACATTCATGTTCTGCTCCCGCTGGAACAGACCCTTGGTCGGCGGGTGCAGCAGCATCGCCCCGTGCAGCAGGTCCAGCGCGCTCAGGATCAGCAGGTCGTTTTGCCCGTCGCTGCCCTTGGCCATGAGCCGGTCCAGCGTGCTGATGAGCCGCAGCCCGACGTTCCACTCGAAGCCCTCCTGCAGCTTGAAGAACTCGCAAAAGGCCGGGTCCTGCGCGAGCTGCCCGAGGTTCTTGCGCGCCGCCGGCGTCGACGGGGCTGCATCGGCGGCGGCGGCGTCTTCGTCGTCCTCGCTGCCGTTGCCGCCGTCGTCGCCACCAGACGGCGAGGACAGGCAGATTTGCGCCAGCAGACCCTCGACTTGCCGCAGACCCTTGCGAATCTTGGGGCCGTCGTAGGAGGAGAGGTTGTCAAAGGCGAGAGAGAGTAGATTTTCCATTTCGGCGGCGTTTTGTGTGCGATGTTATATAGATGTCTTCGTCTTTTTTTGTAGAGAATAGCTGTCGGGCGAGGTTTGGACGTTTCTTGTTTACTCGGCGCGATTCTGTTGTTTTGTTCGTTTTTGCCTCTTTTTGTTCGGACGGCGGGCGCCGTGGCGCGAGGGAGGAGTATGGCGTTTCGTGAGAAATTTAGGCGAGCATCGATGTTAGTTATCAGCGACGGATACTCGATTAAAAGATGATAATGAAGAAGAATACAAGCTTAATAAAGAAAAATGGACAGGGACGCAGGCTGTTTGACCAGGGATGGAGATTTCGCCTGGGGTGCATGAATGACATTCATGGCGCCACGTTGCCCTAGCAACGATCTCCCATATGCCCACACAATGAACAAGCCGAAGCATGGCTTTTCTCTTGTCAGCTCCTTGGTAGATAAATACACATCCCATCCTCTCCAACTGCCATGGTTTCGTACTCGACCTCTTCCTCCAAGTCCTCGTCAATCTCGTCCTTTGTTGCCTCAACAACAATTAGAGGCGCATCACTCTCGCCGGCTGACCCCGTCAAGAAGGCGCCTTTATGCTGGAACAGCTCCGTCTCGACCCCCGCCCTGCGGGTTCGGATGACATTGAGTCGGTAGGCGAAAATGATCCCCGGCGCAGTGTCATACGAGTCGGCAATATTGTCCCGGCTGTCGTGCTTCACGTTTCCGCCCGCATCCATAGGTGTGTAGCCACCCACGGGGTTCGCAGAGCCCTCCGCTGTAGCGCTGAAATGGTATCTGCTTTCCTTCGTCGCCGTAAATGAAGACGTGGCGATGCGCAGGCCCGAGACGATGTAGACGGGGCGTTTGCCAAAGATACCCGAGTCAATGTGAGCACGCACTACGGGGAGTTTAGCAACCGCTGCTGCCGTGTCCGGCATCAGCGGATCTGCGAAAAACCTGACTTCATGGTCTGTTTTGCTGTAGTCAATGCCCTTGCTCTCGCCCGTGTTCACGCTGGCTGATGCAGACGCCAAGCTTTCGAATGTCGACCACAGGCTCAGACTGTCGGATTGCGACGTTGAATGATTGTGAACGTGATTGCGCTCCGTGATAGTCTTAATAGCTGGGAGCTTGATTTCGCCTTCGGCACCAACGTCTGCAAGGACTGTCGTCGACCTGGACCAGTGCGGAATTACCATGCCCATGCGGAGCGGGCCGTCCATGGAGAAGGTGAAGTCCGGCAGGAGGAACCACGTGGGCATCGTGCGATCGTGCGATTTTGCGATTTTGCGAAGCTTTAAGATATCCGTGGTCCGGGATAGTGGCATCCGTTTGAAAGTGCGGGGAGCAGCGAAAGCAAGCCAAGCCATGTAGGCAGCAATTAGCAATCTAAATCTAACTATCCGTACAGCTAAGCACTATGTATCCATACACATGCGCTCTTCGACAAGGGCTGGTGTGCACACCACGGCCTAGCCCATGGGGCATAGCCCGATACAATGCATCTTCATTCTCGCACGCTCCCTTACAAATTGGTAGCAATTGCAACAAAAATTCCGTGCGACCCGAAGATCTATCAATAAAAAGGAATCATCGTGACTTAGTCACATTCACACATTCCTAAGAAGAGACAGGCCACAGATCCTGTCCGCGGGCGATCCCTGTCCCCCGACCCGGCTATCATCATGGCTAAGCCACGGAGTCATGGACCAGTCCAGACGCATCCTGCAGGACACCCATGCACTGGCATACGTGGCTCATCGGAGACTAGAGGAACCAGCCTTCTCCGAGATGGACAAGGAAGCTGACATTCCTGACCAATACGGCCACGTACAGGAGGTACGCGGCAGACCAGTCCCAACCCGGACTCCTGCGTTCATCGAGGACCCGAGTGACGGCATACTGTCCTAAAGACGGACCCGAGCCAGGGCATCCCTAGAGTCATGTTGTCGGACAGGGATCCTAAGTTATTACGGCAGCACGGATGAACACTAAGCTGATACACTCTACGGCGTACCATCCCCAGACAGACGGCCAGACGGAGAGAGTTATCCAGACGATCTCCTCAGCCATCAGAGTCTACATCTCCAGCCTGGAGGAACCATCGCACTAGGAGTCGATCATGCCGCGATTGATCTTCCAGCTCAATAACGCGCGGTCAGCATCCACAGGGCACACGCCGCACGAGATCGTCAAAGGCATCAACCCCAGGGACGTGCCGGACCTGCTCGGCGGCATGCCCGCGAAGCCGAACTACACGGCAGTTAGGGTTTCGGCGTACGACGCGCTGGCCATCGTCGCAGTGACCATGAAAAACCACTATGACCGACGACACACCACCCGCTTCTTTGCAGTCGGCGACATGGTGTATCTGAGATTGCATAAGGGATACGCCACGGCAGCTACCGATTGTCATGCCATATTGCAGTGAGGGCGATGATGATGTATTGTGGAGGTTGTGTGGGCTCCAGAGAGGTCGCCACTGGAGCCCTCCGGGCCAGTTCCGTTACAATTGTCTATATCTTTTATATTTTATATATTTCATATATAAAATATGACAATAACTTTCAGTTCTACCTCTTTAGTAGTACATAACTATTACCCCTGTCATGGAGGTTGTCTTTACAATGAGCGCACGGTGTTGAGGGCGTCCGCATTTCACTTCTTGGTACGACGAGTCAGAAGTCTGGCTGGGGAAGCGACCATCACTAGATACCCCTGTGAAGTAAATATCTAGAGACAAGGAATCTTCTTGGCCGGGGTTTATTCCTTTCGATTCTCCTTTGTTGCATTCCGGGGGATTCCGGTCGGCATGGCAGAGCTGCAGTGACGGCGTATCCTCCAGAAGCCTGTGCTTAGGCCGCTTAGAAGTGTCTAGAAACTGCTCTTTACCATTAAAGTCATTGACTATTCTGCCCACTGGTCCTTGAGACTGGAACCACGGTTTCAGCCTATGTAGCGACGCGGGAAATGTGTTCACCATCGTCATCCTCGTGGACTGTCGCATGTACTGGAGGTACTCTGAATGTCCCGACTTGTTTATCCAGGCTGACAATGGAATCCATTGGCCAAGGTAGAGAACGGAGAGAGAAATCATGAACATGCTGCAACACATGGTCAACCAAGTCGGGGGAGTCCCGTGGCCCTTTGGAATCACACAGTGGGCACTCTGTGATCCCCATCACTTGAATTTCTGCGGTTGATACCAATTCTTTGAGCCTACCCAGAGTATTCTCCAAGTCATGGGACATTAAATGGGTTATGAATCCGGAAAGAGATTTGTAGATGGGGGGCGGGTCGACTTCACAGTAGGTGCATTGCCATTGAGGTGGGTGGTCGTGTATGAAATGGTCTCTCCACGCACTCTGCGTAACGAAGAGTTTCTGAGGTGTTGGGCATTCCTCTAGCATACAGGTGTAGGGACATAAGTCGTTTGCTACATGCATTCTGGTTTCGTCAGTATACCAATCAGACACTGAATGGAGATCCTTACCGCCACTGAACGTCTTCCAGTTCCGACGCTGGAATGGCTTGACAGCAACACGGACATTTGAGCAACTTTTGATCCGATTTCTGTGAAGTTTGTGCCGTTGGGTATCTTGCAGACGCCATGGTGGCCGTGATACGTGTAGCTGTCGATCCGGGCTTATCTTTACGCTGGAGACCCCCCCATTGGGAATCTAGCCCTGTAACCGACGTCGCGGGTATCGTAGATGGTTCCTCGTCAGGCCTGAGCCCATGCTGTTCTTCTTGATTCATAGCTGCGGCTACAGCATTGATCTTCATAGGACTAGTGTCCTGTTCTGTGCGAGTTGCTGCCATGCAGACGAACTTTGGCGGAATTACGTCTCGGGAAGCCATCGCGGAAGGATCCTGTAGCCAACCAGAGTGTCGCCGAGCTTCAAAAAACCTGTGGAACCGTCTCAGGTTTGCCTCAACGAGACGTTCCTGAATTGGCGAGAGCTTGCGAGATTCAAAATAACCGATACTGTGAATTGCGCCCTCTTCACCTTGCAGTTGTCTGCCCGTTTCAGTGGGCTTGAACGTGATGACGCAAGCGAGATGTGCCCTGAGTCTGCGAATATGGGGCCAGTTTTGGTCGAACGAAGTGTCTGCGCTTCGAAGTCGAGATATACGCCCACTTCGCCGAATGTGAACTCCTACCGAACCCAAATTGTCCATAGTCCTATCAACATCGGCGATGAAAATTTGGACATCGAAGTCGCCGCTTATCGAGGTGAGGTAGTCATCCAAGAAAAATTGCAACATTGAAAGAAGTCCTTGGATAAAGCGAATATCATGCGGCCGGTGCTGAAATCTCGAATCCAGAGAGGTCTCGTTGGAAGCGAGGGCCCCGACGCTGTCAGCCCACAGCCTTAGGTCAGCAAGCCTGGTCTGGAAATGAATCTTGTTTTGGTCCGTCAGCCGTTGAATGCATTGTTCGAACTTCCAGATACATGATCTCGTTACTGCGGAAGTGGAGGCTTCCTTCGCGAGATGGGCGGCTGGGGCCATTACGGCCAAAATGGCTATAAACTCGGCGGGTGTGAGGCTGCTGGCAGACACGGAAAGGCCACACCTGAAGCGGTGGCCCCGTATTGTCGTATTAGGGGGTAAGCACGAGGTTCTCGTATGGTGCGATGATGCCTTGGTTGCTTGACGGATGATCAACCCGAGTCCGGGTCACGACTGTGGCAAGCTTGTGAGCTGCAAAACCGGGACCGACTGTTTGCAGACTGTTTGGTGAACGGATAGCTGCTGGCCGCTTCAAGGTCGTGGATGGACGATAGATGTGAGTTCTTGTTGGCCGTAAGTATCGACTCGTGCGGGACGTTTGAGAGGGCAAGGTTATGCTGTCAGGCACCGAAGTGACGGTCACTTCTGCATTAGGTAACTGCCTACGCAACATTATAATGCCTACAGTTGCACAACGCGGGGTCGCTACTAACGGTGCGTCTGTACGATACTCCACGTCCTCTAGAAACTGTTTTGTGACTGTTGTGGTGCGTGTTAGGTCTGTAGGCAGGTAGTAATCGACCATGTCCCGCCACCCTGGCGAAGGGGTCGGTGATATCATCCCCTGCATGCTGGCTTTGTCGACTTCTTTGTCCTTAAGTTGCTCCTCCTTGTGTCACCATGGTACGGACGCTGCTTTGTTGCCAGCTCCTGCGCCGTAGGCAGCCGCCTCTCCTCCCACGCTTCGCTGTACGTCTTGCGCAGACTGTCGCGAATTTTTATCTGCTCATCAGAATTGGCGACGAGTCTCCGCATCAACCACGAAAGAGTGCCTGCTAACGTGTCATGGCCCTATGAGATAGCCGTATATTCGGTCGCGGATGCGGGGTCATCCAAGACAGGAGGACGGCCAACCTTGTCCGCTGCCTTGACCTCGCGCTTGAGAATGTAGTCCAACGCACATTGCGGAGCGTCGCCGTTGCGCAGCTTCGGCACGGCGTGAGAAATCTGCGATAGGATGTTGCATGGCCCTTGCATGTCGCACAGACGGGAGAAGCTTCATGACGGCAAGATACAGCTTGGACTAAGGCTAGTAGAAGCCTTCCCACAGTAGCTCTTTATCTGTGGTGAGCGTCGTGAGCTTTACGGAACGTGCGAGGCATGGAAAGGTAACTGGAGATTCCAGGTTTGTCTTGCCGGGAAGGAGGTGTTTCTGGCAGCTTGCTGGAGATGACGCAGCTGTTGCCTAACATGGCCTCCGGCTGGGCCGAGACCAGTCGCGGCGCTGAGAATGGCGTTGAATGAAAATTCGACAATGTCTTTTGCCACGTCGAAAGGCCGTCCCAGAGAAAGTTGATGCTTCAGGCGCATACTGTCTGCGGTGTCATGACATCGCAGACAAGATCCGGCGTGCTTCTGCATCGAGGATCAAATGTTTCCATGGCCGGGTGAGCATGCGGCGGAATGCCGCTAAATACGTCGACCTTTTTCCCTCGCTTAAAGTCGGCGCCTCTGTGTATGAGAAGGTCGTTGGCTTCTCAATAGTCGGAGTTGAGAATCGTGGGCCTGGCAAAAGATTTGCGTAATGGCGGAGTTGTGTGTCAATGGCGGAGTTGTGTTTGTGCGCCTATTCGAGGAACCAAGGCCAAATGCTAGCGCCATCTTTTTCGCTCTCTTTGATGGGTGGGATATCACCAGCAAAACCCTTCTGTAGACATAGTAATTATTAATAAATCAGCGAGACGAGGCCAGCGCTCCCATAAACGTAGTGTCCCATCAACGTAGTGGCGGCGTATTGCGATGAGCCATGCTCCATGTTGATGCTGACTGCCTGCAAGGGTTGATTGGGGAAATGGCACTGCAGAACAGCAACAGATGAGACCATGGGGATCTGACAAGAGTAGTTTGAAGTTCTCCGCCCGCTCATTGTAAAGCGTGGGCAGACGACGGGCGCCGAGCCAGCGGCCGCCCCCAACTCTGCCACTGTCAAGTGTATGCTTTTTTCCACACAAATTACTTGCCAGCCTGATCTATCACTCTTCGTCTGTAACCTCCGCTCTCATAGTTTTCACAGGTCCAACAACTCAGCCAAGGCGTCGCTGTACCCAAAGCAGCAGGCAACACTCCTGCGCACACATATACACACGCATACATACACACATGCAAAGAATATGGCGTCGCCACCGTTTGATATTACGGCTGAAAAGGAGGGTAGCATCATTGGCTTCCTCTCGCGCCAGTGGAACTTTACGCCCGTCGCGGTCACCGATGTCGACCTCAGCGGCAAGGTCGCCGTCGTCGTCGGCGCCAACTGCGGCATCGGCCTCGAGGTCGCGCGACAGTTCCTCGGGCTCGGCCTGAGAAGGCTCATCATTGGTGCCCGCAACCAGGAAAAGGGCAAGGCCGCCGTCGCCGACCTGCAGAGCACCTCTAGCGGCGAAGCTACGATCGAGATATGGCCGCTAGACCTGGCCTCGTACGATTCCGTCGTTGCCTTTGCTAAGCGCACCGAGACCCTCGAGCGCATGGACTACGCCGTGCTCAACGCCGGCATGTGTGCCACCAAGTTCCGCATCAACGAGAGCACCGGCCACGAGGAGACCATCCAGGTCAACTACCTGGCCTCGGCCCTACTCACAGCGCTGCTGCTGCCCGTCGCAAAGACCAAGCGTGCCGCCCAGGGCGGTCCTACCAGAATCACCGTCACCTCGTCCGACGTGTCTAGCTGGACCTCTTTTAAGGAAAAGACCAGCGTCCCGCTGTTCCCAGCGCTCGATAAGGGCGCCAGCGATCTCACCGACCGCATGATGGTCTCGAAGCTCCTTGGCCAGTTCTACATTGCCGAGCTGGCGAAGCGAGTGCCTAGCTCTGTCGTGACCATCAACTGCGCGACGCCCGGCATGGTCCACGACACGCAGTTTAACCGCGAGGTTGACCGCACCATTGGCGGCAGGCTGGTCAAGCCCATCCTCCGCCGCCTTGGATACACCGCCGACGTTGGTGCTCGCCACATCACCGACGCTGCCCTCCACCACACCAACGAGGAGATACACGGCCAGTACCTCTCTACCCAAAAAATCAAGCCGTGCGTATCCCTGCAGCACCAACATGCGACGTCGCTAACTCGAGCAGAATGGCGCCCATCATTTACACCGAGGAGGGCAAAAAGGTTTCCGCGCAGCTCTGGAAGGAGACGATGGCTGAGTTTGCCTTTGCCAACGTGGAGCAGGTCATCGAAGATGCTGCCAAGGACTAAGGAGTGCATAGCTAGTCGGAAGATAATACCCTAGTTAGAATAAACTAAGTAAGTATTTTTTTTATTTAAAGTATAGAATTTTATTAGTAGCGAGCGTATTATCGTGAGTTAGGCCGTAAACCCGGTAAGGGGAGGATTGCGCGTTCTTATATATTCCACCACGTATGTCTTGCCTGTACTACAGCCCTACACTCCGCTCTACAGTCTACCCCCTGAGACAGATCTATACAGCAGCAGTCATCCATACGGTCGTGTAATTGCACGGCAAATGAGCAATCGTCAACGATTCGGTACATGGAAACTGCATACCGCAAGCCTTCACTGTGAGCCTGGAGCTGGCAGCGACCATAGAATAGGGCCGCCAGTACTTGCACAGAAGACACCGATGAATGCGACTGGTTTATTTGGAATACTGGGAAATGACATTTAAAGGATGATCTTCTCGCATTTGGATTATCAGTCCCTCATTTATCTTTCGCAGACCAGCCACCACTTTCATTAGATGGCTCGACCAGAGCTGGCCGATTAACAAGATCAGTTCCAGTTCGTCATGAGAGCTGAAAAAGAGTTCAAGCAGCACTTCCCCAGCGAAAAAAGCCCTGGAAATTTTGCTTGCTACTTTTGCTATCGCGTGCTCCGAGCAGAGTGTTTTAGAGAGGACCAAGCTCAAGAAGCGTTCGTGGATTGCGACGGCAGTTTTGTTCTCAACGTCAAGACCGAAAATGCTGCCAAATATCCAAAAGTTCAGCTGCGACGTTACTGCAAAACTTGCGGATGCAAAAACGGATTCGACAGTTTCCATGATATCCAGCACCTTATTGACACCAACAGGGCACATATAGGATAAGAGAAAGTTATTATATTATATAAGTTCTATCTAGTTGTATAGTATAAATATATACTAGATATACTAGGTAACGGGAGATTGTTCTTCTGGCTTCCGGGCCGTCTGTCATCATACCTATGGAGCCACAAAAACGCAATCGGCCGATGGGTAAGCAATGGCCGTAACAGCGATCATAGTGATGTTAGGGACGAAAGTGAACTATCATCAGAGGAACTTGTTTCTCGAGATGCGAACCGGGATGCTGTAAGGCCCTTTTAAGGCTTGATGGTTAGCGAGCAATTGCATCTCGCAGGCTCCGGTGTTTGCGGTAGACGTATAAGATGTTCTGTAGCTCTAAATGCCACCCAGCTTTTATACTACTAGGGTTTAAAGTTCTTAATCTCTTTCGATATAAAACAGGATGCAGTTAACCCGTTTCGGGGCTTTATCGCCAGCACGACGTTGCCTTAACTAAGCTTTGGTGTCTATAGCCTTGCTATAAGCTACTCTATTACCTTCGGCACTGGCTGGCCCTTGTCCTCCTATTTTGGTGTGGGGGGAAGAACTATAGGTACGTTTGTTAGTTTAAACAAGGTCGTAGATCGCATCTCTAGCCAAGGGGTTCTAGGGAGATTGCTAACCTCTCCTAATGGTATTGTTGTCTTTGGCGCAAGAACATCCTTCGGCATCGCTGGATCAGAGACTGGCGTGGCCGCAAGGGTGACAGTCCTCGACTTTATCCCGACCGCGACACTCTCGAACGGCCCAACGGACAACGGACGACATCAGACTAGAATCCGCAGCAAAGGGCGAAGAAGCGATACTGTCAAGAAATTGCCTTCTCCATGTTCGAGGTCGATCCTGGAGAAATGGGGTGCAACGTATCTGATCTTGCATCCCAATGGCACGACATACTGGGCGCACAGGAGAACTCTTGGAAACAGGCAAATGGCTAGAAGCTTTGATAGGAGATACAGGCCAATAAATCGTCCGTTGCTGTCCCGGGGTTGCTTGTATTTTCGGGAGCGTGTTTTGCCAGTTATATGGCGTCGTTTGTAGTCGTTAGGTTGATCTGAATTAAAGCAGAAGGTAGAAGCGGCGTTCGGATCTTCTAGTTAACCGGATTACTAGAAGTAGGCTAACACGCTCTCGATCTTCACAACATAGAGGGGACTTTCTTATTGCCAAGAAAGACGTCGGATCTGATAGTTTGTCTCGAGAGGGGCTCGTGTCCGGGGTTGTGATACGCAAAATCCTCTTTTCTTCTTCTTCTTCTTAGTCGGAGAGTGGCAGGGAGAGCTGGGCTCGATCCGGGAAGGTTGGTTGATCGTTTTAACAGTAGAGAGCTGGGCTCAATCTTTAAAGGCAGTTTAATCTTCTCGCCCGTATGAATTTTTCCGCGTTCGTTTGTCTTGTCTTGTCTTGGCGGGGTACGAGAAGAATTCTTTCACGTCAGCGAGGAACAGCAATTGCTACCAGGATTCATGTCACCCACCCGCACACCTCGTCGGCATCTACTAACCCTGCCAGGTCATTCTCGGCCTCGCCGTCTCTGGCGTTCTCGCCTCGCCCATCACGGCAGAGGAGCTTGACACGGGCGCGACTGGCCAGGACGCCGAGCACATGTCTGTCGGCAGGGCCCCGTGCATCGGCGGCAACTTTCGGCTGTGTCACCACTGGCTGGTCAGCATGTGTCCGGCGCGGTGCTCGGGCCCGCCTCGGCGGCAGTATCAGTGCACGCGAAGGTGCGTGGACGATGCGACGTTTAGCTGCCAGAGAAACTGCCATTGAGGGGAGGCTGTCAGCAATGCGGCGAGTTTTTTCTGTGGTTCGTGGGCTGTTGGAGGTAATGGCTAGCACACGGGAGTGTAGTTGTGTTGGTAGTATTCATATGGATTCTCCAAGTGAACTTGCGCGAAAAATTCCTCCTGTATGTCTATATATAACTACCTAGATTGATGCTGTTCTTGGCTTGTAGGTACCTACGTACCTGGGTACCTACTTATTCGGGTCTCAGGGTCGTTGGCGTCGCTGCTGTGACGACTGGGGCTATGCGAGGACCGTCTTGTACTGCGTCTCGTAGTGTGTTGGGGTCAAGCAATATATGGTAATCGAGTGTCATCTTGCTGGCTTGTTCCTGTAGAGGATAATGGCATAACAGCGATAGTCTTATGCCCTAAGCCGATCTTCGCTAAGGATTTGCTGCAGCGAGACTGGCCTAATAACCTCGGTCGAAAGTCCTAGCTGGCGGATCGCATCACCATGGCATCGAATCGCATCTGGATCGATCCAAGAGGTTTGTACGACGACCTTTCCTTGGCAGTGCCGGTGAGCGACCACATCCCAAGCTTGCTTAACCGCAATCCCTAGCACAAACCCCCACGTCCCCCGTACGGTGATAATAGCTGGCTGCCCGTCTTGAGCCCTCTGATAGCGAAAGACCATTGCCATACCCCGTCTACCGTTCCACAACTCCATCGTATTAAGTCTTGGCATCTTAAGCGCTGTGGTAGCAGCGTCTTGAAGCATATTATTAATACCCAAGGGGTCCGCATCGTTCGTCAGGGCCGTCGAAGTCAGCGCTAGTAAGGTAAGCTTATCCCACGTCCATGAACCTTGGCGCGATGCGAAGAAGTAACCAGCGTCGGCCATAAAAGAGGCAGATAGCATCGTGAGGTGTAGGCTGGCGTAGGCAAGTTTCTGGCTTACAGCCGGGTTCGGCGTCCTGATAGTCGTCGTCGTCGTGAGACCGGTAGGGAAACACCTGGAATGAATTTGTGGGTAAACCTCGTTAAAGTTCTCGAATATCGTCAACTTATCCAATTTCGTACAGGGAAAGGATTCGATTAGCGTCTGGTTGCCTGTTTTTAGTTGGTTAGCAGCTATATTAACGAAATTGGCAGGGATCAAGCAAGCACTTACGTTTATCGGTATGCAGCTCCATTGAACTTCTTCCACCCCACTCTCTCCAGGGTTCATAACAAAGTTCCTTCATGTTTGGGAACCGCGTGAGCATATTGGCGAGCGCAACCGGCTTCCATCGCCGGCGGGTCTGCTGGCGAAGGAGCACGACCCCAACGACAGGTACAAAGGGGAGACTCCGCCACCACTGCATCTCGGGTTCCTCGTCGTCGAAGGGCCCCTCGGCCATGATCTCGTCGAACGTCAATTCGATGGCGTGGTCAGTAGGAGCCAGCACCCGCTGTCCGGCAACCCAGCCATGGGCCGGGTCATTGATCAGGGCGGTTCCTTGTTCATGTCCATGGCGCGACGGGCACTCGTCTAGGTTGGTGTTGGTGTCTGAGCAGAAGCTTAGGTACTTGAACCAGTGCTGGTTATCACTAGACGAGTAGACACTGATATCGAGGACCAAGTCACCACGAGGCTCCCATATGCTTAGTATTGTAAACAGGCTTTCAAACCCATCCGCGATAAATTGGTTATCTATGTCGTCCAAGCCCCAACGGTCCTGGTCAGTATTCGCGCAGCGTGTGCAGTCGTATTGTTTTAGTTCCACACGAAACCAGATATAGCGAATATAGTTTCTCTTCTTGAATAGAATAGCTTGAGAGTTGGGGTCGGTAAGGCGTGGTACTGTCAGGCTAATCTCAGCAAAGTTAAGCGGCTCGAGAATTAATTGCCAAGCTTTAGAAACGGTCACGAGCTGACTGCACTTCCCGCCAAGAATTGGTAGGAAATGAAGAATCATGTTTCGAATCTCGGGAGGCAAGTAATGCCAGGAGGTTCTGTTCCTGGCCATCTCTGATTAGGCTTGCGGTAGTTTGAGTGTCAAGGATCGCAGTTGGTGTAGATTGAGAAGGATGTGATGATGTAAGGCTCGAAGTTTGGGACCTGTGTTTTAGGGGTTGAAGAGATATTGGCCCTGCTGGCTCCCTTTTATAGTTGACTTTGAAGAAAATTTGTTCTTAAATGGGATGTGGTGCGCCGAGATGTGGCCACAGTGGCCATCTGGCAATTTTTTTTTCATGACGTAAGGCTGCTGTGAACCAGTCAAAGCCGTTTTATTACGGCTTAATCGATTTAAGAGAGAAGCACACTGTGGGAAAGAAAGCTGCTTATATCAAGGCTTAGTGGCAAATCTAAGGTATTTTTGCCAGCTCTGGATTTCGGCGGGAGAGTCGAGGCTGGCCGAGCCAGGTCGAGCTAGGCTGCGGCGCAGGCCTCGGCCTGAAAAGTTCAAGTCAGTAATTGATTTTTATTTACTGTTTTATCGCTTCTTCATTTGATTCTTTAATTGAATATAGTTTTGAGGAATATTCTTTTGTACTTTCCATCTTCCCATCCATGCTGCAAATCCTTGCCGGCCTTGTTCCCGGTGTAGCGCCGCCTAACCGCCGCTAGCGATGGCCCTCTTCACATGATGAATTTTGTCTCGGATCAAAGATTCTGCCCACCTCAACATGGCTCCGTAAATGGCACATTTCGGGGCAGACAAGTCGCCGCTCATCGTCAGCCGCTCGCCTAATCTAGCCATCTTCTCTTGCACCTACAACACCCCGGCCGCCCCCTCTCTCTCTTGTCCGCCGCCCATCCCCAACAAGACCAAGGCGGCGTTTGTTCGCCGCCCCCTCTCCCTCCCCCTTCCACCTTCGCTTCCCTCTTCCCAGCCCGCTGGGTCCAGCCCCAACGGGGATTCTTCCATCGCCGAGGAACCCCATTCCAGAAAAAAGAGACCACTCGACCTGCTTGTTGCACCAAAAAAACACGTCATCGGCGCTCCTCTTCCCGTGGTGGCGCCAAGACAAAATCAGGCTGGCCTGCTCCCGCGTGACACGGAGCCAAAGAACCCTCGAGGCTCTACCTCCCCTCCTCAAGAAAAAGACCTTCGTCTCCTCTTTTCCCAACTATTTTAGTCAAGTCTCCGATCTGCCTGAACAACCATCTTCACGCATAAAATGGGTCCATCCAAGGCTGCCACTGTGGAATCACCAGACGCCACGCACTCCACCCCAACAACCACGACAGCATCATCCTCGTCTGGCACGCGCGCATCCTCCAACCCTCTCTCGCTGCCCTCGGCGATCCCCCCTCGCACCTCTAGCAACGGCAGCTTGCGGGCCTCCACCATGCACGGGCATCCGCCGGCGGCACCGGCCCAACAGCCATCACCGCCGCCCCAAGCCCCAACCTCGACCCTCTCCTCCATCGCCGTCTCCCCGATCCCGTCCCCGCGGTCCGGCAGTCTCCCCGGGAGCCACCACCGGCACCGCTCCGCAGCCAGCGGCGCCTCCCTCCCCTCGCTGCCCCCGCGGCAGCAGCAGCAGCAGCAGCAGCAGCCGCAGCCCAGCACGGCCGCCTTCATGGAGCGACAGCTCTCACCAGCCGCCGTGCCTCCCGCGGACCCGGCGCGCTACGCCACCGAGGACCTGCACTTTACGCCGCAGCGCTCCTGGACGGCCGACAAGGAGCGCATCGTGCGCGGGCCGTTTGACTACGTCCTCTCGCACCCGGGCAAGGACATTCGCTCGCAGCTCATCGCCGCCTTCAACGAGTGGCTGCAGGTGCCGCCGGCGAGCCTGGCCGTCATCACACGCGTCGTCGGCATGCTGCACGAGGCGTCGCTGCTCGTCGACGACGTGCAGGACAACTCGGAGCTGCGCCGCGGCTTCCCCGTCGCCCACCACATCTTTGGCGTCGCCCAGACCATCAACGCCGCCAACTACGTCTACTTTGCCGCGCTGCAGGCGCTGCTCACCCTCGACAACCCGCAGGTCCTCACCACCTTTGCCGAGGAGCTCGTCAACCTGCACCGCGGCCAGGGCATGGACCTCTTCTGGCGCGACACCCTCACCTGCCCCTCCGAGGACGACTACCTCGAAATGGTCGGCAACAAGACGGGCGGCCTCTTCCGCCTCGGCATCAAGCTCATGCAGGCCGAGTCGCCCCTCAGCCCCCCGCTCGACTGCGTGCCCCTCGTCAACCTCGTCGGCCTCGTCTTCCAGATCCGCGACGACTACGTCAACCTCAAGTCCGACGCCTACGCCCAGCACAAGGGCATGTGCGAGGACCTGACCGAGGGCAAGTTCTCCTTTCCCGTCATACACAGCATCCGCGCCCGCCCCGGCGACCTGCAGCTCCTCAACATCCTCCGCCAAAAGACGACCGACATCCAGGTCAAGCGCTACGCCGTCGCCTACATGGAGGACACCGGCAGCTTCGCCTACACCCGAAAGGTGCTCGCCACCCTGGTTGAGCGCGCCAGGAAGCAGACGCTCGAGCTCGACAATGGGCGCGGCAAGCAGGCTGGCATCATGGCTATTCTGGACAAGATGGCGATTCCGGAGGAATGAGAGCTGGGCCATTGTCGACGAGATGGTGGTTGAATAGGAATGAGGGCAGTTTTTCATATTGTTTACTCTTCTCTGCGCGACGTCGGCGACTACAACGACGACAGCATATAGCGGGCATTTACAGAACATTTATACCAGGATATTTTACTCGTAGCTCTCCAACACTTTGTCTGTCAAAACGTGCATTGAGTAAATCGTGCATTGAGTAAAAATTGAGTCATCTCCCAGCATGCCTCTTTACTTTATAATAAACATCTGCACCACGCGAAACCTCTACTCATAATTTATTGCCTTATTCTATATACACTCTGCCAGCGCAGCACCACTCATTCATAACCCACCAGGCTAGTCTTGCGCTTCACCAGCCTCACCCAGCGTCTCCTTCGCCACTCGCCCTTCAAGCCCGTGCCGTCCTCGCCTTCCTCCCAGCTGGTGTGCGACATGTTCTTGGGTGCCGTCGTGTCCGGGTGCTCCACCACGCGCGAGCGGCGCAGCGCGTCCTCGTCCTCGTCGTACATGTCGTAGACCCAGCGCTCGCCCTCGGTCTCGACCTCGACGCCCGTGATGATGCGCTCCTCGACCCACTCGCGGCTCCAGAGGTCCAGCGCCCACTTCTTCTCGCTCCACTCCCAGGACTCGGGCGGCGCGACGTCCTCGAAGAAGCGGGTGCCGCCGGGGCGATCGCCGGCCACGCGTGCCGCCGACAGCGGGTCGTACGGCGACGGGCAAAACACCCAGGGCTCCCACTCGCCGGCGCGCGTCTTGCGCTGCAGCTCGAAAATCTCCACCTCGCGCGCCTCGGGCGCCGAGTCGAGGATGATGTCGGACGCGACCCAGCGGTCCGCAAACGACTTGGCCTTGTCGCCGCCCTCAGCCGCCTCGGCTGCGACCTTGTCCATGCCCGCGGCCGCAAGGTCGCCAAACGAGCCCGCCTTGACGTCGGCCACGAACTGGATCACGTATGGGTTAGCGGCGCCAATGTGCGCCCAGCCGCCCGCCAGCAGCACGAAGCGCCAGGGCACCAGGTGCGCCGTGGTGGCGGCGACAAACACTCCGACGACGGCGGCGAGGAAGACGGCCGACGACAGGGCCTCGTCGCTAAAGTTGGTCAGCGGCAGGACCTTTTCGACGACGAGGTCGTGCGCGGTGACGAAGCCGCCCATCTGGTTCTGCAGCCGCCGCATGTTCTTGACAAAGTCGCGGCTGAGCTCGCGGACGGGGGCGACGGTGACGGGCGGGGCGAGCGGCGGGCCGGCGGCCGAGTAGCCCACGCCCTGGTCACTCGACAGCGTGCCGCGCGGGGGCGCCGGGTGCCGCGCGAGGAAGCTCGGGATGAGCACGGCGAGCACCAGCAGCGCGAGCGGCAGGGCGGCGAGCAGGTGCGGGTCGAGGCAGACAAAGGTGTAGACGGCGAGGAAGGAGAGCGTCTGCGTCGGGTGCTGCCACTCCATGAGCGACTCGGACAGGTCCTGCAGCTGGAAGAGCACGCCGGCGCGCGCGTTGAAGCGCCGAAAGTTGTACGACATGGTGCCCAGGCTGAACTCGGGCGCCCGGTGCGCGTTGGCCACGTCCTCGTCGAGCGTGAAGCTGATCTCGCCGTCCTCGGCGGGCATCACCTGCGCGAGGAGCCTGCGTCAATGGAGGTTAGCGATCAGCTGGTGGGCAAGGTTTGGTGGTGGGCGCGGGGGGGGGGCGACGAACCGTTCGACGAGGCGGTCCTGGATGCTGGCTCGCTCGCGCAGCGCGGCGAGCCCGCCAAACAGGCCTTGGCGCTGCGTGGGTGTCGCTGCATCAGCTGCGGTCGCGGAAGCGGATATGTCGTTTGTATCGGCCATGGTTTGCGCGTCTCACGTCGAGAGGGGAGTGCGCATGGCTGGCCGTGGAGTGATGAGAGGTTGAAGGTTGGGCGGGAGGACATGTGACGTTATGCCGACTTGCCGAGGCGGCGGGCGGCAAAATGGCAGGCCCGCTGTACCCCAGAGTTGGTGGGGTTGAGCCGTGCGCTGTGCGCCATCCAGCGATTAGACGAACTTACTGCTCTGGAAAAAAACATTGTTCGGGAAAAAGAATTACTTTATTGTATTTGCCGAGTTTGCACTTGCGAAATTCAGCTCTCGAACCCACTGGCAGCCCATTGGTGCATCCCGCATCTCACTGCGGCCGCCAATTCCTTGCGTCATCCTGCGGAATGAAAATACCTACCAAATATGTAATAAAAAGAATAATTCGTCTTTCCCATATCACATAGATTTCAATATTATGAACTGTCGGATTACGGGCCAAGGTCCGGTGGCTCTTCAGCTATGTCTTACCTCTGTGGCAGTATCACAGCATGCATGAGGGCTGAGGTCTAGATGCCTCAACCATCCATCCTCAAGGTACCTCCGACGCATGCAAGTTTCAGCGCCGTCACGACAAGAAAAATGATTCTTAAAAAGAAACAGATCTACGTTCATAAGTTGATTCTCCTGTACGAGCAAGTATAAAGCCCGACCCGAACCCGTGTTGTCAAGAAGCTTGACCAAGAGCCTCACGCCTCTCATCCTGTCTACAATGGCACGCCTCAGTATTCTCAAAGCACTTTCTTTCACAGCGCTATATATTGGTGCTGCTGCGTTAGACCTCCGTCTTGGTCCCAACATCAATGATGCCCGCCATGAACCTCAGGGGCCTATTACAACCGTCACCATACCCTACCTTGGAGACCACACGACATCGACCGTCATCACCCACTGTGGCATTACAACGGTTGTTGTTGAAACTCCATTGATAAGTTCAACTTGTAGCTCAACCACGTCCTCGACTACTACGTCCACCACTCAACACCCTACCTCAACTTCCACCAGCACGTCCATCCATACTACCACACATGTCCCTACCACAACTTCGACATCCACAAGCACCACATCTAGCACCAGCACAACAGTCATCCCGATCCCAACACCTGGGGGTCCATGCCCGTTGATCAAGCCCGGCTGTGCAGCCGCCGGCCTCAACATCGACTCCTACCCCAACCCCTTCACCGGTTACAGCCGGGAAGGCAGCCTCCCGTGGTCCTACTACATCACGCAGCGACTGCGGCCACTCGCCTCCTCGCTCACCAACGTCGCCTTTTTCCCACAAGACACGGGCCCGCCCGCCCCGCTGCCCCGGGTGTTCCCGAGCCCCGCGTTCCCGCTCGCGTGGTACGCCGTCGGCTGGACCAAGCTGACCAACGGCGGCGTCCGTGTCGACGCCAACAACTTCACGCTCGTGTACGCGGGCTTCTACCGCGCGCCCGAGACGGGCCGGTACGCGCTGTGCTCGACGGCGGACAATGAAAACGACGTCTTCTTCGGCCACGGCAACGCGTTTAGCTGCCTCGACGGCACGACAGACGCGCGTGCCCGGCCGCTCGTGGTGTCGACGGGCGGCAACTACATCAACGGCCTCAAGTGCGCCGAGGTGGACTTGGTCCGCGGCGCGTGGTACCCGCTGCGCAGCGTCATGGGCAACTGGCAGGGCCCGTCGGCGTTTAACCTGACCATCAAGACGCCGAGTCAAACGTTTGAGCAGCGACGGAATGACTTTTCGGGGCTGGCGTATCCTCGCAGCTGCGGATTGTTTCTGTAGATGGGTTGACTGAGCAGTGTGTGGCTTCAACAGTCATTACACCAGTGCTGTCGATGAAACCGAACGCGACTGCTTACCTTTATTGTTCTTGGTGCATTCCGATTTATGGGCATGACTTTACCTCGGTGAGGTGGCGGTTTGATTTTCATCAGGGATTTTCCATGTTCCCGGGTAGCCGCCGTATGAATGAGGCAAGCCAATGTGGCAAGTAGTCGATAACTAAAAAGAGGCAAAGCAGTAATAAGCTAGTTGTTTTGATCCGCTGTGTAGTTTCAGAATAAAATTGTACGCGCACGTGGGAGCCGACACGAGGTGAATAATATTGTTTCATTGTAAGTAACAGTGTAGCACCAGTTGGCGTTGTGGACCTTGACGACTTGCAGTACAGGAGGCCTGATCGAATCGGAATATGCAAGGGCATGACGGAATGATACACTGTGTGCTTGCACAGAAGCAACATGAAACCGAGGACGGGCCGGAAAATATTTACTTTCGATGCAACGCAATGCTGATCGGACGGTGGTGATACTCAGTAGGTCGGCCTACTCAGTAACAGTGGCTGCTTGGTGACCACTAGGGACATCTCATGCCACGTATCTAGTTGTATCTTGACGGGGAATAATAAAAGGGTCTCTTTTGCCCCTGCCAAGTAGGCTACCAGTCGGATGCATTGGTGATCATCAACAAATGATTCAGCCTACTCGGTAGCGTACCAATGGCGGCACTGCACGTAGGCGGACGCCCCTGACATGGCTCCTTTTCCTCGGCTTGATTGGTGGCCTGCCACGTTTTGGGGCAAGCAACGAGGACAAATAAACGGCGCGGCCGCCTTGTTGTTTTTGTTTTTATTATTATTATTCTCTGGGTTTAATAGTTGCGTTGCTTTGTTCATTAAACTGGCTCCCTTTTGCCTGGGAGATGAGTTGCTCGCTGCCCTAGTCAGGTACCTGATATTGGCCAGCTTTTAGGAGCGGACCGAAGTACATTAATAGGCCCAACTATGTCGCTTGCCCTGTAGCTGTTTTTAGCGGGTTGGAGGACTGCTTAGCGGCACATCCACTGCAGTGTGGCTGACGATGGACGGACTGAGGAGGGAGCCCTCTGTCGCCTGACTGTGACCTTAATGCTATGGAAATATAGGATACTGACGCTGAACATCGTCACTCTTTACTTGTCTGATGTCGCTTTGAGTTTTTGAGTAGATGGACTAAAAAGAAAGTATAATCTGGTTGGCCGGCTGCTTACCTGATCATGTACCTGTACCCAGGGTCTGTGCCGCCTCGCCCCGGCCCGCGGGCGACGGATGGATGCCCCGCCAGGTAGCGAGTACCTGCAAGCGATCAGTGCCCTACCGGTCATACCGAGCCAGAAGGTTTACGGTTTGTGTCATTGAATCAAGGTGACTGAAAAATGCATGGAAGGAGCAGAAATCGGGCACATCAATGGTTGATACCGAGGCCAGCGTAGAACAATGGCCCGAGTCTCTGACCGCCTGGAATGGCGGGTGCTGGGTCAGCCCGCTAGCGCATGCTGCAGGTTGCGGCACACATGCGAGTGACCAAGTTGACAGCCGTGCAGTTGGTACCTACCTAGAGGGATGGAGCCCTGGAGCAAGGTCGCGTTGCCGAGCTCTTGACTAGGAAATAAAAATGTAGAAAAAAACGGGTTAAATGAAATTGAATGTACTTACTAAATCATACTTTTTTTACATCCCACATTCCTCCCCTGGGCCTGCTGCTCCAACTACCAACTACGCGCTCCCGTCACCGTCGCAGCCGCCCCTCCAGTGGGTCTCAACCTCCGCATCCCTCATCTCGAAAAAACAACCAAGAGCTTGCTTGCCAGGAAACGCTGCCTCTCGCTTCTCTCCTATCCTTCCATTCTTCTCCAACGCCCAACCTCGACTCGCTTCCTCTGCGATTCTCTCCCAGAGGCAGCTTCCCACCTATTCTCTGTCCGCTGCTGCCGGCTGCTTCATTTTTTTTTCCCATCCTTCTCCTTTTCTGTCGCCTCGTCGTCGCCTGCGTTCCACACCTCCTATCTTGTCCCTTGCCTTTTTCTTTTTTGCACGCCCGCCGACCCCCATCAGCTTCGGGATGAGGTAGCCTTTCGAATGCACTCAGCTCCCCCATCGGACTGAGGCTCCCTCGACGTTGGCTCGACGTTGACTCGCCCCCGAGCATCAATTCGCCATCAAACCTTCCGCGTTCCCCCCCTAGATTCTCCTGGACCCTGCTGTCGGCTCTATGACCTTGAGAGGAAGTCGGACAGCTGGGTCGCGAGGCGTGGAATCCTCTCCCACCAGACTGTACGCCATGAAACAACCAATCGCCCTTTTCTTGCATGCCTGCAACTAACCTGACTGCGTCCTCTAGTCCCCAGTCCGCTTCCAATATATCCTTGTCCACCTCCGCTACAGCCATAAAGCCCGTGACAAACGCACCGATGCTCAGCGCCTCCGCCAGCCAGTCGCACTTTTCCTTCAACCGAAATGGCGAGGCTGCCCGCCAGTCTTCGAGCTCGTACGACTTTCTCCCCTCTGTCAGTTTCGACGACCTCCACGCCAGTATCGAGTCCGCATCCTCCGATTTTAAACTCGCCCAGTTTCCCTCCCCGACAGGCGCTGGCAGCATCCTAGACTCCAAAGGCCAGACCTCCGCCAAATCCGCCGAAAACATGACGTCCACGCAGTCCGCCGCCGCCAGCAATCGAGGCTACATTCCCTCGACGACAACGGCAACGACGACACGCCCTGTACGCTCTAGCTCCATCATTCGCAGGCCAAGCACCTCCAGTCGACAGCCTAGCACTTCGTCGATTGCCTCTTCATGGTCAGCCTCTGGGGAGGGCCTCACAGCCCCTGCCCCAGTCCGCTCCCGTCGCCAGAGCCAGTACCCTCCCGTGTCCAGTGTCACCGCACCCGCCAAGCCGCCTCGCAAGTCGATGGGTCCTGGTATTCTGGTTGACTCGGACACCTATTCTAGTACCCAGCGCCGTCGCCCGAGCATCATCTCTGACCGTGGTGGCTCGGATTCGACGAGGACTTCAATGGATGGCTCAGATTCCACCAGGCCTTTCAACACATCCCGGGCATCCAAGACCAAATCTGTCCAGCCTCCCCCGCGCGTCGCCCAGCCGGGCGGCCTCAGTGCCTATGGTGTCGAATCGAACCGCCTGTCGCTGGCCGCTCGCTCTCCACGGCTCAACGCCAACAATCGTGGTGGCCTCAGTGCCGCCTCCGCCGCCAATAAGAGAGCTTCCATGATGCCTGGAACCGGCCACTCTGCTCACGCCAGTGGCTTGGGAGCGAGAACCATTAGTCCAACTGACACTCGCCGTATGAAGCGCATGTCCATGATGCCCCCGCCGCCTCAGCCAATGAACCACCACGGCAGTATGCCACCCCCTCCGGTATCCATGGACAATAGAGCAACCTCAAGATCGCCTTCTCTGAACCCGGCAAAATCATCCCTCACGCCGTCTTCGGCCCGTACGACTCCGGATCACAGTCGAAAATCATATATTTCGGGGCTCTCGGTTGGCTCCAACGGCAACTTCCCCTTCGCCCAACAACCACTGACTGGCTCAACGCAGTCACGCAGCCAGGCACCTGCTTCCAACTCACGCTTGCCAGCACCAAAGAATAATATCAACGCTCAGAATAGCTCCGACCAAAATGAAGACGACGAGGACGTCCCTCCCGTACCCGCCATTCCCAAGGTGTACGAATCCCCCAAGGATAACGCGCCTGCTGGTCCATACTTTCTGGACAAGAAACGATCGGCCCTCGGCTCCGTCGAGACTCTAAGCATCCATAGCAACTCAACTGGTAGTATTTCATTGCCTCCTCCACCCGAGCCTACAAAGCCTAGACGCCGCCCTAGCGCTAGAAAGAGCGCAATTACCACATCCAGCAAAGATGAAAAGCAACCCAGCCAATCCAGAAGGCATTTGCAGCCACTGACTCTCCCGCCTCTCAATCTCGCCCCATTGAGTATCCCGACTGCCGCAAAAGTGGCCGCTCTGCAGGATCAGCCTGCCAAGGAGCCTCGGTCTAGTCCGCCGCCCACTCGACACGTCCCCAAGACCCCGACTACTCCCATGACGGCCTCCAAGAGCTCCTTTTTCCAGAACCGATACGATGATACGATGGAATTGCCTGTGCTCAGAAGTAGCAGTACCGTCCATCACAGCCATCGAAAGAATACGTCTCCTCCTGATGCTGGCTCGTCCGATTCGTCATCCATCATCATTCAAGAACCTAGTCACAAGTATAGCATCTCGCCCTATCTTTCATCGTCACTCCCTAGGGGCGGCTTCGACTTTGGCGGCCACAAGCGATCCAAGGCTAGCGTTGACTATGCAGCCGTCTCCGGCGACCTCACTGGAGCCCGCACCTTTGAGAAACCGGCTACGAGATCGAGTGATACCGCCAAGTACACACCAAAGTCTCCGCGGCCAGCACCCACCCCTGATGAGCCTCCCACACCTTCGTCCATGAGCTCCCTTCGGCGCAAATTGAGTCTTTCTTGGAAACGCAGCGCATCCAAGAACCACGGCGATTCACACGATGCCGCTGACAAGTCGTCAAATGAGGCAGTTCCCCGCTTACCCACGTCAGCAACAGTCAACAACCTGTACAGTACCAATGCGCGCAGCCCAACAACAACGGCTCCCCCGAACACTACCAATGAGCCACGGACACAGAAGAGTTCTACCCAAGGTCTAGCAATGCTGCCTCACTCGAAAAGTGAATCGTGGGGTAACCGCAAAGAGTCGGACGAGTACTCCCATATGAAGCCTATCAGCCGAATCGTTCACTCCACGCACAAATCTTTGAAACCAAAAGGCTCATCGACGACCTTGCGACAGACGGGGGCATATAGCGCAAACGAACTTGACAAGGACGATTTGGCAGCCAACGATGAGATGCGCAAGATGGGCTCCCGCCGCAAGGAGACGGACATTGCCGCACGCACTCTGGATGCTCTCAAGAGGAGGGCAAGCCCAAAGGAGCGTGTCGGTCCTCAAGAAGCGATTCGCATCGCCATGCTCAACATTTACGAACGGGGCGAGATTATTGACTATGGTGATGTTTACTTTTGCGGTACGCAAAGCGCGCGCAAAGTCGTGGGCGATTTGCAGTCGGATGCCCCCAATTTTGGCTATGATGACGACCGCGGCGACTACACCATTATTGCCGGCGACCACTTGGCATACCGCTACGAGATTGTGGATATCCTTGGAAAAGGCAGTTTTGGACAGGTTCTTCGATGCATTGATCACAAGCTCGGAAAGCTCGTCGCTATCAAGATTATCCGCAACAAGAAGCGCTTTCATCAGCAAGCTCTGGTGGAAGTCAATATTCTGCAAAAGCTACGCGAATGGGTAAGATTTTTGACAGTTTTTTATGTTACTGGGACTAATAGGATATAATAGGACCCCCAAGATAAACACAGCATGGTCAGCTTCACACAGAGCTTCTACTTCCGCGGGCATCTCTGCATCTCTACTGAGCTGCTCGATATGAACCTTTACGAATTCATCAAGGCGCATTCCTTCCGCGGCTTTTCTCTCAGGATTATTCGACGATTCACCAAGCAGATTCTCAGCTCTCTGATTCTTCTCAAGCAGCGCAAGATTATCCACTGCGACTTGAAGCCGGAGAATATTCTGCTCAAACATCCCCTGCATTCGGAACTCAAGGTCATTGACTTTGGCTCGAGCTGCTTTGAGAATGAAAAGGTGTATACATATATCCAGTCTCGTTTCTACCGATCCCCAGAGGTTATTCTAGGCATGACGTATGGGCTGCCCATTGACATGTGGAGCGTGGGCTGCATTCTTGCGGAGCTATTCACGGGCGTGCCCATTTTCCCCGGCGAGAACGAGCAGGAGCAGCTTGCCTGTATTATGGAAGTGTTCGGACCACCGGAGAAGCATCTAATTGAAAAGAGCACCCGCAAGAAGCTCTTCTTTGACTCGATGGGCAAACCTCGCTTGACGGTGTCATCCAAAGGCCGCAGAAGACGCCCGTCATCCAAGACGCTACAGCAGGCACTCAAGTGCGATGATGAAGCCTTTATCGACTTCTTGACTCGCTGCCTACGATGGGACCCTGACCGGCGGTTGAAACCTGAGGATGCTGTGCACCATGAGTTCATAACGGGCCAAAAGATGCCACCCGCACCTCGTATGCCCACTAGGGAGTCGTCCCCGGTAAAACGGAACAACACGATTACCATGTCGCGGCCTCTGCCGGATCCTCCCAAGAACCTGGGAATGCTGCGGACTGTTCCGAGCCCGGTCAAAGGCGCAGTGGCTTTGAACGCGGTGTCTAGACGAGCTTCTGGTGCGACTGGAGCGACAGCGGCAAGCATTAGCCGACGCACTAGCGCGGGGCCGGGCAGCGTGACGTCGTCATCGAGCGGATTGCCGAGGATTGCAGGCCGTTCAGCAAGTGGAAAATCCGACCTGGCTGCGGCAGGTGCGTCGGCGGCCATGAACCGGCGGGCCTAGAGGGCAAGCCGGCGGTCCGAAGCTTGAACTATATATGTATTGTGTTTTGCATGAAAGAGGATAGACTGGGCAACTATATTTGTTTTGATGATGATGAAGCCATTGTATATTTTTTTTTCTATTCATTTCATGGCAAGTTTGACGCGCAGAAGAGGCTTGTTCATTTATAGCAGTGACGTCTGGGAATAGGTTGCGTCGGTTTTTGCTTGTTTTGTTTGTTACAATTCCTTGTGATGGAAAGGGGGGTTGATGATGGTCAAGGGGGTCGGTCCAATTGAAAGGATGGTCGTTTTTGCAAGGACTGCTTTTGAAGGGGAGCAACCCCATGCGGATACCCAAATCATTAAGCATGCATGGAGGCGGAATAGCTTTCAGATTTAATTTTATTTCATTGCGTTTGGCTGAGACTGGTGTGTGCGAAGTGACGGGACCAGTGAAGAACATGTGAGGTCTAGTCGTAACAGAGGAGAAGCGTGGTCGTTGACACAGTATTTCGAGGCCTCCGGATAGGTACTCATGTCACTCACTGCTGAAGTAGCATCAGGGTTGTCTTGCACTGGATAATGGCCTTTCCTAATGTAGTCTCTTTTTGTGCCTTTTTTCTCGCTTGTTTCAAGAAAAGAAAAAAGAAAAAAAGGATAACTCCCCGGTAGAAAAGAAGAGAGTTCAAGTAAATAAAAGCAAGCCGTGAAACGCCAGACGCGGGCTGCCCGGCGAGGCTGAAGACGAGGCTGACCACCACGCAGCCAGAGCCGGACCGAATGTGTTGCTCGTTTGCAAATTGGCGACGAAAAGGGTATGAAGCGAGTGCGTTCCTTGAACACCAACCGGTTCTTGCAGTTTCCTGTTCCTGTTTTTAAAAAAGAGGGAATGGTCCGGGCGGTGCGGTGCATGCGGAGGGAGGAAGGTGTTTCTGATGCACGTGGATGACATGCTGCGATCGGATTTTTGTGTTTATTTTTTTATTTTTTTGATACTGAACTGCCTTCTTGCCGCGTCCTACTCTTTGCTTCCATATACCATTACACCGCTCGTGGTGTGGCTGTGATGGGGCGCGCGGTGGGTTTATGGGTTTCCTCGTGAGGCGCAGTGCAACTATCGAGCAAGGGCTTTCTCTGTCTTCAAAGGCACGACTGTGCGATAAACACATATTGTACGTTTTTTGTAATGCAAACCGGAGAGACGACACCAGATTCAAGAATGTAATAATTACCTCCCGTCTTACTATTCCAACTGCCCAGAAATAGAATAGCACGGGACCGCCATCGCATCTTTAGGGTTCCGCCGCCGGGCGCCCGGTGGAGCACCGAGCACCGGCGACGCCGCCCGCCTCAGCGGGGAATGCGGCCCGGTGGCCCACTTGGACAGAAAGCCAGCGACACAAGCGAGCGTTCCCACGGTCCGGGGAGTTTGATACTCGGGATGGGCTCCCTTCTAGGACATGTATGGTCCTCCTGTTGGGCTCTTCGGAGAGAATGTGCGTTTAGCCCGGTTCTCGTGGTAAGTCTCCGTGGTATGGTGGTGCTGCGGTTTGCGCTTTGTTGTGGCAGGCTCGCAAAATATATTACTGTTTCTTTACCGATGTCAGGAACACCCTACCAGGTGTCATGTCGGCAGTGAGGCGGGCTTGCATGAGTGCACGCCTGGTTACTCATCATCAGCCTCGAGCCTTCAGCTTGGGCTCGAAGTCAATCGGCCGGCGTCCTGTCTTGGACATAGGTGTGTTATATGGGGGACGTCGTTTCAGAATGCTCTTGCATGCATGCAGGTTCAAGACCCGCCTCAAGTGGCCGCATCGGGTGCTGCACCACCAGCCTCAGCTATGGCACGGCGTTGAATGCGTAAAAATAGCATCATTGAGCGAGATGACAGACTTGGCAGCAGAGGGCAAACAATATGGGCAAAAGCTCCGAGCTGCACACTCCACCTTGGTTTGAAGGACGCCCGACGCCCACCAGTTCCAGCTACGTCTGGTGGGGGAGGAGGCGGCAACTCGTGGCTTTCCGTCTTGGTTGGCGCCGATTGCTTCGTCCAGGGGTACCGAGATATGTCACGATGTAGACGTTGGTCGAAGCCTATATCGGCCGACGATGTGGCTGCTGCAAGCGGCAAGGGCCCGTGTTTGGGGCACGACAGTATAGTGTGTCTTGCATTGTTTGTGTTTTGAGACTTTGAAAAACGAGAACATCGACGTCAAGTCTGTCAATTGGTGTTTCCATCGGCAGCGGCTGGCCGATGAGAGAAATTGCTTCTAGAAGCATGCAGGATGATGCTGTCTTTGCTGTGCGTACGTCGTGCGCAGGTACGGCCTCCTGCCCCAGTTGGAAAATGACACGTCGTGGAACGTGTAGCTGGCAACTCCCGGGTAGTCTTCATCACGATCCGATCACGAGAGCTTTTGCTAATTATAATGTTCTTCGTGTTTTCGCTAACCACTAGGTAGTCGGCTGCTGATCGAAATAGGGTGCGAGGATGGTGTGTGGCAGGCTAGCAGCATACGACGCAATTGTCGTCATCTAGGCTGGTGCGGTGCAACGTTCGGAAGCTACCTACGTAGGGTCTAACTACAGTCATGTCTTGGCTTTTTGTTTGGTGTCTTGTGTCTAGACGTATTGTGCGTGCAGAGGTGTTCCTTGCAATCACCACGGACCGCGACATGGCCAGGACGGCCAGAAGACGAACTTTGGGCGGAGTAGTTTGGGGCGAGGCTGCTGTGGAGCATCGAGGAGGCTGTGAGGGTATATTGGATTTAGTTCTCGCATCGTTACCGAGGCGGGCCGGGGTGATGGATTTTGCCGATTGATGATGAAGATGACTCAATTCGAGGAAAGAAACCCATTGCAGCGACACCGAGCAGAAGAATGATGCAGAATGGCAGAGGGCACGGGGTTGGCGATACGAGGATTGCGAAGGGAAAGGAAACAAACGGGCGAGGCTGCCTGGGATGTGGGATGTGGACATCTACGTCAAGATGACTGTTTGCTGCGGGCGAGAGGGAGCACGTGAACCCACTCGTCACTGCCGAGTTTATCGAAATGGCCCAGAATAAATGAAACAAGAACAAACCAAAAAAAGGGAATAAATGTAATTGTGCATGGGTAAAAGAGCTGCCTGGTGCTTGCGGCAGTGGCTGCATCGTGCGGTGACTCGACAATCTGCAGGTCATGACGGGGGAGTACCGCTGAAGATGTATTTGAAATGCACCGCGATGCACTGCGCTGCACGGTACTGCGGCATCATCGGCATCATCAACGGCTTCTTCCTACCACAGCCGCAGGTCCACGACAGCCTCAATTTGGCATGCTCAAATATTCTCAGGCAGCTATCCTCCTATCCATCCCGTAGTTCCATGTCTAAACAAATCAACCCCAAACTAAAACATACCAGTCTGTCACCACCCGCGCTCATCTTCAAGCCCAGTCGCAGTAGCAGTAGCCCAGTGAAATACCATATGGACAACTTTGCCCATGTCCATTCTCATTCATGCAACACAACAACGACAACCATGACAATTCTACCGCCAGCAACCCCTGCCGCGCCTGTCCGCCCCGTCCCACCTCAATTCAGCCCTGCCGTACCTTGTTGCCCAGAAGGCCCCCCCCCCCTAAATTGTCTTCGCGCGGCGGATGACTCTTTTGGCCTGGCCGCTCCGCTCCGCTTGATGCTTCCAGGCAGAAGCTTTTCCTCTTTGCTTGGAACTCGAGCTGCGCCCACCTCCCCGGGCGGTCCCTCGTACGTGGCCGATTCATATGTCTGTTTTCGTCTTGACCTTGGTGGAAGAGAAGAGAAGAGATAGAAAGAATGGCAAAAATAAAGAAAAATCGACGCCTCAACCTGGCGCCGTGTTGCTTGGCTGTGCGCTTCGCTCGCCAGTTTGTTAGTCACCGGTCACGCACACCCCCCTCTACAACACACCAACACCCTGCTCCCTCTGTCTCTATGGACTTTAATTCGTCCTTTTTGCTACGTCTACCAATCCACAATCTTTTATTTTATTGTATTTTATTGTATTTTATTGTATTTTATTCCATTTTTATTTGCTATTTTTTCCCTCCATCTTTCCGTCATCACCGCCTGGTGGCCGTCCCTCTCTCTGCCGCCGTCTCATGTCTGGCCTTTTCGTTCGTCTCCATCTTCCCGCCCCCAGTCCCCGTTATCGTAGAATTTTATTATTATTTTATTCTCCTTCAACTTTGCTGGGCAATCTCTTGTCTCCTTTCGTCATAGTGGTGCACTGGTGGGTAATCTGCTATCCGCGCCGCCCCGGTCCCTCTACCTTTAGGCTACCAAGCCCCGGACCTATAAGGCTACCAGTCCCTGCCTTTTCCGGGCTGGTCCTCTTCTGCCTGGCCTTGCCCCGTCACTCGCTACATCACTCACTCGTCTCTCGTTTTATTCAAAAGACAACCGTTCCTTGAAGTTTTCCTCTTGTTCTTTTCTTCTGACTTGCTGTTCTACATCAACACACCACCCATTCTGTCCTACTGTCTCAACACCTCTGAATCCTCCATCGTCAACTCTTCTACGTTGCTACCAGTTGCTTCAACACGCAACAGCCACGCACAACACTCTACAACAAGTCCACAACTTATCTGCTCTTTCTTTGAACAGTCGTTGAACATAGACTGTTCATTCTTCCATTCTACTGCCATTCCGCGGCAAGCGGTCCTGTCACCTCTCCGGCCTCCCCCGATCGCCGTTGCTAGACTACACAAGACAGCTCAACCCAACTCACAACTCTCCCCATGTGTTTTCAAATTGTTGAACTGTACTCGGCCTGCCGCTGCCTCTACTACCAGCACGCCGTCGACCGCTGCCCCTCCTACGGCCGCCGCGGTCACGCCGTACTGGAGCGCCCCATTCTGGTCGGCTACGCCTGCACCGCCCACGCCTCCCGCCAGGCTGCCGCCGCCAACCACCACACATACTCCGACTCGGGCTACAGCAGCTACCGCTCCAGCTCCAAGGGCTACAAGTGAAACGCGCTGTCTTGCGCCCTGGGCTGTTGCCGCGCGCCGGCTTGCTTGAACCCGTTCCGGATCTACGACTGGATCCTCTTCCTCTGCTCGGCGAACCCTTCCCGGCTGTCTGCACAGCTTGCTGCTTCAAGACACGCGACGACTTTATGACAGTGTACCACTCTCTGCATTTTCAGCAGCTTGGTATATTCTGCAATGACCACTCACGCCTCTCAAAATTGACACCTCTTCACGACCACCGACACGCAATGACCTCGCATCAAACGACTTGACGACCCTCCAGACTGAGCAGGCTCAATCGCCTCCCTATCGATTTGCAGCGAGCATACTTTGTCACTTCTACGACTTTCTCCAAAAAAAATGTTTGACGGAAAGCACACATATACCACTTATTTTACAGGCGAACGGCGCTTCGCAACGCATCTCACCTCCATTCACCGGCTCGTGGCTCAAGTGCCCGGGCTTCCTTTTCACCAAAGCGATATTTTGTCAGACTTGCAGGATCATGGGTTCTACACGTATACACACAGGAAGCATTGTTATTATTTCTCGTTTTTTTTTGTTATTCTCTCGTTTTTGTCTGTTGAACATTAAGCTGTACTGGCTGCAGCTTTTGGCTTGGCTGTGCCAGACCTGTCTGAGGGGGTGCTGGATACTCTCTGCTCTAGATATATTGACCGGAATTTTATCATTTTTCCCATTGTCAGAATTGTACCATCTTGCATCCGTAACTCAAGCGCGTGGCCAATCCGCGCAGCTGCAGAGTGAGAACCTATGAGGCCGACAATATTCCCAGAGCTGCACTTTAACAACCCACGTGGTATTCCGCATTCCGACAAGGCCCCAACTCGAGCGACGCTCGCCGTGACTTTCCGAGAGAATAAACGACCACCCAAACAAAGTCAACCAAGATGATCAGATGGTGTGTGACTCAGGCCTCCGAGGTGTGTGCCAGCAGACTTGCCTAATCGGGCGACCGCCTAAAGTGGGACCCCGGGGGGAGCACAAAAGCCGGCCGCCCGGCGCGCCGGATTTGGGGGCACAAAAAAAAGCAGGAAATGCTGGGCTAAGCTGCAGGGCGGTCCAGCTACGGGTGGGGCTCCCGCCGTGGAAACCAAGGACGCCTTGGAAAGACTACAAAGGAAACAGAGTTCTTAGGTGAGCTGGCAGGCTAAAAAAAGAACGCGAGGCTGTTGGTGGTGCCGATCTGGGCGCGCCACATCTTACGCTGCGCGATCCATTTCGGTGACGATTTAGTCGTGGCCTGACAAATGCACGTTGCGCAACCTAAGCCTACAAAATGTGGCTATAGTTACTCTTTTGTATTTACGACTGGAGACATGCACAGGTTTGAGCTTAGAAGAGGTGTGAAAGTGAAATGTATTCTCAAATAGTTTGCGAAAGTAAGTGTAATTCTCAAATAATCTTGGTTTGCAAAGGTAAATTGTAATTTCAAACAATCTTGATTTTGAGAAACTGCAATGCAGTTCTCAACGAGTCTTGGTTTTGCAAAAGGGCAATGGAATTCTCAAAGAGTCCCGGTTTCCACGTGTTGTAAGACTTGTCAAGTGGTACTCCAAAGGTAAATTGCCTTGACAGTCTTCTTGACTCTGAGTTTCACTCCTCCGGGATCAGCGACTTAGTCCAGTAACCCGCGAAGTAGTCTGCCGTGCCCGTATTCGGCGGGCGGTACTGAAAGCATTCCATAAACGAATCGCCGTCCGTCGCCACATATGCGTACAGCCAGAAGCGCCTCTCCACACGGATACTTCCAAGCAAGGCGAGAACTGGATTCATCAGGGTGCACTCCACCATTTCCAAGCTCAAGGCCGTCACCTTGACCTCCAGCGCAAAGGGTTCTACCCACATGCCACCCACCCTCCCTCGCCTAGCTTGTTGCAGGTACTCGACCGCCAGTGTCGTCTCGCCGTGAGGACGCGCCATACGGACCATGCTCTGCAGCGCCGACGCGTGCTGGCGCAGATCCAGGTATAGCTCGGGGCGATTGGCCATTGGATCGGCTGGCAGCATGCTCAGGATCTTGCTCGGTTCTCCTTCGACGAGCGTGTTGGTGCAGGCCCAGAGCCGGAAGTAAGGCCCGCACACGGTCAGGAGCCACACCGCCGTGAAGTCGGTACCTTGGATGCTTTCGGGAACCTCCTGAAAGGCCCGCGTCTCGATATCCGTGATATTGGTGGTTTGATTGTGCATATCGTCGCAATCGCCTTTCACGGCGCAGAAAATGGGCGGCCTTGTCTTGCGGAATTTGGCGTTCTCCGGGTCGGGGGGTTGAAAGAGGAAGGTGGGCGTCAGGAACAGTCTAAAACTGACATGGTTAAGGACGGCACGCCAGAGCTCGATTGTAGATTTCTCGATTCGCGAGAAGTCCTCGAGCCCCGCGAAGACCTCAAGCCTCTCGCGCACGTTGGGGTCGTCGAGGACGCGACGGACGGCCGACATGATGGCGGAATGAGAGCCTCTTTATGGATCAGCACAGTGAAAAGGAGATGGCTGAGTAGCTGACTGGGAACCATTGCAACGATGGGATATACAGAAGCTTAAATAGTTTAAACATATGCGCATAAGTTGAACAAGTCGGGCAGTCGAGAGTGAAAGAGTAGCACAAACCACCAGTGGTAAGTAGGCAGCAACATGCTGTACGACTTGGATTGCCGAAAGAGCGAGGCCAAGAACACAGAAACGACACATCTTCAGTAGTAAATCCAGCGCAGAAGAGTGTCTCTGACGTGGTTGTGAAGGTTGAAGTGGCATGGGCGTAAAGCCAAGGAAGCATCACCCTTACCCCCGGCGTCTCTCTGCTACACAACTTCGCTGACCCATATTCCTTGACAAATGAGTAAACGTTTTAAAGACGTATGGGGTCCTTCATCTTGACTTTTGCGGCCTGAGCGCCCGTATTAGGCGTAGATTGTGAATGCACATTTGCTACTGTATGACCTCTGCTACACTTCCGCCCCAGAGCGAAGCGCAACAACCAACAGACGGGGGCAAATGAGTTTACGCGGCCGCCGTTTTCATTTGCAGGACCCCTGCCCTTTTTGGGCTCCAAGCAATCACTCAGGTATCAAGCCATGCCAGCGCCGCTCAGTCGTGGCTTCTGTCAGGTGTGTCAACCGTCTTGCCTCTTCCCGAGTGTAACTCAGACGAGTACTCGGCGGCTCTCGCGATGCCCCCCAACAGCCTGTACCAACTCTCATTGGTCGTACCAGGATGTGAAAACTGTTTCGAGGCTTTTTAGGCTACATCGGAAGTCTTTTTTGTGGTTTCACAGGACACGATGCCTCACGCACTTGACAGTGACACGTCTGGTCCCGCCTTGGGCTTGGAGCAGGTAGCCGTCGTAGCTGCATTGTTGGCGGCTGTCAAGTATGGCAGAGCTAGCATAATAACTTAATGTTTATTAAATACAAAAATCGTAAAACCTTATTTGAAGAGATGTTTAGAGAGAAACACTGTGCGAGCTGTAGGGAGAGGAAGTTGCGTAGCCAGTCTCAGTTTGTGTTGCAACTCAAAGCGCTTCAAGCAGCACACCAACAACTGCCCAAAGATCAAGTAAGTTAATTTACCATAGGTATCCGGAGTATCACCTTTTTTTGCCTCTTTCTATTTACATTTCGTTCCCCTGAAAGATCACGTCGATGAATTCTTGTCGAAGCAAGAGTTGTTCCTGCCGAGAGTGGTGAGGCCATATTATGTATTTTCGACTACTTCCGGCGACAGTTCTCAAGTGCCTTTATTCCTTTTGCTTTTTAATTCTTTTTCGTTATTTCATCTTCTTTTTTCTTCTTCTTTGCGTAGAATTTCCCACCTCAACTTCCCAGCCTGGGTAGCAGTCCTACCCTAGATCCGGGGCATTCAGATCCCAGGCCCAAGACCACTAAGTCAACGTAGCAGTGAAAGCAATCAGTTTTGATGTTCTGATAAATAGCCAGGCTGAAAAAGCCGGCCACCATCATCCTCTGACAGTACAGATCATGATCAAAGGCGGTGGTGAAGATGGGAAAGGTGCTCCACGCCACCCGCTGTACCAGTGGCCGCCGGCCACCAAAAAGCACCAATCAGTCCCTGCAACAGGAACTCATGAGGTTGCTCCAATCATCTTTCTTTTTTCCGTCTTCGGGCTCTGTTTCGTAATTAATGATTTGTACTGTGTGCTTCTCCAGCCTGTTACATGCCCCACTTGGACTTTTGCCAGGCGGAAGGCAAGGCAATCACGTTGTGCCTGTTGCCTGCACTCCAGCAGCCAGCCCATTAAAACTGACAGCCGCCTGCAAACGCGCCGCTTCAATCCAGCACCATCAAACACTCTACTACCATCATTTTCTTCGATCCTAGCTCTGCTGCGCCGAATTCCTATTAGTATTATTGTTTATATTCTCGTCATTGGTCACTGTTTCAGTCGTCCTCATTTATCCGCTCACCCCTCCAATTACGATTTCGAGCCTCCATCTGGGCTGCCAAACAGCCCAACGTCAACACTGTCCCGTGGCCGCCTCAGTCCGTGGAACTTCCTCAATATGCACGCCCTATCATCTTGACGGATTGTCTCTGCATCTTTAGTGCATCGCTCATCATACGCTGTCATCGAGAAGACATGTTATCCGCTCTCTACTCGTACACAGAGGCCTGGCCAGCTGATGTTCACCAATCAACCGATTCCGAATCGGATGGGAGCTTCGACAATACGCCTGCTCCAAGCAATCGTCCATCAATCTCGATTGACCGCTCTATTCTTGAGATTGGGCCATATTATTACCTCCCCCATAATGCGAACAACACGGGTCCCCACCATGGCCGTCGACTGAGCGCACTTGCCAGAATCTCCCGGGGGCATGGTGATGCGGAAAAAGAGCCGCTAATTTTGCTCCGAGACATTACTGACCAAGACACTATTTCGCTGCGAGGACGTGCAACTGGATATGAATCGAAAATCATCGCTGATGGCGCTGGTTCTGGGAAGGAGAACCCGTATCGCTCAGGCGGTACACAGTCTAAGTCCGGTCGGAAACGGCTGCAAATTGGTATGTTCTTCGCGGATTCTTCTTGGTTCAGTTCACTAACACGATTTTCCATCAGTGAAAAATTTCCGCTCTTCCAAGCCAGCTACATTCGCCAGAGACAAGTTTCGGCCGAGTTCGATCAAAGCTCCCTAGCAGGATGGCTCCGTTTCTCGCCAGCCTCACACTCCAGTATCGGACACCAACACGTCGCACTTGCAACAATTTCCCACCAACAATGTCTTTGAAGTTCCTCTCTACGAACCGGCGTACGAACCGCCGGATCTCAGAGACCCTCTCCAAGTGCTGGACGAGAAATCTTGCAGTGTTGCGTCATTTAGCACAGTTGGGTCACATGCAGGCCATCATCACTTGCAGATGTCACCTGGTAAACCCGACCTCGCTTCGCAGCCCGCAAAAGGTAAATCTAATATATGCTTGAGTTATACCCGGCTGACATATTGTACAGATGGTGGTTACAGTCTTTCTGCCTGCGTGGCATTTCCTATTGACAACGGAGGAGGTTCTGACAACCTGATCGCACCCATTCCGACTCACCATGCACGGCCAAAGCTCTCTTTGGTAGATATGGCCCACAGTCACTCAGACAATGTGACTGGATCCACGCCAGAAGCCTCTCTGTCATCGAAAAATGTCCTCAAGCGCAGCTATTCAGTTGGTTCGCTCCTCGACTACGCTAGAGCGTCTAAATGGTTACGCGATATGTTGTGGTATCCTGAATCCTATACAACGAAACTCACCAGGCGCCCAAAGAGATCCGGCCTTCGATCCAACTCTGTTAATGCTCTGGAGAATCCATCGTTGGCAGAGATTCAACTAGCACGAAGGGTAACCGGGCTCTCCAAGTATTCTACGCGGTCAGACTCGCGCTTCGATGGCTTTTTGTTTCGCCGTGCCGTGAGTGACTTGGAGAGACTAGTGAATGAAGCGGTGTCTACGGCCTCCCAGGCCGTTGATCTTCCTCAGCATCAAGCTCACAATTCCACTAGCTCGATTGAGAGCAGCGATGAGCCAGCAGGCTCCGACTCGGACGTATCCTCCACCAGCCTTAGTGTCTTGTCGGAGGATGCAGACAACTACTGCTCGCCGAGGCCCCCTTGCAAACATGCCAATACATTTTCTGCCACCGACGACAGACCTCGTCTTCGTGAGGTGGTGGAAAATTACTCGGATGATGGAGTAATGTCGAAATCGGACGAGTACTCTCAAGCACAGCGGCACGTTAAATTTCAACTTCCAGAAACTGCAATGGGAGAAGATGGCAATCAATCTTTCTCAGTGCACTCCCGAATGCGTGGACCAATGCGCACTGGGGGTCCACGAGGAGGTCAAAAAGTTTACTCGAACCCCTACCAAGCAACGACAGACAGAGTACCACAAGGTGGTTTCCAAGCGGGCGACGAACAGCTTCCAGAGCGCGATCTTGCAGGGCGGCAACTGCCTGCTGACCACGGTATTAGCTTACGGCGGCGCTCACATGTCAGTCTACGGGCAGGACAACGATTTAATTTAGCACGATCGCATCGTCGCCAGCCCATCGCGAGAGATTGGTCAACAACTCGCAAACGCTTTGTCGCTTCCGTCGCTTGTATCAGCACTGCGTTGATTGGTATTATTCTTGGGATTTATGCTGGCTTGGTGCCATCTATTCAATACTTCGTCATTGACCCCTCACATGTGGTTGTTCATGGAAATACCGGCTGCTTCCTGGGTATGGCCATTCCAACTTTTCTGTTTTGGCCGCTGCCACTGCTTCATGGTAGAAAGCCCTACATTTTGACTGGTCTCGTTCTTGCCATGCCACTTTTGTTCCCACAAGCGCTGGCAGTAACGTCTCAGAGACTGGTGGATTCGGTCGAGTGGAGGGCACTTCTCCTCGCTTCGAGGACGCTCATGGGTGTGTCACTTGGATTCGCCAGCATGAACTTCCATTCTATCCTCACTGATCTATTTGGTGCGTCTCTGATGAGCGTGAATCCTCATCAAGAGGTTGTTGATCACTACGACGCACGCCGGCACGGAGGCGGCATGGGTGCTTGGCTCGGTATCTGGACATGGTGCTGGATTGGCTCCCTTGGTGTGGGCTTCCTTGTCGGTGCGGCCATCATTGACCAGCATACGCCAACTTGGGGTTTCTACGTCAGCATCATCCTCATCGCGGTGGTTCTATTTCTCAACGTCGTCTGTCCTGAAGTCCGTCGTTCGGCTTACAGGCGCTCTGTTGCGGAAGTCAGAACGGGTCCTGAGATTTCTCGCCGTGTCGCGCGCGGCGAAATCATGATGCACAGGGCCAAGACTGGGCCCAGGTGGTGGGGAGAGGAGGTTTACCATGGCATTGTTCTATCGATGGAGATGCTTCGACAGCCAGGTTTCTTGGTCATGGCTATTTATTCCTCCTGGATCTACTGTCAGGTTGTCCTAATTATTGTGCTTCTTGGATCCTTGGCCTCGAAATTTTACAGATTTCGATCTCCTGCAGTCGGTCTACTAGTTGCCAGCATGTCACTAGGTGCATTCTTGGCCATTCCGTTCCAAAAGGCAAATTTGTTCTCTCGGTCTCGCTTCGCACAACTCAACACCAACAAAGCGACGCTGGATAAGCGCGTAGTTTGGTCATCTCACTTGGTGCGCCGAACGGCTTTCACGCTACTCCTCCCATTGGCCGGCGTTTGCTACGCGGCTGTCTCTACTGGCCCTCCTATGCATGTCAGCCTACCGACAATCTTTTCACTGTGTGTTGGTTTTCTCTCTTGTCTGGCCATTTCTGAATGCAATGGACTCATCATGGAGACCTTTGACTGTTCCGATCTTAGCCCCGGAATGACGGGCCGACAACGTGGCTCTTCGGCGAGGAATCCAAAGCGAACGAATTACTCGTCCTTTCCTCGAGTGACTGCCGGGTTTGCGCTCATTCACACCTTTGCCTTTACCTTGGCTGCAGGCTCTACCGCCTTGGGTGGGCATGTCACGAGAATTCTCGGGCAGCAAGTCGCCACCGGCGTTGTTGCAGGCATTTTGTTTGTGCTGACAGTACTGTTGCTTCTCGTTCTTGTTCGATTTGTGGAAATTCAAATTATACCACGATCCAAGTTTGACGAGATGGATCGAGTAGTGGAAGCAAGACGAAAGTCAACCATCCGGCGAGCATCAATGCCAAATGACCCGCAAGCCTTGATGGAAGAAGAGCAGGCATGGCGCCCTATCATGATTGGCAATCCCATTGGAAAAACACGCCGCATGAGCATTCTTGAGCTCGGTAGCATGACTCGCTGGCAAGAAATTCGCAAGAAAAATCGTCTTATTGATGCTGGCGCGCATTTGAATCGTGGTGCTTTGGGCCACGGGCTAGAGGCGCTGGATGATCAGATGAGTGACTTGAGGCGAAACTTGCATATTGGCAGCGGCAAGAAAAAGGGGCGGCGGACGCATCTCTCGGATGAAAGCAGTGAGACTGGAAACGATCCAGACTTTGACGGGTACAGCATGAGTAACCTCAGTACTCCAGGCAGAACTCGGCACGGCGGTGAGCGGGACGATCCGATGGAGACGGCCATGATAGACGAAGAATTAGGTCGCGCTCACCAGAAGTAAGTAGCAATAGTCACCTAAGAGATAACAAACATATTCTTTTCCCTATTCCAAATTTCAATGCTGTTGTAATGTAAAAGATTGTCTATACGAAGATGTTATTTTAGCCTGACAGGAATTGCGCCCCGAGCGCCGATGTCGTGAAGATGGTTCCTAAAAGACTACGCCAACCCCACATCACAATTCAGTTGATATCATACATGACTTTTCCTGTTGTGAAGTCCTTTGCTTTCTTGTTTTCTATTTTGTGCGAGCCTAGCCCACATTGAGCACCAGGTCCTCGCCCCTGCGTGTCGGAGTCAACCGGGGTAACCAGTTTGGCGTGCTCGGCAGCTCCGGCGTACCAAGACCCCCCGGGACCTGCGTCTTCCCATCCCCCCCTTGCTTCTTCTTCTGCTGCTGCTCCTCCTGTTGTTTCCAGTGATCCCGGCGCTGCAGCTCCTTGGGCGCCAGCGCCATGTCGGCCGCGCGCGTCGATCCCAGGCGTTTTGTCAGCAGCGACGACGGCGACGTGGCGAGCGCTTCCTGGCTGCTATTGTCATGCGCGGCCGGGTCGTACGCGACGTGCTGCGGAGCGCGCTCCTCCCGGTCTTGCGGTCGGTACGGTCGCGGCATCGGCATCGGGTACCGGCTGAAGCTGTCGTCGTCGATGGGCTGTGTGGGTTCAGCCCGCGCCGCAGAACGGCGGTGCGCACGCGGCACGGGATACAGCGGGAAGGGATGCGGCAGGTTGCTCGGCGGGCGTCGCCGCGGCGGGCGGCTGGGAGCACCGACGACGCTCGACGACGGGAGAAGTGTGCGGTCGTCGCGCGGGGACGGCGACGCGGCGGTGGGATGGGGCGGCTCAGGAGAGGGCTCGACGATGCGCATCGTCGGCGACCCGGTGCGCGCGGCATGCGCTATATGCGCCGTCGGACGCAGCCTCTGCATGGCCGGCGAGGGCATGCCGCCGCGTCCGACTCCTCGGCCACCGCGTGGGTCCGCGCCGCCGCACGTCGGCTGTCGCGGAACTGCCGCCGGCGACGGCCCGCGGTGCGTCGTCTCGGCGTGGCTGGCGGCGCGTGACGGCGCGACTCCAGGCGTCAAGACCCGGTCGCGGCTGTGAATGCGCGGGTACGACACGGGGCTGACCCCGCCGCCGCCGCCGCTGCTGGACTCGGACGTGCCGGGTGGCGGATCAGTAAATACTTTGCTGCTGCGGCCCGGACTGCTGCTGCTGGAGGAATTGGTGGAGACGGCTGTGGGAAGAGGAGGGGGAGGAGTGCGGTGGTGCGGCGATTCGGCGACGGGGGAGAGAGTGCGCGCCCGGCCTGTCGGGACAGAGGACTGCTGCGCAACGGGGCTCTCCGACACGGCGGTGGAGATGCTAAAGGTGGTGATGCCGCTGTCCGTGGACGTCACGCGCGGCTGTGCCGGGCGCGCAGTGAGTGACCGTCCGGCAGGCTGGTTGTGGCTGGGCACCGGCTGCGAGACGGACCGCGGATTGGACAGTCTCGAGAAGAGCGGCGACGGCACTGTCTTGGGCGTGCTCGTGATGGGGGCCATGCGCGGGGGCGATGCCGGCCGCTGGCTGTCACCTTTGCGCGTCGTCTTGGCCTCGGGGAGCGGCGTGGCGGCCAGTTCCTGCGGCGAGGCGGGGGCGGCGGCGGTGTGGGAGGGCGATTTGCGCGGGGCCGGGATGTGCGTCTGCACGGCCGTGGTGACGATGCCGGCGGTCGCGGTGGCGATGCGCGGGGCGCTGCCGGCGCTCAGCGGGCTCCGGGGATCACCGCCGAGGATCCAGTTGCCGCGGCCGTCGGCGACGTAGTACGCTGCGACGGCGGATTCCGGCGGCGCCGACGCCGACAGCGGCGGACACCAGATCTGCCCGGCGGCCGTGGAGGACGTGGACCGCCGCAGGTCGTCCTCTTCAAACTCGGTCAGCGTGCTGTCGCGGCCGGCGGCGGCAACAGCCGGCAGCAGCGAGAGCTTGGTGTCGGGGATGACGACGCGCAGCGACGGGGCGACGGTGCGCATAAACTGCGCGGCAATCGGGTACTGCTGCTGTTGTTGGGGCACCTGGTCCCCGTGGCTTTCCTGGTACGTTGGCTGCGGCGGCGGCGGCGACTGCATGTCGGGCTTGGCCGGCAGCAGCTTGGACAGCGGGCGCGTGCGGGTGGGGGTATTCGTCGGGGAGCTCCGGAAGAGCTTTGACGGGGAGATGGCGAGGCCGATGGCGCTGGGTCGCCAGCTGGCGCGGTTATACAGCTCCTTTGCGGGATGGTCGGCGGCAGCAGCAGCACCGCTCATGGCGGGATACCGCAAGAGGTCGGCGGGCGCTGGGCTGTTGGAGTGCGACGACTTGTCGAAGCGGTAGCCCCAGGTGTCGCGCGTCGGCGTGTGGTAGCTGCCGCCCGTGGGACCGGGCCCGTTGGGGCCGAAGCTGGAGGAGCTGCTGTTGCGGTGGCGCTGGCGGCGCCGGCGGCGCAGCAGGCATCGCGTGAGCAGGACGGCTGCTAGGACGAGGCCGCCGGCGATGCACACGGCGCCGACGGATATGCCGGCGATTTGGCCTTTGGAGAGGGGTGGTTGGCTGGCGGCGACATTGTCTGTCGGGGATGGTGTGGCGGAGGTGGTGGTTATCGAGGTTCCGGTGGTGGTGGTGGTGATGGTGGTGGTGGTGATGGTGGTGGTCTGAGATGTGGTTTTGCTCGTGGTCGGCGTGGCGGTGGTCAAGGTAGTCTTGGTGGAAGTCGAGGTCGAGGTCGAGGTCGAGGTCGAACTGCTCTTGGGGGATGTAGGCACGGGTATATCAGACTCGGAGGTAGTGATGGGCGCAAAGGTCAGTATGCCGCTCGTCGGGCCATAGCGAAGCGTGGCAGTCATGACGCCTCCCCTCGGCTCAGCGGCGTCCTTTGCGCCGTCGCACACGGTCGTAGCCTTGAGCAGGGCATCGTCTATAATTTCCAACGGTCAGTTTCCGCTTTCAAGGCAGTTGAAGAAGGGTGGTCTTTTTACCTCCGGACTCGGCCTTGGTGCAGAAGCCGACGTTGCGCTCGCCGGCGATGCACTGCACGGCGCCCTCGCTGACGGTGTAGCCGGAGCGGCCGCGGTAGGCGCAGACAAAGTCGAGGTCGAGGAACTGGTCCGACGCGTCGCCGCGCGCGTAGTTGACGGCGAGAAAGGATGCGAGGCACGAGGCGGCGCACGCGGGCACAAACGCAGCGGCATCGTCGCGGAGGCGCGCGGGAAGGTCGGCGGGCGAGACGGCGGCGGCGGCGGTGGCGGCGTGCAAGAGAGTGACGATGGAGAGCAGGATATGGCGGCGCGTCCTGGCCATTTTCTAAAGATCAGACCGGATGTGAAGGGCGGCGGCTGGAGGAGGCTCAATCGTCAGCTTTTGGTTCAAGCGTCCGTGTAAGTGAGCGTATAGAGGTGGCATTACCCGAAAGAGGGAGGGTATGTCAAGGCTGAGATTTAGTACATGGCGTATAGCCGTGTGCACATTCCAACCGGGTTGTATATCTTGTAATTTTTCGAGTTATCGCTGCTTGTGTTTTCGCGTAACAATGTCAAGAACGGTGTGTTTGTGTGTGTGTTATTCACGGTTCATCCGGGACTGCCGTTTGAGGCGGGAAGCTTTGGCGGGGCGAGGTTTGGACCCGGAAATTGACTTTATGAATAGAAGAATGACTTCTGTGACGGCAAGTCGCACGAATCCTGGAACAAAGAAGGCCGGTAATAATAAGGTATATGTAGGGAAAAGCAAACAAGAAAAGCTGGGGAAAAAAAATTATACAAAGGAAAGGATGGGGAAGAAGAAGAAAAGGTTGACGCAACGGTTGAAGAGAAAGGTTTTTTAAAAAAAAAATGATATCATGGGAGAAGAAGAGAAGAGGAAGATGAATGCGAGGCAACATCTTCTTGAGGACCCCCAGCTTCTCTCGGCCGTTTACACATCTTCTGTTCAACCCTCCCCCCCCCCCCCGGCGCGTCTCAGCCTATCGACTGCGTATGCTTGCCGCCGAGCCCACAAACCGGGGACCAGCACAAAGCGAGAGCAAGTCGAGTTGTCCTGTGGGGGGGAAAGGCCAGGCAGCAGCGCTTCGGACCATGGGGGGCCAGTCATTTTCGGCCGGGTGGGTGAGAGCGTTGGACAACCTTTTGCTGCTAACCGCCCGCCTTGTTTCGTGTAAGCGCCGAGCCACCAAACCGTTCCCCCGCGATGCTGTTCCCGCGAACCTCGATTGAACGGCTCGGTTTCTACCTCGTCCTTTATCCAGCAAGTATCTCAATATGATGCTTCAACACGCACATTGTACGTAAACAGCAGGAGAAAAAAATAAAAAAAAAAGAGTGACAAAGGGCATAGTTGGTTGATTGCTCGTCACAGCCCCCCCCGTCAGGCGTGTGATTGGCCCCCCCCGGCCCCCCTCCCGCATGCAGCCTGTGAAACATGCATCCCGCGCGCGCGCGCGCAACATTTCTCTCTAGCAAAGGTGAATCTTGTGTTTTTTTTTTTCCGGATAGGGGGGGTGTTACATCACACCAGCTCACACCTACCAGCCAAGAACGAGTTTGTGCATTGTTGGGTGCGCTGTCACAGGCTCGATAAGCGGTACAGACAGATTGTGACACACGAACTGGATTTCTGGAAAAAAAAGGGGGTTTCTACATCATCTAACTCAAGAGAACAAAATTGTAAAAGCAGAAGAAAAAAAAAGAGAAACGTTCACAGCACTGACCATTCTTCTCCCGTCTGTCAAACTTCCCTCGACAGCCGCCAAGGCTCGTCTCCATTCCATCAACACGGTACTCGACAAGAAATTCACTGCGCCAACGCCAAAGATGTGGGGATAAATGGTAAATAGACAACAACACGACTTCAAACCACCAACAGAGAGACCGGCCCAGTGGACCATCCTCACATGGCCATTTCCGCCTGCAACTTGCGCAGCTCCTCTTCCTCGTCGTCCTCCTTCCGCGCCGCAGCCTGCGGTCGGTTGGACACGGCTGTCATCCAAGTTAGCCTCATCATCATCTTGCTCATCAGAAAGCAGCACCACGTCACAAAACTTACGATCTTGGCTGGGCGGCGACGCCAGCACCGGCACCGTGCCCGTCTTGAGCATTGCCTCGTCCAGCTGCTCCTGCTGCATCTGGTCCAGCTCGTCCTCCAGGTCCTGCTCGTCCACCGCATTGCTGAGGCTCGACGACGTGAGCGCGTTGACGATTTCGTCGCTGAGTTCGTTTTGCTCCCGGATTTTGTCCCTATTCTCTCGTTAGCATCCCCGACTCCTTTGCCTTTCCCTTTCCCCACCCCACCCGCCGCAACATACATGGTCTCGTCCACCTTCTCCGGCGTCAGCTTGCCGTGGATATTCCTCATCGCCGCGCTGGCATTCTCCATCGCCTGCAGCGTGCTGCGGTTAATGTTGGCCGACTCGATGGCGTTGATCTGCTGCTCCAGCGTGCCGACCTGCGCCTCCGTCTGCTCCAGCGAGCGCTCGTGCGCCTTTTTCCGTCTCAACGCCGCCTTGGCCGCTACCGTAGTCACTCGTATTAGTTTCTTTTCTCTTGTCTGCAGTGTCGTCTTCCCAACCGCACTCCCTCACGCCCCATCACTGGTCCGCCTTACCACTTGTATTGTTGGCCGCCACGTGCTTGCGCGCCGTGGCGTCCTGGTCTGCAATCTGATTCTCCAGGTGCGTCTGTCGCTTCTGCAACATGTCCAGCTGCGACCGCAGGCCCAGAATCGCATTCTTGGGCGAGTCTTTGCGGTTCTGCGCCGAACCGCCGCCACCGAACCAGCCCCACATTGTCGCGTTTAGGTAGGTGCGTGGTCGTAGGTTGTGTCAAGTGTAGAATACCACAAGGGCTGGATGATCCGGCCTCTTGTCCCGTCGTCAAGGATGGACCGTGGCCGTAGAGGTTGTCGTCTTGTCGAGTCGCAAAGCGTGAGCGCCCGCGTTGCTCGCCGGCTGTGACTGTGGTGGGGTATCAGCGCCGTCCGAGCAACAGAGCAGAGAGGGCGGATGAGGCACTGCTACGACCTTCAAGTCGTGCTTGTCAGGGGGGCGAGCAGGTGCAGTCGTGAGAGACGGGATCGGGCTTGTACGCAGATCGCTTAGGATAAAAGGAAATGAGGGAGACGGCTGCCTGTGTCTGGGCCGCGTGGTAGCTGACTGCTGGGATTATGACGAAAGGCCCTGCCCTGCCAAACGCCCCATCCGATATTTTGCCACGGATCATGTGACGCTACCCAGTGACGCCTGAAGCCTGCCAACCTTGAGCGCCTTCCATGTACACGAGGGACATGGAACAATTTGAAACAGGCCGTAATCATTTTCCAATCATTTTACAATTATTAGTAGGGCCACGACAGTCTGGGTTGCGTCCGTCGTCGTGGAAAGAAAAGTTACACGCCCACGTGTGCACACCCGCCGCCATCCAACTTCAGAACTTCAGAGTTGAATGCACAATAATACATTAAATATCCTAAAACTCCTAAAAAGCAACCCACATCCAACGCTTCTATCGCTTCACCTCCCGACGGAGAGTTTGCCAACAAAGGCCAGCCAGCTGCCACAAGTGTCCAACGGCAACCAGACCTCATCGTACAAGAGCAGAGGCTCCTGTAACCAACGTGCCTGTTTCTTACACATCATCTCCGTCCACACCAATTTCAAATTCCCGGAAAATCCAAATTGCCCCCCGCCACATCGCCATTAACTGCAATCAAAAAAAGTATGTCGTTGTGGACGTGGCATCGTTCATGCCCCAAGCTAGCGCCTTCCTCCCAAAAGCAGGCGCTGTAGTCTAATGTAATGGTGCAAGAAAAAGTGTAAAAAGAATCAAAAGTCGCAGTGTCGTATTTACTCGAGGAACGCATTGTCCTTGTCTACACCCGACGCCGTCAGTCTTTCTCTCAAAGACGAGGCTGGCCGCGATGTGGCACGGGACAAGTGCCGACGCGAATGCATCTTGCGTGGCACGTCGTAGTCTGTCTTTGCTTCGGCCCTCTTATTTGTCCTTGGCGAACTTTTCGTCGGTATCCTTGTGCCAGACAACATAGTTGGGCAGGCCGACAACGGAATAACCCGCGCGCTTGGCCATCTTGGCAAAGCCTTCCGTCTCGGCTTGGTTCTCAAAGGCATAAGGAGGGAAGTTGACCCCCGATCTGTGGACATCAGCCTTGACAAGAATGCTAACACCGCCGATACCATCAAGTTCGAGCTCTTCGTCCTTGTTTTGGTTGCGGTCACCCATCAGGCACATGTACGATCGGCCAGTCCTGAACTGCTTGTATCCTGCACACAGTTAGAAGAGCCGTCAAGGTCAGCGTTTGATTAAAACAAACCTTCAACAATGACGGTGTCCTTGTCTAGCTTCTTGGCGAGAGCGAGGGCCTGGTTCGACTCAACCCACGAGTTGTAATCGACTGGCAAGTGTTAGTCTTGCACAAGGCTCTGTACAGCCAGTCACTTACATCGTCCCTCAATGTCGTGCCCATTCTTCTCATACCGGTGGAACCAAATGTCTAAAAGTGGTCAGTATGATTGATATAGCTTCTTGATATGTATGCAACATACTAGGGACAATGACATCCTTGTCATGGGCAATAAAGTCCTCAATCAAGGTGTCGGGACTTTCTTCAATGTCGGAGTCACGCCAGTACACCCAAGAGTGCTCGGGTTTAAGCGCAGAGTAGAGGAGGTAGTTGCGAGCTTTGGCCATGGCCTTGCGGCGAGGAGCTTGAGCCGCATACGCGTGGCGCTCCTCGATATCCTGGCTCAGCTTGTAGCCAAAGTCCTTTTCAACAACGGTGGCACTTCGGAATGGTACCTTGTCGGGGCGGCTCTGGATACGGTCGAGCTCAGCAGCCAGGGCGGCGTGGGTGTCATCTTCCGAGTCTGAGATGAGGAAGGCGAGGTCGATCAAGTGGTGTGGATACGTCAGTCTGGCAAGCAGATCAAAGTACTTGGGCAGGAATTTGGCGGCATCCTTGAGGGGAGTCAGGATGAGAACTCGCTCTTCGTTGGTGACGGCCTTGGTGGTGGAGACGATAGGGTTTAGATTGACGTGGTGAATGGTGCTGGAATTGACCTCGATCGCTGCGTGGGGATTATAGAGAACAGGTGTTTGCAGGTGGGCGTTCCATCTGGCGTAGTCGTTTGCCGTCATGTCCATGGGCGACTTGGACGGGCCCCAACAGTAGAAGCTGGCGAGGGGTTAGCGAGCGCGATCAGGTGAACGGGGAGCCTGGAAATTCCACATACCTTTGCATCTCGGATGCGGAATTGGAAACGCCACGCCATAACAGGACGATGGCTGTGACAATAGCAGCGAGAACGACGACTCGTTTGCGCGCGACGAGGTTCCAAACGGCGCGCGAAGGGGGAAGCCTGGACTGCGCAGCCTTCCAGTTTAGGCCACCTTTGGGAAGAAGCATGTTGGGCGGATTTCAATCACCACCTCTGGCTGGTGCGGCGACTTGTGTTGCGTGGGTGGGATATACGGTGGTTGAAATGTTGTCGGGCCGATGCTCCAACGGACAGAATGCGGATGATGATGGTTGTGTTTGGTACCAGGGAGATAAGGGGTGGTCGACCAGAGCTGGGGGTAGCGAGTGGCGTGGGCGGGAATTGGAAGAGGAAACGAGTGGACGCGATTAATAGAATCGTAGGGGAGGAGGGAGCTGGGCCCGTCAGAAGCCGGGTGGGATGAACCTGGGCAGACCAAAGAAGTGGCGTTGTTGAGGCAGAAAAAGCAGCATTGACTATCAGGAGAGGCCGCGAGATGGCAGAACGGGCAGAACGTGGCTCGTCCGCCATCAACGGAGAAAAAGCTTCAGGGTGGTGTGTACATGTAGATACCAGATAAGTTGCGCAATTTCCACATTATCTGGGGTGTTTCTGTTGTACCTGCCAAGTACCCACCGGGCTCGTTCGCATGCAGCGGGAACGCTTGTCCAAATTTAGCACAGCCAGGTTCACCCACCCCTTTCAGAACAGAAGGCGCTGTAACGTTATTTACAGATAACACTGAATTCGAACTTGGACTACTCTACTTTCAGCCAATACGGGGAACGCCGTACATAATTCTACCAAGTTTATGAGTTATTAACCATGGCTTGGCCCTCGTGCTGTTCTATACGTCTCCTGTTGTCCCAGTGTCGGCATGCTCGGAATGCGTTGCGCGCGCGTGGTATCACCAACCAAAACTAGCAACTTGTACCTTTGTCCGCCCGAATACGTTGTACTCTTGTACATACGTTGCAAATGGACTATGACACCACTTGATCGACCTCGCCTTCCTCATCTCAGACTCTGAAGATGACACCCACGCCGCCCTGGCTGCTGAGCCTGCCCAATAACAGCCGCACTAATTAACCTTTCTGTCCGCGGGCTAGCTTACTAGAGATCCTAAAGATGAGACCGTAACATTTCCGGATGTATCCTATTTCGCATACTCTTCCGTTATGTCTTAGGAAATAGTAACTATATTAGAAAAAGAATAAGAAGAATACTAAGATAAAAAAGATAAAAAAGATAAAAAAGATAAAAAAGATAAAAAAGATAAAAAAGATAAAAAAGACAAAAAAGATAAAAAAGATAAAAAAGATAAAAAAGATAAAAAAGATAAAAAAGACACTCTAAACATAGTTAACCCCCCGCCAGATTCCCTGCCGACTAAACTCCGGACACCGGTGTAGGGTAGTCCAGGCACAAGTCTAGCTTCTTGGCGAGAGCGAGGGCCTGGTTCGACTCAAAGCCTCACTCACGAGCACTAGAGCTCCCCTTGATGCCGTGAATATTCGGAATTTGTCATCTGTCTCTTGAACCATCACCATCCACTGACGCATGATTCTGCATCGATAGGGCCTTGAACAGCCATCAGGACCAAGGTCGCTTCTGCCGCCCTCTACACACCTTAAACCAACGGCATTGGGACTGCTTTCGTGTATGATTGCGATACGGTCATTCACGCTACGTATCCTCGCGCTCCCGCTGCGACATACGTCACCAGTTCAAGCCATTACCACTATACACAACGCAGACAGACCGCGGATACAGTCACAGACACAGTCACGCACTTACAAAATTCCTACAATGGCCGGGACAAGGCGATCTTCACGCCTCAGCGCTGCCACCCAGGCGATGCCTCCCCCAGCAGCGCCGGCCGCACCCACCACCAACGGCCGCAAGCGCAAGGCCGCCGCAGAGCCGCAAGCCGAGGCGCCCTCGACGCCCAAGAAGAAGCGCATCGTCGCGCCGCCGCCGCTGACGCCGACCCCCAGCGCCGTGGGCATCATTGCCGAGCCGGCGCTCCACAACGGTCCGCAGCCGGCCACCGTCGCCCGTCTCGCGGACCCGCGCGGCACCAACGCGATGCTGCTGTCGCCCGAGACCTCACGGCTGATTGCGCCGCGCGACGAGGCGCCGCCGTCGCCGTCCAAGGGCCGGGGCAAGCCGCCACCGACGACGACGACCACGCAGACGCTGCTGCAGGAAGCGTGCGACCACCTCATCAGCGTCGACGAGCGCATGCGGCCGCTCATCGCAAAGCACACGTGCCGCGCCTTTTCACCCGAGGGCCTGGCGGAAAAGGTCGACCCGTTTGAGAGCCTCTCGAGCGGCATCATCTCGCAGCAGGTGTCTGGCGCGGCGGCCAAGTCGATCAAGAACAAGTTTGTCGCCCTCTTCGCCGCCGACAGCGCAGCAGCAGCACGCTTCCCGCACCCGTCGCAGGTGGCCGCCACGCCGCTCGACACGCTGCGCACGGCGGGCCTGTCGCAGCGCAAGGCCGAGTACATCCAGGGCCTGGCGGGGCGGTTCGCGTCGGGCGAGCTGAGCGCGCAGATGCTGCGGGACGCGCCGTACGACGAGGTGCTGGCGCGGCTGACGGCGGTGCGCGGGCTGGGAAGGTGGTCGGTCGAGATGTTTGCGTGCTTTGGGCTCAAGCGCATGGACGTCTTTGCGCTCGGCGACCTGGGCGTGCAGCGCGGCATGGCCGCGTTTGAGGGCCGCGACGTGGCCAAGCTGCGCACCAAGGGCGGCAAGTGGAAGTACATGTCGGAGCAGGACATGGTGGCGCTGTCGGACAGGTTCGCGCCGTATCGCAGCCTGTTCATGTGGTACATGTGGCGGGTGGAGGAGACGGACATTAGCACCATGGAGTCGTAGCGAGGCTGGAGAGTCCCAATATTTGGGTAGGTGTTGGTGACTGGCATGGCGTACAATGGGATGGTCGAGGGGGCAGCGTTGACTTTTGGCAGGAGCGTGGAATTTGGGCTGGTTACGACGGGCTATGTTGAATCATGCTGGGATATAGGAGTGATCATGCTGGGATACAGCAGTTGGCGATATGCAAGGGATGATTTATATTGCTCTGTAAATAATAACATCCCACGTTAATTGAAGATGGGCCTGCGTGACCGGTCGTGCCGAAGCAACTCGGTCAAATGACATGTACCCGCATATCAAGCAGTACGATGTCATGATGCCAAGCAACCCCAGACTCGTCACCATATCTGCGCAAGCCTTGCAGCCCTGTCGTATCACGCAGGCGCATGGAGAAGATTTCGTATTCCGTCGTTGGAATAATAATACTGGTAAAAAGGCCAGAAGCTGTCGACCCGCCAGAATCGGACGACACCAGGAGGCAGGGGGGAGGCTCGAGTCCACAGTGCGTGCAATATTAGGCAATTTCACTCAATCCCCACTGGTCAGCCATGCTCGGCCCTACTGCGATGATATCAAAAGTTCGTTTCGTCTTCTTTTTGCTCCGATGGGACAGGGGAAGCGGCGGTGAAGTTGTAGACACGTGCTGGGCTGCCAGGGTTGGCGAGAACTAGCAACCTGCACCTTTGTCCGCACGAATACGTTGTACTCTTGTACATACGTTGCAAATGAACTATGCAACAATCCGTACACTATTCAATGGGTCGTCTGGACGGCGTTCCGGAAACGTGTTTTGGGGGCCAATTCTTTAGTTGACTAGTGGAATAGTTGGTTACCTGTTCGTTATCACTGGTAGCGTAGCGGGACAACGGGTACACTATTGCAGAAATAGTCTCTAAGCCAAAGGCGGAGAGAAATGCGCAGATACAAGTTTGGGCAGATGACGGTTAGGAGAGAAAAAAAAAAGCCGGGACAGAAGATGAAGCAAATCTCGCATCTGGCCAACAAATCCTCCTCTGATGTCATGCGTGACCTGAGCTGTAAAGTGCCCACATTGCCGGAACCCATGCCCCTGCAAAACCACGATGGAAGGATGCTGGGCCAGAGCAGGGAAGAAATCTGGAATGTGATGTTGCCAGTTATTTATTACAACAAATTCAGTTCAGTACTATACCGGGGTTTTCAGACAGCAAAAAGGGGCTTGCCCAGTCAAGCTACCGACTGGTACTAGCGAGCGCTAGCATGTGGCATGCAAAGAACGACTTTTTTCAATTTTTCTCTTTGGCCAGCAATGCTGATGCATGTTGGAGGAATACGGGGCTTGGGTGGTATTTGCCAAGCATGGGATACTCGTACGTGGCGACTTGTCTGCATGCGCTGCAAGACCTGCCATGCCATGGTGCGGCCATGTATGTGTTATCATACAATGTGACTTTGCATCTTGCAGAATCAGGCAAAAAGGCTGTCCGGCCAAGGCTCTAAAAGAAAAAGAGTTTGTAAAAATTTGGGCTTAGCCGACAGGAACAGACGGAATGCGCGGATGTAGGATGCCGGGTGGCGTGGCGCGAGTATGTATGGAGTAGTAATAGTCCTTTGTTTCTGGCCTGGACAAGAGCGTCAAAGGAAGCTCGGCACTGGGCGCGTTCTTGGCTGGGCTAATCCGTGCCGTCAGATGCAAATTGACGCAAATTGATGCAAATTGACGAGGTCAATCTTGGGGGTACAGCGGTATTTACATTAGCAGACCTGGCTCTTCAACAATTGCCAGGTGTGTGTTTCACTAGTCGCACATCGGTACATCACCCCATTTCATCTGGCCAGTGAAAAATAGCCATCTTGGAAGAGATCGGCAGAGACCCATTGGATCATTGCAGATGATCATGTTGAGGGTGTTTTGATGGTTTGATACCGTGGTGCGGCAGCGCTGTACAAGGTTCATTGTGGGCGGCCAGCCGCCACCTCTGTTTTCGGTTCTGATTAACTCAATATTAGTACCTGGTTGTCTTGCGCGTACACTATGTGTGTGCGCGAGATATTGCGAGTGGCAAAAGGCCAAGACCTTTGGCGTATTTTTGGCGGTCCTGATGACGACCCGTAGGCTGTCCGGAGATGGGAACAAGTTCGCGCCACCGGCTTGGTGTTTGCCGGCCTGGTGTTTGAAACAGCTGGATAGGTCGAATGTCCCGTGCACTGGATCGACTTGGCTGTTGGAGCTGGATGGTGGTGGTTTTGGTTGCTAGCGAGAGAGGTGGGACACGCAAGCTTCGCCGTGCCGGGGTGGAGCATAGAGTTTTGTCGTGTTGACGGGAGGAAAAAGGAAGGAGAGAAAAAAAGAGTCGGTGGCTGGAGAAGTCGCAAAGGTACGGCTAATGATAGTGCCGGTAATGGTCGGTATTAATGGTTAAGACGAGGGCTGGTGTTGATGGTGCCCAGGTGAGGAGCAAAAGGCCCGGAATAGGAATACGTGTGGTCGCTGGGAAACCAGGAGAGGAGAAATAAACAAATATTGCTTGAAAACTGACTTTCATGTATCCGTATGTGAAAGTGATGCGTGGGATGAGACTGCGAGAGTCGGGTGTGTCACAGACTTGCAGCGCAAAAAAAAAGCAGGGCTGAGATGAAGATGGGATTGGGCAGAAGCGGGATACAAGACAGGGACAGTTGAGGTCCATGACGGTTGGATCGTGCGATGGAAGGGTGGCTTTGTGGCGGTGCTGCAGCCATGTTTTGTGCTTTGTATGGCCAGGGCTTGGATGGGATGGGACTTGGGACGTGCAGGAGGGAGTTGGGCAGGGGGTGTTGCAGTGCTGTGGTGAGGCGTCCATGGGAGAGTGATGTGGTGTATCGTACAAATTATATGACTACTATGTACCTAGCTGGAGAATAGTTTCCATGGTCACGAGTTTAAAGTTTTGCAGATTGGCGACAATGTAACTGCCAGCTGTTATTGCTATTACTGGCACAATCAACAGTTGGCGGCGTTTGCGTACCTAGGTAGGTGCTAGGTTGCCAGGCATACGGATTCCTGGTAACAACAGGTACAGAGGTACTAACGAATTACAGATGCATGGACCCGCAAATCTCAGGTGCCAGCAGCGCTGAACTTGTGGGGGTTGGGCTCCACCCCATCTCCGCCTGCATTGGCCTTGTGCCTGTTTTTTTTCCCTTTTGTTTTGGCCCCTGTTGTTGCTGCCCTGCTGCCCGGGACCTGCGGTGGCGATTCTGCAACAGGTACGGCCACTACCGGCATCAGCTGCTGTCAATCTGGCTTTTGCTATCATTAACCGCTGTTCAATCGTAGTCGATGTAATTTGTACGGATGAATCAATAGAGCAATCATCAATACGCGCATTCTGCTTCTTCAATCGAATCATGACTTCCATCTCGACTCCAAGTTCTTGGTAATAACTACCCTGGCAGCGCCATGCCCGAGCGGCCCGCTGTGCCTCGAGTATCCCAGCCAGCAGTCATCAGAGCTTCATGAACCACTAGCACCACCCTCAAACCATCATGTCGGTACCTCGTTCACAGGCTGCCGCCAGCTTGCCATCAAGTATCTCCTTTCCCCTGGTTTTCTGGTTTTCGTATTTTTAGCGAAATACCTGCAGGTAGCAATACTCCCTCGGCCAGGCCCATGCATCTGTGCCCACTGCCCACTGCCCACTGCCCGCTGCCCACTGCCTCGACCGCTAGCGCTCCCAATCTCGTTTCCCACAATCCCAAATCCCACTTCCAACTACTGAACCAGCGCCACCACCCACTCGCCCTCCTCCTCCTCCCCTTCCTTGCCTCAAAACCTCCTCCTCTTTTCCCTCCGAATATTCTTCCCGTAGACCCAATTCATTTCCAGCCGCTCGTTTCCTGGCCCCCGAAAAAAGATCGATTCAATTCGTCCCTTTTTTGCCTTTTTTTGAATTCATTTCTTCCCTTCGTCCTCTCGTTATCAACGTCCTTTGGTTAGCACCTTTAACTCCAACGCCCCTATTCCCGCCGCCCCAGCTAACGCGTCTTGTTGCAACTACTCGCAGGAACCGATCGCTTCACCACCGCTCGACCATTGTCACTTCTTTTCCCACATCGACACCTTTGTCAATTTTTTGGTGCGTTCCTCTCCGGCACCCGTTGCCGCGTTGACTTGAAGTGGCACCTCTCCGTTGCCTACATATTTGTCTTGTTTCCGCCTGCACTTGCATTCCAGTCTGCTTGCCCTGCCTATCCGCCTTTGTCTCCTGCCTCGTACGCCCTTTCCTTCTACCTCTGCGCCGCACCTGGCGCCCTCTTTTCCACGCCTCTATTTACTTCGCTCCGCCTGTCTCTCTCCAAGACAATTTTCATCAAAACATCATCTGTCGGGCTATTCGCAAGAGCTTCATCGCCAGGCTTCTTCCCACCTCGGCTCCAACCCGTCTTATCAACTGACGTCTCGGGGAAAGAGCTTCGTTTGCTCAGTCGGACGCGTCTTCGGCCCGCCACCAATTGTTTGATACCAGTATATTTCAATCCCGAGCGATCCAGCATATTTTTCTTCGGCATCCAGTTCAGCTTGCCACAGCCACCCCGACGTTTATTTGTACATTTCCATCTACAGCACAGTGTCCACTTCAAGCAGCGCAGCCGGTCGAGGCAGTCCATCTGGCCCAAACTAACCCCTTGTCTTTCTAGATCAAAATGCCTTCTTTCCACAAGCTCTTGGTCCTTGCGACCGCCAGCGTTGGCGTCTGTAAGCATTCTCCATCCTCCCCCTTCCAACTATAAACTGACATGCCCCCAAGTCGCCGCCACCAGCAGTGACTGCACCACGGATATCACCATCGACAGTGTTAACCCCACGTTCGATTGTGACACCATTGATGCCAAGGTCACCGTCTCCCCCTCCCTGCAGGGCAACCTCATCATCGACGGCCCCAAGGTTTTCAAGAAAGACTTTGTCGTCAGCAACACCTCGAGCCTGCTTTCCATCTCGTCTTCCTCTCTCCAGTCCATTGAAGGCGAGTTCCTTGTTGAGGACGCTGGTCTGCTCGCCAGCATCGATCTCACCAAGCTCACCAAGCTGAACAAGCTCACCTTCCGTCGTCTGGGCCAGCTCTCGACTCTCCAATTCTCCTCGTCTGGTGTCTCCCAGGCCAGCTCCGTCGACATTGCCGATACCTTCCTCAGCGACATTAGTGGTCTCAATCTCGCCACTGTCGACAGCCTGACCATCAACAACAACAAGAGACTGGCCATGTTCAACTCAAACCTCGTCAACATCACCAAGGTGCTCATTCTCACCAACAACGGCAACGACATGCAGGTCAACCTCACCAATCTCCAGTCCGCCTACGAGATTCAGGTTTCTAATGTCAAGAGCCTCGGCACTCCTTCCCTCAAGGAGATTCAGAACGGCATCAAGTTCGACACCAACCCCAACCTCGAGTCTTACTCGGCTGCCAACCTTACCAGCGTTGGCACCTCCAAGAGCGGTGGCTCCGTTTCCTTCATCAACAACGCCAAGCTGACCAACATCACTTTCCCCTTGCTCAAGACAATCTCGGGTGACTTGACCATTGTCAACAACACGAAGCTGGACGAGATTACTGGTTTCCCTGAGCTCAAGAGTGTCGAGAACATGCTCCTCGGCGGAAACTTTGAGAAGTAAGTTGTGCCGGCCTCATTTCTAAACTGTCTTTGACTAACCATGATCAGCGCTGAGCTCCCCGCGCTTGACGACGTCAAGGGCACCATCAACGTCAAATCCACCTCTAACCTGACCGACGTTTGCAAGTTCTTTAATGGCCTTAAGGGCAAGGTCGTTCAGGGCAAGGTCAACTGCCAAGGTGGCCTCGATAACAAGACGGCTAACGACCAAAACGCTCTTAACAAGACCGGCAGCACTGGCAACAGCGGCGCTGGCGGCTCGCCCAGCTTCAGCACCGTTGCCATCTTCCTTGGTCTCATTGCTGGCGCTGCTCAGCTTCTGTAAAATGTCGCAATGTTTTTCGGAGGATAGGAATCTATGGTGGGAAATGGCGTCATTCTGCACCCCAAAATATGTCACCTGCTTTTTTCTTTTGAGCCTGCACTTGTGGTTGTTTTCCGCCGCCTGCACACTGTCTGCTCGCGCGCAGCGCCTTGTGTCCACTCTGAGCGTTGCCGCAGACACGTTAGAACTTATTAATTACCCTGTATTTGAATGTTGGCACACGAGCTGAATTGATTTTTTATTTGCAAGTCGCTGTGCTGAGATGGATTGAAAATGGAACGTCTGCACAGCACACGTGCGAGGACAGGAATAGTGTGTACATGCATCCAATATACGCCCAAACAAGATATATACATCCACTTTGTATACACGCTCAAACAAGATATATACATCTACTTTGTATACACACGGAACAAGCTATATACATCTACTTTGTATATACGCCCCTGTCAAAGGCGTCACTATTATAATATTTTGGCGTAATGGTATTCCCATTAAACACGCGCCCTTGCAGTTCGCTGACGGCCTATATCATGTTAGATTTGTCCAAACTGCTGTCGATGAATGATCAACTTGCCTTGAGTGCAGATATTTGGTCAGTAAACTTGATGAAGACGCGCTGCGTCGCCGTGTCAATATATACCCGCTCTACACGTCCATACTATCAACTGTTAGCCAGCCAACGCTCCTTGTAAAGAACGAGACACAGAAAAACACACCTTTTCGCCGCACTCTTCGCCAATCTCCTGCCCCAGGCCATTTTCCACCTCGGCCGCCAGGTCGGGCATATTGTCGACCATGTGGAGCAGGACGACGACGTCGCTGAGCTCTTGGGCGGCGCCGGCGCGCTTCCCGCCGCCGCCAACAATCTTGGCCTTGTTGGCGGGTTCGGCCCAGCCGCCGCCGTCGGCGTCGGCTTTGCGCCGGCGCTTCTCGACTTGCACCCGCAGCGGGTTGACGATGCCCGACGAGTCGGCGCCCAGACCGGTGCCGGAGGCCCACCCGTACTTGGCCATGAGCCGGTGGGCGAAGCCGGCTTGGCCGGGCAGGGCGGAGCGTGGCGAGGAGGAGGACGGGGGAGGGTCTTGTTGCGGTTCGGTCGTGGTGTAGAGGATGGGCGCGGAGGATATGGTGGTGGAGGAGGTGGCGCGAGGTGGTGGTGCTTGGGAGGAGGAAATGGCGAGCCGGCGGGCGTATGCGTCGTCGCCCGAGGCATTGTCGGGAGGCGTTGGTGCTGCGGCGGTTGTGGTGGGAGGGGAGGCTGGTGGTGGAGGGACGGCGCCGTAGGAAGGCGGAGGGGCGAATTGATCTAGTGCTTTGTTAGCCAACCCTACAATAGAGCTCGTCATCGAGCACGACTCACTATGCGGACGTATCGTCGTTCTCTCGTCCTCGTCCTCTGACGACACGTCGCTCTCCGGCGCCTTGCCCTTGCGGTGGCGGTACAGCAGCGCCTTCCACTCGCGCACCTCGTCCACCTTCTCGTCACTCCTCAGGTACTCGTCCACATTCGTCGGCCGCGCCGGGTCATACACGTCATCCCAGTCCGTCTCCATCGGGCGGTGCTGCTCCCGCTCGCGCTTCTTCCTGGCCTTGCGCCCGCCGCGCTGGCGCTTCTCGCCCGCGCCGCCGTACAGCCACTCCTCGTCGTCGGCGGGCGCGGCGGCCCAGTCGGCGAGCGAGCTCTTGGCCGCGGCTGCGGTCTCGGACGGGGCAGCTTGTGTGGGCGCGGCAGCAGGTGGTTTGGCAAGGGATTTGGGTGGCTTGTTGCTCGGCTTGGCGGGCGGAGGACGGCGCGTGGGCTGGAAGCGCAGCGCGGGGTCAATGGGCTTCTTGGCGGCGGCGGCGGCGGCGGTGTCTTGGTTGTAGAGGACCGGCGCGGAGGAGATGGTGGCTGAGGGGGACGGGTCGTTGGGGTCGTGAAGGTTCTCGTAGAGGGAGAGACCGCGAGGCGGTGGAGGTGGGGCGGCCATCGTCGTGGATGTAGGTTGTGTGCGCGGTCCGGGTTAGGGTAAATGTGTGACGCTTGATGGTTTGAAAAAAAAGAAAGCGAGAGATGCGAATGAGGAGAATGCGACGAACAGTGCAGGCTGTCGCGCGATGATCGAAAAGGGTTTCTTCTTGCAAAGGGTTCACCGGATAAACAGCGGCCAGGTACGTGCCATGCAAAGCCGACGTTTGCCTTGGCGTGGCAGCTTGCGCCAAGGTTGGGAGCTCTTTGGGTTTGCCCCTCCAGACAAGCAACCCCGCCAACTTTTTAGATCCCGCAAGCCCACTTTCTCACCTTCGCTTCGTTACCACAAACTCGAAAAGCTTCCGGCCTCGAACGTCACTTTCTTGCGATCATCAGAGCGTTATTATCTAAGAAGACGACCGAAGACAGTGTTATACAGGATAACGAGCATTCCCGAGGCGCTTGCGTGGTTTCTATCAGCAACAGTTCGACAAACAGACGCACACGCACCATGGCTGATCTCGCGAGCCGCATCACCAAGCCCGACGACAAGCAGGTCGAGAAGCCGGTCGACAAGCCGGCCGACGCTGCGCCTGCTGCCGCTGCCGAGACGAAGCCCGCAGATGAGACGGCAACCGAGGCGCAGGTGGACGGCGCGCCAGAGGCCCTCGGTGGCTCCGGCCTGCAAGAGCCGGAATGGGATGTCGAGGTCTCGCTGAGCGACCTTCAGAACAACGAGGCGACGCCGTTTCACTCCGCCACCACTTGGGAGGATATCAGACTGTAAGTCAAGACGAGAACCAGTGCTCGTCGGTCCCTACGCATACACGGGCAGACTACTGACACAGGCCGGCCTCTAGCTCCCCTGACATCCTGAAGGGTCTGCTGGCCCTCAACTTCCTCAAGCCATCCAAGGTGCAAGGAAAGTCGCTGCCGTTGATGCTGGCCGACCCCCCGCGCAATATGCTTGCGCAGTCGCAGTCGGGCACCGGCAAGACCGGCGCCTTTGTCACGGCCATTCTGTCGCGCGTCGACTTTTCGCAGCCCGACGTGCCGCAGGCGCTCGCCCTGGCGCCCAGCCGCGAGCTCGCCCGCCAGATTGAGGGCGTCGTCAGCGCCATCGGCCGCTTCATCCCCAACCTCAAGGTGGCGGCGGCGATTCCAGGTGCGCTGCCCCGCGGCGTGCCCGTGCGCGCGGCGGTCATTGTCGGCACGCCGGGTACGGTTATGGACATTATCCGGCGCAAGCAGCTGGATGCGACGACGCTCAAGGTGCTGGTGCTCGACGAGGCGGACAACATGCTGGACCAGCAGGGCCTGGGTGACCAGTGCATGCGCGTCAAGACGTACGTTACGATGGGAGGATGGATGGACCCTGGTGGTGGTGCTAATGTAGTGGCAATAGCATGCTTCCCAAGACGATTCAGACGCTTCTGTTTTCGGCGACGTTTCCAGACAAGGTTAACAACTACGCGGGAAAGTTTGCGCCCAACGCGCACACGCTCAAACTGCAGCGCAGCGAGCTCACGGTCAAGGGCATTTCGCAAATGTTCATCGACTGCCCCGACGATAATACAAAGTACGATGTGCTGTGCAAGCTGTACGGCTTGATGACGATTGGCCAGTCTGTTATCTTTGTCAAGGTAGGAGCATTTTGCGGACGTGGAGAAGGTGCAGGGCTAACATGACATAGACGAGAGAAAGCGCCAACGAGATTCAGCGCCGCATGGTGGCAGACGGGCACAGGGTGTCGGCGCTGCACGCCGCGTTTGACGGCGGCGAGCGCGATGACCTGCTGACCAAGTTCCGGACGGGCGAGAACAAGGTGCTGATTACGACCAATGTGCTGGCGCGCGGCATCGACGTGTCGTCAGTGTCCATGGTGATCAACTACGACATTCCGATGAAGGGTCGCAACGATGAGGAGCCCGACTACGAGACGTACCTGCACCGCATCGGACGCACGGGGCGATTCGGCCGCGTGGGTGTCAGCATCAGCTTCGTCTACGACAAGAAGAGCTTTGAGGCGCTGAGCAAGATTGCGGGGCAGTTTGGCATTGACCTGGTGCATCTGGACACGGAGGACTGGGACGAGGCGGAGACGCGCGTCAAGGATGTGATTAAGAAGAATCGCGCGCAGGCTAGCTATGCGCCGAGCGCGACAGATAACAAGCAGGCGCCGAAGCAGCAGCAGCAGGAGCAGGGCCCAGCGGCGGGGGCGGCTTAGGAGATGCCTCTGGCGCCGGAGGCTGGTTGGTTCTTGCCGTCCGACAAGAAGACGAAGACGGCAAAGTGGTAACTATGAGTGGGATGACGGTCGTGCGGGGGATGGAGGACAGACAGAGTTGCACGACATGGGTCTGAGAGGCGGTGAATGAGGACGTGGTACTGAGCTACGGAGCACAATGGAGAAAGAAGAGACATCTGGTAGTGGGCAGATAATTGCGCCTGTAAGATGGCGCATGACGAGATACCAAATCAATTCGCTGGAACAGTGCTACAGTTTTATTCGGCATGGTTTGTTCAACGTGATGCATGTGTGGTGATGCCGTGATGGGGTTTGCCGAGTATGACAAGTGTGAGATGCATATTAGACGGCTCGATTGGGAAAATGAGCAGCGCATCACGGATCGTCCTTCTCAAGAGGGCAGGTATAGGCTTGAAAGAGACTTTTGATGGTTGGAGGCGTGCATGATGGTGCATTAGGATGATGTGTTGCTTTTGTTTGGTGTGATTTTGGATAATGTCGGACATGTCATGGCGGCATCTTCTTGATACCTACCTACCAATCGCCAATATGTAGGTGCAATAAAGTCGGCAGGCAAAAAGCCTGTGTGGGGTGTTGTTCGGTGAGCCCCGCTAATTAGTGCGGGAAGCCAAATCAAAGACGGTGGGGTCGTGGCTGGTGGCCTCAGGTAGCAGTGCAGTACAAGGTACGTACCTGCCAGCTGGCAATATGTACCTACATTTGATTTCAAACGATAAGCAAACGGCAAACGGCAAACGGCCCAATGTCGTTGTCGAGCCCAACGATTGTTTCATCTTTTATTATGCCGTCATGGACGTATTCGCACGGCACTTATCAACACTCCTTATTTCGTCCTGACTCTCTCTTATTTTCCCACTAACTAAAGTGGTCGCATGATTTTTGGCTAGTCCAGTTTCCCGCACCGACCAGACCAGACGGGCACCCATGTCGTTGCACACTCACCAGTTTTTTTTTGAGGAAATGAGGTTGGGCATGGGCACCCCTGGCTACGTGTCTCGATATTGTCCAGGTTCTTGGTCCGTCTAGGTGGTTGTTTCCGTGGTGACGTGCGGAACAGACGAAATTACGTCCCATCCAAGATGATTGCGATCTTGGGCTGGACATGGCATGGGCTGCCTCGGCTTCGCCAGAAACCCGAGATCGGGGTTCGACAAGAACCATTGTGGCACGAAATGGTGCCGTCCGTCGGCCAGCTTGTGTGTCTCTGCTTGGCGGCAGGGAGGAAGATGGTGTGCTCGAGGACACCTTTGTGCCTGTACTGCGACGCTGAGGTCGTTGGAAGAGTGAAGCAGAGGGGACACGACGACACCAGCTTGCGATTGAGCCACGTCGCCTGCATGCAGCATCCTGTACGTGTACGACTAGTTGGTCTAGGTGTGACGAGACAGGTCATGCCTGAGTCTGTGTGCGCGTCGGTACTCTTGGACAAAAGAGACGACGCAGAGGATTATTGAATACTACTCCGTATGCTAGATGTAATGCAGGGCTTGCATGTACATGGACTACTGACTAGTGAGCCCAACCGGCTGCCACTTGTCGCTCTCCCCGCGGTTGACAATTGATCATTTTTTTCTTTTATTCTTTTTACCATTGGTTTGGACCAGCACGAATTATGCATGTCGGCCTCACCCTCCGCAATCGGGCAGCAATGTGGTCTCGTTCAAGTCTGTCCTGACGAACCATCTCCAACTGCGCAGCCCAAGCAGTCACCTCGCTCCGTACCACCACCCTCTCTTGCTCGCTCGTGTCTGCATTCTGCTACCGATGCAGCCATTTGGAAACTGACGTTGCGTTCGATCAGGAACCCAATTGAGTCCCCGGGAAGCAAATTTTGTCACTTGGTCAACAAGACGCCGCACCATGTCACTTGTCCCCGCCAGAAGCCGGGGTGGGGGAGACGAAGAACCCCTGCCTGGTAAGAAAAGCAGCAAGGGGACCAAAAGTAGCGACATCGACACCCGTTTGTCACGATGGCCGCCGCCCAGGCTGCAGTCCCATGCAACGAAGACAATGTATTACAACCCTTGTACAATGAAGATACACACACAGCAGGACCCTTGTATGGCAAGAGGGCGACCTGTTGTATCTATCAGTATTACCAGTACTAGTTATCTTGTGTTGATGCGGAGCCAAAACAAGTCCGTGGTCCTCCGTGTGACCGGCCCCATGCTCGCTGCGAGGCAAGAGCGAAAAAAAAAAAAAAAAGTCTTGATAGACCTCTCTGCCCTCCCCCGCCAGCCTGCAGCATTCTGCTTTTTCCTCTTTTCCCTTGAAAACATAAGTTACTTTGCAATTGTTCCTCGATTCACCGCCCGTATCTCCCTAACCCTTCCTCACCTCATCATCACCACACCCATCATCCCGAAAAACCTCACGCAGCGCGCAGACCACGGCCCCCGTCGTTGAGCCCTTATTGCTGCCTGACATCATCCCACCTCGCAGTCATCTCATCTTTGCCCCAACGTGCAACCACGACAGACGAGAAAATTTGTTGAAGCATACTCTGAAAAGACCATCTTGGAATCTCTTCTATTTTTTGTTTTAACGTGTATTCCCTTTGTTACATATTTGCCCGGTTCTTTGCTTTTCGTCAAGCATTATACGGTCTTGTAACAACAGAGTCTCTCATCTCAAGCGCGCCGACAATTGATATCCGCTTCGCTCGCACCTGATTTTTTTTCTCTTTTTTTTCCTATCCTGGCCTTGTTCTGACACGCATTGCCATCTGGCTCTCACACCACATAATAATCTCATGATGGCCTCGGAAGAACAACACCTGGGCGGCGGGCTGGAGGTCAACACCAGCAACTGGGACGAACTCGTTGTGTCCGACAGTGCTCAGGTCAACTACTCACAGCCCGGCCTGTCTGACGCGGAAAACGAGCAAGAACTAGGTATGTGATTTTGAAGAGGGGAGTCGAAACGCCATGGAGATGAGTAATACTGACCGGAACAGACATGGAGGACCAAGAGTACACAACGGACGCGCCCCAGGATGAGCAGCAGCCGGAAGACGTACCGCCTCCGAGTGAGGACGCCACAGCTGCTGCCGCCGCTCCGGCGGAACCGTCGTCTAAATCAAGCAAGAAGAAGAACAAGAAGAAGGGCAAGTCAGGGCCCAAATCGCCCAAGGAGACTGAGCTCGAGCAGCCCACAGCCGAGGAGCCGTCCTCGCCGAAACCAAAGGAGCAGCCCTCGCCCAAAGCAAAGGAGCAGTCCTCGCCCAAGTCCAAGAAGAAGAACAACAAGAAGAAGAAGGGCAAGGCCGGCGCCTCCGCAGCCGCGGCGGAAGCCGAGGCCGCAGCCGATGAGTCTTCCACAGACGAGAACGCGGCTGAGCCTGCGAGCGACGCTGCCCCTGAAGAGACTGCTGTTACGACCGAGAATGCCACCGAGCAAGATACCCCTAATGAACCCGCCACGACCACGACCCAGGATGACACGACTAATGCCGAAACCCCCAACCAAGAAAACACTGACGACCAAAAAGAACCAGAGGCAGCCGCGGCTGTCGAGGAAGCGCCCGCTGTGCCGGCCGCTGAAGACACCGCCGCCGCCGTCGTCCCCGAGACCAAGGAGGACGACGCCACGCCTGCTGAAAACGAACCTGCCGCCGTGGATGACGCGGCTACGAATCACGACGATGCAAAGGATGATGCTGACAAACCGCCTGCTGAGGAGGTCAAGGAGGAGGAAACCGCTGCTCCGCCGGCGACGGAGGAGGTAGCGCCCGCTGCGGAGGACAAGGCCCCGGAAGCGACTGCTCCAGAACAGGAGGAGGCGCCCAAGCCCGACGAGGCCCCTGCTGCTGCGCCTGCGGAGGAAGCACCCGGTGCCGAGCCCAAGGACGAGGAGCCAAAGGCAGAGGTGGCCGAAGCTGCTGCTGAGGCTACGCCGGAGGACAACAAGCCTGCCGAGGAACCATCTCCAGCAGAGGAGACGCCAACCGCTGATGCGGAACCCGCCCCCGCCACGGAAGAGGCCGCTGAGGCTCCCAAGGAGGAGGAAGCTGCCACTACTGCCGCGCCCGCCGCCGAGGAGGAGACGCCTGCCGAAGAAGCTGTCTCAGCTGCTCCCGCTCGGGTCGAAGAGCCCGCTGCTGCTCCCGAGACTGAGCCCGCGCCGGAGCCTACCGTCGAGGAAACCAAGGCGGAAGAGCCCGCTGCGGCCGAGGAACCGGAAAAGCCTGCCGAGACTGCTGACGCGGCCGAGGAAACCAAGGTCGAAGCTCCTCCTGCCGAGGTTGTGGAGGAGAAGCCCGCTGAAGAAGCTGCTCCGGAAGAGACAAAGACGGAGGAGCCTGGTCCTGCTGAGGAGGCTACCGCTGAGGTCGAGCCCGCTGTCGCTCCCGCCACAGAGGAACCAGCCGCAGCCGACGACAAGCCCGCTGAGGTCGAAGCTGACAACAAGGACGAGGCCGCCACCGCCGCAGCTGTGGAGCCCGAAGCTGCGGATAAGCCGGACGAGGTTCCAGAGCCTGCTGCGCCAGCAGAAGACAAGGTTGCCGAGGAGGCTGAGGCGCCAAAGGAGGAAGCTCCGGCCGTTGCTGAGGCTGCTCCTGAAGAGGCCCCCGCCGAGAAGGAGGCTCCTGCTGAAACCGCCGCTGTTGACGCTGAACTAGCTCGCGCTGCGCCGGCCGAGCCCGCGGAGGAGACCCCGGCCGTGGTCGAAGAGCCGGTAGCTGTTGTCGATCCTGCCCCCGCTGACGAGCCTGAAGTGGCCAAGGAAGAGCCCGCCGTCGCTGAGGAGGCTCCCAAGGACGATGCCGCGGCTGATCCCGCTCCCGAAGCCGCCGAGGAAGTCGTCGAAGCCCCCGCTGAGACGACTGAAGAGGCCAAGGAGCCCGAGCCCGCTGCTGAGGATCCCACCGCCGCTGAGCCCGAGTCTGCCATCGAGCCTACCAAGGAAGAAGCCGCTCCTGCAGAGACATCCACGGAGCCTGTCGTCGAGGCCGCCGCTGAAGCCGCCAAGGAACCCGAGGTGCCCGCTGAAGAGCCCACGGCCGAAGAACCACCCGCCGTGGATGCTGCTCCCGAAACTGTCAAGGAGGAAGCTGCCCCTGAAGCTCCCGAGGCCCCCGTCGAGGTTGAGACTGCTGCTGAACCTACCGACGCCCCGGAGCCTGTCACTGTTGAGGCCGCTGAAGCACCCAAGGAAGAAGAGGCCGCTCCTGAGCCCGTCACAGAGGAAGCGCCCACCGCTGAATCGGAACCCGCTCCCACAGTCCCTGCTGAATCGACCGAGGAGGAAGTCCCCGCTGCCGCCACTGCCGAAGCCCCAGAGGCTGTCGTCGAAACTGCAGAGGAGGAGCCTGCTACAGTCGAGCCTGAAGCTACAGTAGAGTCGACTCCTGAGCCCGCCGCCGATGAGGTTAAAGAGGACGCCGCCACCGAAGCCGAAGCTGCTCCCGAAGAGACCAAGCTCGAGAAGCCCGCTGCTGCTGACGAACCTGCTTCTACGCCTGAGACGGCCGCCGCGCCTGATTCTGACGAAGTTGCCAAGGAGGTGGAGGCTCAGCCTGAAGCGGAGCCAGCTGCCGAAGAGAAGCCCGACGTCGCGGTCGAGGAACCTGCTGCTGAGGCAGATGCTGTTGAGGAGCCTGCTCCTGTCGAAGAAGCTCCCAAGGAAGCGGAAGTTGAGGCCGAAGCCCTCAAGACCGAAGACGCCCCTGCTACCCAGGAAGCGGCTGTCCCCGCTGAGGCTCCCGAGGAGCCTACTGTGGATGCCGTTGCCGAGTCTGCCAAGGAAGTCGAGGAGGTCCCTACGGAGGACGAGCTCGCTGAAGCTGCAACTGCAGAGGAGCCTGCTGCTACCGCCACAGAGGAGGCTGAGCCGGTACCTGCAGCAGAGACCACTGAAGACAATGCCGCCGACACTAACGAAGCTGCATCTGTTGAGCCAGAGGCTGCCGCAGAGGAGGCCGCCGCTACTACGGAGGTGGCTGAACCTGTCAAGGAGGAAGTCGAAGCACCAGAGGCTGACGCTCCCGCCGCCGAGGCCGAGGAAGTCGAGGCCGCTGAAGTCACTCCAGAGGCCGTCACCGCAGACGACGCCGTTCCCGACGACAATGACGCAGAGCGAGAGCCTGCTGGTGAACCCACCAGTGAGGAAGCTGTGCCCGATGCTCTGACGGAAGCTGTTGCCGAAGCTGCTGCCCCGGTCGACGCTGAGCAGCCCGTGGAAGAGACCGCTGAGGCTGAGACGGAACCTGCTGCGGATGAGCCAGCAGTGGAGGAAGCTGATTCCGCCACGCTCGAGGACGCCGCCGAGGAAGAGGCCGCTACCGCTGCCGCTGAACCGGAGGACGTGAAGGCTGATGAGGCCCCGGACGCTCAAGAAGAGGCTCCCGCTCCTGAAGTTGAAGCCCCTGTTGAGACAGCTGCCGCCGAGCCTGAACCCGCTGCCGCCACCGAAGAGGAAACACCCGCGGTCGAGGTTGAGGAAGACGCTGTTGCGGACAAAGCTGCCGAGGAACCCGAGGAAGTGGCCGAGCCTGTCACGGAGCCCGAAGCTGCTGCCACGGAGGATGTCACTGAGGAGCCTGCTCCTGCTGACATTACCGAGGAGCCGGAATCTCACGACGCTGAGAATGCAGCTGACATTGCCGCTGTTGCCGCTGTTGCTGGTGCTGCGACCACGGCCGCCGTTGTTGTCTCTTCTTCTGATGACAATGAGGATGCTACTCTCGAGGCTGCTGATGAGCCTGCTTTGGAAGAACCGGCTGCCGAGACCGCTGCTCTGGAAGAAGCTGTAGCAGAAGAAGCTGACGCTGCTCCCGAAGTGACTGAGGCTCCTGAAGAGGAGGAGGAGGCTATCCCCGTCGAGGCCACTCCTGAGGCCGACGGCACTGAACCCGCAGTGGAGGAGCCGACCGCCACCACGGAAGTCGAGGCTGCTGCTGAAGTTGAGGCTACTCCTGAAGTCGATACCGAAGCTCCCAAGGACGTCCCTGTTGAGATTGAGGCTGACATCCCCGTCGCCGAAGAAGACGCCCCGGAGGCAGAGCCTGAGACAGAAGCTGCCGAGCTTGCTTCTGCCGAGGTCGATGAAGAGGTGCTTGTCACCGAGGAGACCGAGAATGCTGAGGCTGTTGCGGAGGAACCTGCCGAAGAGGTACCTGTTATCGAGGAAGCTGAAGCTCCTGAGACTGCAGCCCAAGCTGCTGCTGAGGAGCCGACTGCTGAAGAGACGCCGGTTGCCAAAGAGGTTGAAGCTCCCTCCGCGCCCGTTGCAGAGACCGTGACAGAAGAGCCTTCTGCCGCCGAGCCTGAGGCTTCTGCCGAAGAAGCCAAAGATACTGAATCGGACGAAGAGGCTGATTCTAGCAACGAGGCCGCCATTGCTGCCGCTGCCCTCGCCGCCGCCGCTGGTGGCGCCGCGGCCGTGGCTGCTGCCAAGCATATCCGCATCCAGGAGGCTGACAAGGATTCCGAGGACAAGAAAGGAAAGGATCTGGACGATGAGAGGACCAAAGGTGAGACCCAGTTAGCTGATACCCAAGTTGATGTTTTGCGCGTGAATGATACCCCATCCAATTTGGATGTTGCTGTGGAGGTGGAGGATAATGACGTTACGGAACCTGCAAAGAATGATGAGGACAAGCTCGAAGAGTCAAAGGAGTCAGAGGCGTCGGAGACGAGCACCGTCGTCGCCGAGGAGCCCAAGGGTGAGGAGCCCGAGGTTGAGGAGCATACCGAGAAGGATCACGATATCAGCAAGATCGCCGCGATTGTTGCTGGTAGCGCTGGAGCTGCACTTGTCGTCGGTGCGGCCACTGTCGCCGCCGTTTCTCTGAACAAAGACAACGAGAACGGCCGTGCAGCAAAGCCTCAAGCAGAAGCTGAGCCCAATGTCAAGGCAGCTGAGGAGCCTACTACAAAGGTGGCTCCTCTCGTTGAAGCTGAGTCTGCTGCGAAACCAGCTGAAGAGACCACGGCAAGAAATATTCCTGTCGCGGAGCCATCCTCACCTGAGCCAGACACTGGCAAAGCCGACGACAAGCCTGCTGCTGAACCTGCGCCTGAGGCTTCTGCCGAGCCAGTCGCTGAGCCAGCTACTGAGCCAGCTGCCGAGCCAGTTGCGGAGCCAGCTGCCGAGCCAGCTGCCGACCAACCTGTTGAGGATGCCACTCGCGCACAGCCAGAGAGCACAGCTGCAGCCAAATCTACTGCTGCTGTCACAAGCGTATGGCTACTTCTTTCCTGGGCTCTGATGTTAGACGCTAACACATCGCAGTCCAAGCCGACCTTCCTTGTTTCCCTGGCCCGGTTGATCCTCTCGCCCTTCTCGTGGCTGCGCTCCAAGCTGTTCAAGACCAAGACGACGAAACAGCCAACACCCCCTACCGAGGGCAGCTCCTAAGGCGGCCCTCTGGCTCATGACTACGAGATACTAAACATTGTGATTGTGGAAATTTGAGTTTATGATTTATTGTACCCCCTTTCAAAGTCCAAAGGACATCATGTGATGCTTCGCGGGGGATCCGCGTTTTAAACGGTCAATCAGAGGCGGTTGAGACCAACGACCTGATGGAATATGACGCGAGGGTGCGTTATGCCCTCAATTTTTGTGCGCAGACCGGTACAGAGCGGGCATCTGCGCGCATTGTCAACGAGCCAAACATTCTTGCACAATGGCACTAATGCGTCGGTTTTGAGTCTCAACGCCGGGGGTTGGCCGATAAGGACTTGTCTTGTAATTTTGGTGCATCTGTTCTTTGTACTTTCTTCTTGACGCGCTCTTCGTTGCTGATTTCCTTCTCACCGTATCGGACAGCACATGCTAACAACTCAGCAGAGAAATCTAGGGACCGTACTGAAGATGGCGAGCGGCGCCACCGTCGCCGACGCAGACCCTCTGTGACACACCGCTCAGACGATGACAAGGACAGGGAGAGACGCCGATCGTCGCATAGCTCTCACCATAGTCACCGACACCGGTCAGACGGCGCGCGCAGTGTTGAGGACGCGTCGAAGCGTCGCGACAGTGGCTACTCGGCAACAACTGGCAGTCCTTCGAGAAGCAAGCATCAAACGTCTCCAAAGCCAGAATTGAAGCCAGCCACGTCTGAGGAGCGGCACAGGAAGCATTGGTCGCCCGACGTGGAGGCGAAAATGCAGCGCACGGCGGAAGAGCAGGCGGAACATGAGCGACGCAAGTCCGAGTATTGGCGCCGTCAGCGGGAGCGAGAGATCGAGCGTCAACTAGCGCGGGAGAGGGAGGAGCGTGAGCTAGAGCTGCAAAAGGCGCGCGAGAAGAAGGAGCGCGAGGATAGGAAGCGCGAAGCCGAAAGACTCGAGAAAGAGGCCCGCCACGAAAGGAAACGGGAAGCCGAGAGAGTCGAGAAAGAGGCGCGCGAGGAAAAGAAGCGGGAGGAGAAACTCGAGAAGGAGGCCCGCGAGGAGAGGAAGCGCGAATCTGAGAGGCTTGACAAGGAGGCGCGCCGAGCCGAGCGCCACAAGTCTCTTCGACGCGACTCTGTGTCGCAAGAGCCGACAACCCCCGAGAAGGGCGCCTCTACGGACAAGAGCGCCGCGGACAGCGAGCAGGAGCGCAATCGCCATCGGCACCGATCCCACCGCCCTAGCTATTCCTCCAAGGAGCGGCCCGAGGGACTACTCAAGCACCGCCCCAGCTCCTCCCAACGCGCGGAGCCGACGCCGCCTGCCTCGACGCGAAGCTCCGGCACCGAAGATGCCCCACGCTCCAAGGACTCGGACGCCGACTCCAAGTCTTACACAGGCGAAGACGAGGCACGCCGCCGTCGCCGCCGCCACCGCCACGGTGAGGGCTCGGGCTCGGTCCCCAGCGAAGGCTCATCCCGCCGGGAGCACGTTAAGCGCGAGCGACCCAAGGACACGCCCCCGCCCAGCGAGCCGTCCAAGCATGGCTCCTCCAAGCGGGATTCGGAGCCGCCGACGGATGAAGACGCGCGGAGGCGGAATCGGCGCCATGATCGCCAGAAGGAGGTCGACGACGCCAAGAGGCCAAGCGGCTTCAAAGGTGTGCTCAAAAAGTTGTTTACCAAGAGCGACAAGTAAACTGTACGAGCCAATGACGGAGATGGAAAAATGTGTGAATGTATTACGACCTTTACGATTCTTATGATGTATTTACTTAGCGTTTCATGGATTACGAAGATATGGCTGAGATGATGCATTGGGCTGGGGATTTGGGATATGTAACTACAACGCGACTGCTGTTCAGATCCGCGGGTTTCTACGGACGTTTGCTCACTTGTCATTTTATTTCCTTTGTTTAGCTTTATTTTCTGCAACAAGACTCATAGCGTTATTCTGAACTTGAACTTGACTTTCTCTTCTCTTCACAATTCGTAGACAAGTGCGCATCAAGTGGTATTGTTTGGCTTTTGCCCAGACTCGCTCAATTCACTCACTTACACGGATTTCTAATTATTGCCTATTTGGGAAGTGCACGTGACGGTGCTAGACATCACCGGGCTCGGCAGATGGTTGATCCGCAAGAGCCCTAACTTTTCGTTGTGGTGGGGCATTTCACTGCAAAAAATAATGTGGGCTGCCCACCAAGACCATGTTCATGAAGCGAATGCAAAAAAGTTCCCACTTCCGCAACCACATTCGAATCAAGCTATCCAAGGCGCAGGATTTGACCTCTTTGCGATCTTCACGAACAAAAAAACACCAACAACTCTCTACCAATCCCCTCTTTCAAAAACCGTCGAAATGGCTCCCATTGCTGTATGTACATGATGTCGCAAACCGCTTTGCTGCAGGCGAGAACTACTCTGCCAAGCGATGGAAAAAAAAATGCAGTAGGCTAAGATGTCATGTCGATTTAGAAGAAGTCCGGCAAGGTCCAGAAGCAGACCAAGAAGGTGAGTTTGCAGTTCCATTGCCGCATTCCAAACGGGTGCCACGGGAAACGCCGTGGATGCTGACCACGCCCGGCCGCGCAGTTCATCATCAACGCTTCGCAGCCCGCCGCCGACAAGATTTTCGACGTGGCCGCGTTTGAAAAGTTCCTGCAGGAGCGCATCAAGGTCGAGGGCCGCACCAACAACCTCGGCGACGACGTCGTCATCCAGCAGCAGGGCGAGGGCAAGATCGAGGTCATTTCGCACAACGACCTCTCGGGCCGCTACCTCAAGTACCTGACCAAGAAGTTCCTCAAGAAGCAGCAGCTCCGCGACTGGCTCCGCGTCGTCTCCACCTCGCGCGGCGTTTACGAGCTCAAGTTCTTCAACGTCGTCAACGACGAGGCGGACGAGGATGACGAGTAAATCAACCAACGACACACAAGAAGGCGCCCAGTTCTTTGTTGAATATATGGGGACAATTGTGGTTGGAAAATGGGGTATGAGAGTTGAGGAATAAGAAAGATTGAGGCGCGGACATGTTTTGGGAATGGTATCCGGGATGGAGATTCTCTTTGGCTGGCGAACCGGCTCGTAGAAGAGCTGGCGCTTAGAAGAGAGACGGAGTTTCTGTCGCTTAGGAGGACATTTCTGAAATATACGCACCGAATCTCTTGATTCAACAATTGCGGTTCCTCTCAGCTTCCCGTGAATGTTATGACGATGGTTTTCCAAGAGATGTAGTCTCTTTCGCTTAGGAGTGATTCTGAGATGTTCCCAGCGCACTTTTGAGCCGTCAAGTTGGCGACTTTGCCACCGTGATGGTAGTCATTCTATACCCACGACCAGGCCCTCTATTCTATATACTTAACAATGGCATGCTTTTCCCACCCATCGTCTACGGCAACGTCCTCATCAGCCCCTCAAACGCAACCAACGCGACCGCATTCGCCGGAAACGCGCGCAAAAAGCACGGCAAAAACCCGCGCCAGTAGCCCCTCCAACCCGCCTCGCGATACACATCCACGGCCGCCGCGCGCCACGTCGCATACCGCCTGCGCCCATCCCCGAGCGTGCCGCCGAGCGGATCCGTCATGACGCGCTGCTTGACCAGGTCCGCCGGGTAGCACGTGAGCCAAAAGACCTGCGCCGAGAGGCCGCCCGCCCAAAAGTTGACGGCGGGCGCGCTGAGGCTCGTGTGGCGGCGCATGCAGCGCGACAGCAGGTCGTACGAGCCCCACCAGAAGAAGAAGAAGCCGCGGAAGAGCAGCGTGGCGCCGAGCCCGTGGTACACGCCGCGGACGCCGTGGTGGCGGTATATCTTGGCGAGGCAGTCGAGCGGTCCGGCGTACAGCCGGCCGGCCTTGGCGGCGGCGTACTGGATCTGCAGCCGCGCCTTGACGTGCTCGACGGGCGCGGCGATGAAGGAGACGGTGGCGCCGGCGAGGATGCCGGCGAGCCCGTGGCCGACCGGGGGCAGCGCCGCCGCCGCGGGCAGCAGCGTGCCCGGCGCCCAGGTGTCGACGTGGTACACGTGCTGCGCCACCAGCCGCCGGTACACGCTCAGCGAGCCCAGCATGACAGAGTCCATCAGCATCCACCCGACGAGCGGCGGCGTCGCGCCCTTGTACAGCCCGCGCACGCCCTCGAGACGCACCGTCTGCCGCACGCACTCGAGCGGCCCGGCGAAGCGGTCGGAGCTCTGCAGCCGCACTTTGACTGTGTCGAACGGATGGCCGACTGCAGGGGGGGGGGGGGTTTCAAGGTCAGCGTCCATTTTTTAAAAATAATGAAAAAAAATTGAGGAGAGGGAAAAAAAGGGGGGCGGGGGAATGGCGCACGTACCTGCGAGCTTGGAAATACCACTGCCCACGCCGGCGACGAAGCCCTTGTAGTCGTGGCTCGGCTGCTGCGCGACGATGGCCGCCTGTGGGGTGTCGGCGGCCGTGGACATGGCGGCCGGTGGGCTCCTGGGAGGGAAGAGGTAGGGAGCGGGCAAATTGGCCGTGTTATAAGAACATGTGGTGCGTTTGAGGGGGGACGGGACTTGTTGATGTGTGGTTGAGAGTGGGAAGTTGGGAGGAGATTGTAAAGCTGCTGTGCTGCATTTTTTGGGTCCGATGCCGCTGCGTGTCTCAACGGGGGTAGAGATTTCGAGCAAAGGTAGAAAGCTTGCAGTAGCGGAAAAAAAGCAGAAAAATATTTTTTAATTCTTGGTTTCATTTTAGAAAAAAAAGATACCTTGCTTCTGTAAATTGATTCAAGTCGGATTGGCGTTTGCTTGTCTCATCTTCACATGCTGACAACACATGTATGTGTGCATCAACCCAAGCGCCTGTTCCAGCAACAGGAAACCGGGACTGTCACCTCAAATCCAAAACAGTATATTGATGCGTCTATTCAATTGCCCATTCCCGCGCTAGTCTATGCAATGTCCAAAAACAGTCCCCGTTGAAACAAAAAACAACCAAGCCAGAAACCTCATCTCACACCCCCATCCCAGCCGAGCCCAACTCCCGTGGCTCTCAGGATCCCGCATGCACCATATCCCACGGATCGGGCGTCTCGTCCGGCGCGGTCCTGGGATCGAGCCTCGTAAGCGCCTTTGCAATGGCGGCCGTGATGCCCGGGATGCGCGCATGGTCAAACATGTTGAAGTGGTGGCCGTCGACGTCGAGCACGTCGACAAACATGTCAGCGTCGTAGCGCTCCCACCCGAGCATCTTGTCCGCGCGGTTCGTGTCAATCGCGGCGCTCCAGTCCTGCGCGTAGAGGCTGTCGCGCGCGCGGATCAGGATCGCGGGCGGGCGCCGCGCGCCGCCCTCCCACGCCGGCAGCTCCCAGCGCGCAATCATGCGGCGGGCCTCGCGCATGGCGCGGAGCGACAGCACCTGGTTGCGCGTCTTGCCGGCCTCTTGCGCCGCCTGATCATCATCGTCCTGGATGACCTGCTGGCGACGCTCGGCGAGCAGCGCCGGAAAGGCGCTGTCAATCATGAGGATGCCGCGCACGCGCAGCTCCGGGTCCGCGTGCAGCTGGCGCGCGACCTCGAGCGCCGTCATGCCGCCGAGGCTCCAGCCGCCGACGAGAATGTCCACGGGGCCGCCGGTGCCGGCGGGGCGCTTCGCGGGGAAGGTGTCGGAGGCGACGGCGGCGCGCACCCAGGCGACGTACTGGGCGGCCATGGCGGGCATGCCGCCGTCGAAGCGCTTCTCGGTGTAAAAGTGCGGGTTGCGCACGCCGTAGGTGAAGCGCTGCAGGGGGTCCAGGCAGTGGTAGGCAAAGGTGGTGCCGCCGCCGTCGTGGAAGAGGAAGACGGGCGTCTTGCCGCTCCACGACTTCATCCGCGCCCAGCTCTCGGGCTGGATGAGCTCGGGGTTCTCCTCGACCATGCCGGGCATTGCTGGGGGGGCGAGGAAAGGGGGTGATTTGCAGTTTTGGGCGGGATGCGAGTGTGCTCTTCCCTGTCGCGGTAGAAACGGTTGGAAGGGTGCGTCTTTTTTTTTTGTGTTGCTTATCGGGGCAATGTTGCCAGTGTCATCAAGCTGGCTCGGACTCAAGCTGACTGGCACTGGCGACTCTGGCGGGGCGGATGGATGTTCCGTTCTCTGCTGTAACTTTTGGCCCAAGCGCCGTCGACTCTCGCAATACCTGATTGTATACAAGGTGTTAAATACAAAAGTGTTGCTCGTGAATAACTTGACTACATTTCTTGTTAGCCGCCCAGTGCATTCATTTTATCCCATATTTCCAGAGTTTCGGTTGGGCACCCAACATGCGCCAGCGCTCACCACATTAAAGTCCCTGTCTGCCGTCTGGGCGAGATTTCAAGGGAACTGGATATTGGAGAATTGTAAGGAAATGTGAAAAAAAGACCTTCTTCGAGGTTTGGATGTTGTATTATCAAAAGACACAACATGGAGAGCTCCTCTACAATCCCCCATGTATCACCAGGCCTCGATCACCGCACTGTGTGGGTTGGTGTCAGCATCGGCTGGCTGACTTGCCGGCCCGGGGCATTCATCCGGCTTCACTTTGCCACGCATTTCCTGCGCAGGAATATACATGATATTACACATATACAGTCGAGATGATCTCTTACGTGGCCGGAGTATCCAAGTAGCCCTGCAGCTTCCACAAGAGCAAGTGCACCTGAACCATGGTCTTTGTCGGCCAGCTCTTGAGTACCAGCAGCTTGTTATCCCGGAACACGTCTGACTCGCTGCAAAGTCGACCAACCTCGTCCTCGCCTAGGAGCCAGGCCAAATTATGCACTGGCATCTTGCCATCGTACTTGGCGCCGACAACGTCAAAGGTCGCGTGCTGCTGCTGCTGTGTCGTGGCCTTGTCTTCTGCTTCCGGCAGCCACAAGACACAGCCGCGTCTCTCCACATCCTTGATATCCTCCCATGTCGCGCAGGGCTGCACAAACTTGTGATTGGCCGCGCCTGCTCTCTGCACAAGCTCGCTCGTCGCCTCGCGCCGCATGTCTCGTAGCACCACCTCGCTCATATCGTGCCGCCACACGGGTGAGCTGGCTTGGGGGCTCACGCCCATGCCAGCGCGGCGTGCCAGCAACGCGCCGCGGAGCCGCTTATCCGGCCCCGAGAGCGCATCAAAAAGGGATTTTTGGGACGCGACGTAACCAGTCAGCCGAGGAGTGAATTCATCCTGTTCACCCGAGCCGTTTTTGCTCACGCTGGCCGGAGGCGGCGCGCCGTTTGAACGTACTTCATTGTTCCGTTGTATGTGGCCGTATGCGTCGTTGGAGGGGGCTAACCAGCCTTGATTCGTTTCCGGGTGTTTGACCACGTCAAACCGTTGTAAAAAGTATCGTGGTTGATGCGTCTTGGTTACGGGGCAGAATCGCATCGGTGTCGCAAGAGCCTGTGCTGTGCGTTTGTTAGTCATGCTCGATTCAGAAATACACGAAACAAGGTAATGAAAACACAAGGCGCACCGTATGGGTTCTTTCGAAGGTGCTTTTGGAACTGGCCGGTGGCTGGCCGGGGCGGTTCTTTTGCGGCTCGCCTCCGTGACTTGATCCAGGCAGGATCAAACAAGGGAGACATGGGAAGCTCTCCGCTGTCGGTAGATATCGTCTTGCTCTTGGCATCAAGTGTGATTTTCGTGCCGTATTCGTCGTCGTTGAGCCGCGCGCCGACCTTGGCCAGCAGCGCCTCGTCCGTCAGGGAGGCGCTGCTATGGGACGTCCATCGTTGACCAGAGGCGCACGATTTCCGCGGCAGATACGCAGTGCAGCGCTTCATAATGCCTCTACCCGAAGCCTCTATGCTTGCAAGCGACAGCTCGGCGGTTATGAAGGAGATGGTCGGAGAATCGGATCCCGCCACTAACCAGTACTGATAAAATAAATCAATCTGGCGAGAAGAGCAGTTGCGGCTTGGCGGATTCAGTGGAGCCCATCCGCCTAACGGTGCGCCGCCAGCGCCACAAGCTTCAAGCTCCCCACGCGACAAGCTCCTCGAGTTGGACATTTGCTCTGTCAACATCACACGTCCACAGCCATGTTCCGATCTGCAAGGCTGCTACCGGCGCTGCGCCGATCATCCGCAAGCCAAGTGAGATGCTTTGGATTCTCTGGTTCCTCGGGGGCGGCGCCGACCATGGACTACCTCCCAATGCCGTACATTGAAGAGACCTCTGTGAGTGGCGCAACACTGGCTCTTGTAGAGAAATGCTAATTTGAGTCTAGGCTGCGGGTCGAAAGACATGTATGGTTGCAGCATTTCGCCAGTATTGGTTCGGACGAGACTGATGTGTTCTAGGGGACATCTTTTCCAAGCTTTTGCAGGTACGAGCAATTGCAACAGCCATGTTGCAACGCTAACAACGTATAGGAGCGCATCGTCTGCCTCAATGGCGAAGTCAACGACTACATGTCCGCATCGATTGTGGCTCAACTGCTCTGGTTGGAATCCGACACCCCCGAGAAGCCGATTACCATGTACATCAACTCGCCTGGAGGCTCCGTCACGTCAGGTGGGTTGCGCCGTCCCAACACACGAGACACGTACTGATGTGTGGTAAATCTAGGCATGGCCATTTACGATACCATGACGTATATCAAGTCGCCCGTCTCAACAGTCTGCGTCGGCGGCGCCGCGTCCATGGCGGCGATTCTGCTCGCGGGTGGCGAGGCCGGCAAGCGGTTCGCCCTGCCGCATAGCTCCATCATGATTCACCAGCCACTCGGCGGCACGCGCGGCCAGGCTTCAGACATTTTGATCTACGCGAACCAGATCCAAAAGATCCGCGAGCAGTCCAACAAGATTATGCAATACCACCTGAACAAGGCCAAGGGCCACGACAGATATACCCTAGACGAGGTCAATGAGATGATGGAGCGAGACAAATATCTGAGTGCACATGAAGCACTTGAGCTCGGAGTCATTGACGAGATTCTAAATAAGCGAACGGATGCGGATGCGGATGCGGATGCCAAGGATGAGAGGCAGTCGCCGGGTACTCCATCTTGAAGGCAGACTGACTGACATTGGAATAATTCAGTTAGATCAGCGAGTACACTTGTAAATTCTGCGCGAAATATTATAATGAAATATTATGGAATACATGTTCAACATTGCGAAAGCGCCGGTTAGGTGAACCCTGCTGCCATTTTTCCGATGTCGGACCAGTTCCTTTACAGTGGATATCGGCAATCTGGCTTTAGCAGGCCATGTTCAGATGCGTGCGGAAAAAAAGTGTACACTAAATAAGAGAAAATCAACGGTCAAGGAGAATTGAATCTGCAATTCATTTATTTATACACCGGCTTTCTCTAGGTAGACTTACTTTGTCTGCGTCGTTGACCCAAGATGGCCCAGCGAAATGGCTGCCACACCAGCCAATCGCGGGCAAGGGAGTTGAAATAGGTAATCAGCTGCAAGCGGGCCTCGACTTTTTGGCGGGGAGCCGATGCTCCAAGTCACAGGGACAGAGATCACAGGGAAGATCACAGGGACAGACACCAAGATGGGGCTTGCAAAAATAAAACGAGATTAAAAATTCACCCGATTGGGAGTCACAGCTTGACTTTTACTCTTTTTTTGCCATTTTTCTCGCCACAACGCCGCATCATTGGCAACGGCGCGTGTTAGTACCAGTAACCGAGAGACCGTTGTCGGCCGTTGTCTGCTGGTTTTAATTCCTACTATTTTTCTCCCTATACACCACACACATCTACACAATGCTGTCCCATTTCCTGCGCCAACGGCCCCTGGCCAGCCTGGGCAGCCTCTCTAGAGCTTTCCTCAATGCTACACAAATTGGGTATGCCATTCAATTCATCACCGCCCGCGACCCTTTTGCTAATCCGCCCGTAGTCGCTCCCTCTCAACAACGCCGTGCCGCCGCGCCGCCGACGAGCACTCGTACAACAAAATCTCGGGCACCATCACGCAGCCCAAGTCCCAGGGCGCGTCCCAGGCCATGCTCTACGCGACCGGCCTGTCCGAGGCCGACATGAACAAGGCGCAGGTCGGCATCTCGTCGGTCTGGTTCGAGGGCAACCCGTGCAACATGCACCTCCTCGACCTCTCCCAGGCGGTGCGCGACTCGGTCCGGAAGGCCGGCTTCATCCCCTACCGCTTCAACACGATTGGCGTCAGCGACGGCATCTCCATGGGCACCACGGGCATGCGCTTCTCCCTGCAGTCGCGCGAGATCATTGCCGACTCCATTGAGACCGTCATGAGCGGCCAGTGGTACGACGCCAACGTCAGCCTGCCCGGCTGCGACAAGAACATGCCCGGCGTCGCCATCGCCATGGGCCGCGTCAACCGCCCGAGCATCATGGTCTACGGCGGCAGCATCAAGCCCGGGTGCACCAAGGCCGGCGCCCCCATCGACATTGTCTCGGCCTTTCAGGCCTACGGCCAGTACATCAGCGGCGAGATCACCGAGGAGGAGCGCTTCGACATTGTGCGCCACGCGTGTCCCGGCCAGGGCGCCTGCGGCGGCATGTACACGGCCAACACCATGGCCACGGCCATTGAGACCATGGGCCTGACGCTGCCCGGCAGCAGCAGCAACCTGGCCGACAGCCCCGAGAAGATGGCCGAGTGCGCGAGCGTCGGCGAGGCCATCAAGAACCTGCTCCGCGAGGACATTCGCCCCCGCGACATCATCACCCGCCAGGCGCTCGAAAACGCCATGGTCGTCATCACCGTCCTCGGCGGCAGCACAAACGCCGTGCTGCACCTGCTCGCCATTGCCGACGCCGCCGGCGTCAAGCTCACCATTGACGACTTCCAGAGCGTGTCGGACCGCGTCCCCTTCCTCGCCGACCTCAAGCCCTCGGGCAAGTACGTCATGGCCGACCTCCAGGCCATGGGCGGCACGCCCGCCCTGCTCAAGTACCTCATCAACGAGGGCCTCGTTGACGGCTCCGGCATCACCGTCACGGGCAAGACCATGAAGGAGAATGTCAAAAACGCCAGCGATTTCCCCGCCGACCAGGACATCATCCGGCCGCTCAGCAACCCCATCAAGCCCACCGGCCACATCCAGATCCTGCGCGGCTCCCTGGCCCCCGGCGGCTCCGTCGGCAAGATCACGGGCAAGGAGGGCCTCCGCTTCGAGGGCAAGGCGCGCGTCTACGACAGCGAGCCGGACATGATTGCCGCTCTCGAGCGGGGCGAGATCAAAAAGGGCGAGAAAACCGTCGTCATCATCCGCTACGACGGGCCCAAGGGCGGGCCCGGCATGCCCGAGATGCTCAAGCCGTCGTCGGCCATCATGGGCGCCGGCCTCGGCCAGGACGTGGCGCTGCTCACCGACGGCCGCTACTCGGGCGGCTCGCACGGCTTCATCATCGGCCACATTGTGCCCGAGGCGATTGACGGCGGGCCCATTGCGCTCGTGCACGACGGCGACCACATCGTTATTGACGCCGAGAAGCGCGTCATCGACCTCGAGGTGCCCGAGGAGGAAATGGCGGCGCGCAGAAAGGCATGGAAGGCGCCGCCGCCGCGCTACACCCGCGGAACGCTCGTCAAGTACGCCCGTCTCGTCACGGACGCGTCCAGTGGCTGCGTGACTGATAAGCCTCTATGAGTGAGCCCATGGTGATGTACAATGAAAACCAAAAAAAAGGTGTCTCGTTTTTGGGGGAGGGGAGTTTCCTGAATCAATACCAAGTAAGAAGGCGGTTTCTGCGTGCTATTTGTGACAATGTCAAAGGAGCCAAAGCACCCATCTCACTTTAAGAATGGCAAGCTAAGAAGAAGAATTGTCTTTTTAAAAAAGAATTCAATTTTACAAATTTTTATTTCTCAAGGTATCATGTGCGGTAAAAGCGGACCTCACTGGGTGTGGATGCAAAAAAGGGAAGCCATCGTCGCAAAGTCGGCCCAGCTTAACCAACCACAATGACCATGCTGTCTGATGAAGGGTTCTCTCTCCTTTAATGTGGGGATTTGAATTAGCAAACACTTGACCTTGTAGTCGAATATATTATTCACGTGTATTTTCTCAGCGCGACATGTTCGGGGTGGCTGTGGGAATTCCCAACACCCTGAAACCTTGACAAATAAAACCATGTCAGGCCTTTGCTATGACAACTCGGAGAGAGCCTGATTCCCTGATTCCTTGACGTGTGGCGTGCACACCCAGAGTGCAGTCCCCGGCCGCCCACTGGAACGTGTGTGCCTCGCCTCAATGGTGGCCATCCATCTGCGAGGTTACATTAAGGCCTTTATCGAATTGCCTGGCCGACGTTTCATTGGCTCGAGTTCTTTCTTTGCCACCATGCCCGCATGTCGCCGTGTTGTATCTCGTCTGCGATGAAGCGATGCAAAGACTGTGCACACTGGCGGCATAAAACGGCCGACTTCAACCACATTTCATCTCGTGCGGTTCCTCCGCTGGCTGCTTGTCTGCAGCATGAGAGATGGAGCATGTTCTGAGGGAGCAGACGAGATGGATGCAGTCAATAAAAAGTCGAGTACGAATGTAGCGAGTCGAAATGCGCCACCAGAAAGGTCCTCGGACTTGCAGGCAGCCGCGGGCCGTTGCCCGCCTGGCACCAGAGTTGCATTGTGGGATTGTGAGGCGCGCCGTACGGCTGATAATCTCCGAGTGGTTGCAAGACAAAACATGATGATACAGAGGGCTAAGAGCGTGATTTTAAAACTAAAACGGTATCCTAAGAGGCTATATTATACATAGTAGTATTTTAACTTATAAAATATAGCTTATAATATCCTTTAATTTTATATAAATTATATATAATACTATAAGCATTTTTTCTTAAAAAGAAATCTTTTATTATTATTATTAAATTAGTTTTTAAAAGTTTATATTCTTTAAAATTTTTACTAAAGTTAGTATCTAGTCTTACTAAGTTAATAAAGATACTAAATAATCTAAAATAATAATAATATAGTAAATACTTATAAATTATTAAACTATAAAATAATAAATAAATTATTATTTTAAAAGTTAATTTAATATATAATAGTTAGGTTAGATTAGGTAGAAAAATAAAAAGGAAAGGATAGGTAAATTACTTATTAAGACTAAAACTTACCTTTCTTCTTTTTATAGTAAATATTCTTTCTTATTTATAATATTTTAAATAATAATAATTTATTTTTTAATTAGACTTTAAATATTTATTTATTAAATTACCTTAATTAGACCTTATAGTCCTTCTAGTACCTTAATAAACTTATAAGTGCTAAAAAAACTATAATAGTAGATCCTTTATACTAGCACCTTACTATACTAAGTATAGACCTAGGGCTACCTAGGTAAAAACTAGCCTCTCCTATATACTAATCTACTATTATATAATAATTTCTAGTAGTAGTTAATAGTATTTAGTATATTTTTAGTAGGTAGGTTCTTAAGCTACTACCTTAATCTATATTACTTTATATCTTCTATTATTTATTAACTATTTAGGTATATTAAATTACTTATTATCTATATATATATCTAAGTAGTAGAATAGTCCCCTACTATTAATACCTTTTATAAGGTTATATATTATAGTATTTATATAGTTTTTAGCCTTATTCTATATATTAAGAGCTAAGTAGTATAGTAGTTAGTATATATTACTTCTAGCTTTTACCCTAGCTAACTCTATAGTTACCCTGCCTATATTCCCCTTATAAGTTAGTTATAGGGGCGGGCTATACTACTTAACTTTTAGAAGAAAATCGTTTAAGGTGCCTCTAGCTAGATTTAAACTAGCAATCTATATACTAACCTATATAGAACTCCCTAGCATAGAACTACTATACTATAAAGGTAGACTTTAAATATTAATTAAAACTTGTATAAGGATTATTAAGGTACTAAAAGAACTATAAGGTCTAATTAAGGTAATTTAATAAATAAAACTTATATAAAATAAACTTATTCTAATAAATCTATTTAGACTTTAATTTAACTTTAACTTACTTATAAGTCTTAATAACTTTATAGCTAGTTGTTTTTTAAGATAACTTTAGCTATCTTATTAGTTTTTTAAGCTAAGTTTTTCTTTATTATATTGCGCTAGTAGGTACTATAGTAGATATAGTTAGCTAAGTATAGTAAATATTTAGTAAGATATACTATATATAGAGGCATATAGTAAATAGATTTATACTATATATAGTTATATATAGTAGCTAGTTATACTATATAGTATATATATATAGTAGTTATACTATATAATAGTATATAAAGAAGTCTTAGTATTTATAGCCTTAATATAAGGTATTATAAAGGCTATTATAGTAAGTAACTAAGCTAATAAAACTAGATTATTATAAAGGTATTATTACTTCTTATAGGTAAGTAAAGTAACTACTTATAAGCTATTAACTATTAATATATATAACTACTAATTATTCCTTTATTCTTATAATTTCCTAGTAATACCTAAGGTACTACCTATTTATATATTTAACTATAGCCTCTCCTTTTTATAGTTTATTTTATTAGTTAATTAAGAATTATTATTATATAACTATTCCTATAGAGTACCTCTATAGGCACTCTATACCTATAATCTTATAACTATTACCTGCTTAGGATAGTAATCTTAATATATTAATTAGTTATCTTATATAATCTACTTTTATTATAAATCCTTAATTATATTATATTTAGTATTTATAGTACTATTTTTATTAATTATATATAGTTTTTAATTATTTAAGATTTCTATATTTATAGGCTTTAAATAAAGTATAATTTAAATTCTATACTTAATATATTAAATAATATTAAATAATATTTCTATTTTATAAACCTAATAATATATTATTATAATTAGAAGAAATATATTATAATTAGAAGGAAATATATTATAATTAGATATAATTAAATCTAAGCTAAATAAAATAATTAATAAACTAGTATTCTAGGCTTAGCTATGCCTTATACCGCCTCTTATAGTAGCGAGGTTAGTAGACTAGGGCTATAAGACTACTTACTAATAGCAGCAGTGCTAGTTACGACTAGAGCCCTCCAAGCAAATTCCGTTATAACTAGTCTTTATAATATAATAATTTTATAATAAGGAGTTCTATATAGGTTAGTATATAGATTACTAGTTTAGATCTAACTAAAGATACTCTGTCTTAATTTTAGCTCTCTGCGCGCCGGCCACTCACTAGAGAGGCGATGGGCAGCCTGTGACATGTAGGAGGGATAGTTTTCACCCGGGTAAGGTCTAATGCCACGGTTTTTCTAGCCCTCATAGATTCATAGCGGTACTGGATAGACTGATTGGCTTGATTAGTAAATGAATGAGAATAATATACATATACTCTTGGTATATCTTTGTAGATATTCCTTTAGTATTTTTGGTACTTTTCATTAGTGGCAGTAGACAATACATGTTCTCACATGTTCACCAGCCATACCACCTCTCGGTTGGCAATGGCAACACAGGGCCTGAAATATGTTGTGCGCAGTTTGAAGATGTGCAAATATTCTGCAAATATTCTGGGAGTCATGTTCGATGCAACCCTTCCTAGAAGCCACAATGGAGGGTCTCAGGCGGGAAAAGTTTCGTACCACTTATCTTGTCTTATCCGGAAAGGGCTTGAGGGTTCCCTGTAATATTGATACACAGTATTGCATGCATTATGCATGGCCACGTACCAACCCTTGCAGTCTCGTCGCCGCGCAGCTTCCCCGACCTTGCAGCGACGGCAGCCGTACGTACATACTTTGCTACGCTGATATACGGCCACTCTGCAATACTAGGAGCCAGCGGCGCGCTTCCCCGCCTGGGTCCCGAGGGTCGCCGTGGCCGGAAACCTTGCCGGCTGATTAGTACGCCTAGCAACAAGATTTCGGTTGCTGCCGACTGGGTCGCCGCCCACTGTGCTGTGTTGCTGGGAAGCGGTCCTCGCCAAGCAAACCGTTGGACCCCTCTGGACCTAGTTAGACTCGACAACCAGCAGGACAGTATTCACAGACAGGGCTCGCTCGACCCCATGTCACTGGCCCGCCAATTCCAAGGCCGAAGTCAAATTATGAGTACACTCACGAGCCCTGATCTCCCCCAGTGTTAACTAGTGTTCCAATCGGCCAAGTCCTTCCATCTCAGCCCGGCCGATCGGCTGAGCCTGACAGGCGTCTGTCGGTTCGTATGGCTGGGCCGCAAATTTTCGCAATCTTGTACTCCGAATCCGTACCCTGTACGTTGTCAGCACTGATGAACCGGCCAGGGTCTTTTCGAGTGAAAGCAACTAGTAGCTTTGATAGCTGGATGCCGTTGTTTGCCTCCCTCAGGGGGCTGAAGGTGCTCAAGACTCAATCCATCAAGGGTGTACGGTACACACAGCGGGCAAGTGGGGAGTCAGCAAGCCAATGAAGCCCTCAGTTGTTTCGTCTTTTCTCGGCCCCTCGCGCGGAACTGAAAATCTTGGTCTCGTGTCTGCCTTTTGCCGCTGACAGCCTACTTCCCCAAGCTTCCAGGCCGCGGTGGTGTGCCCAGTCGCCTCAGAGTGCCCTCTTGACAGCAACACTCGGACCGGTCCTTTTCCTTCTCCCATCCCTCTAGGCACCGACAAAAGGCAGAGAAACTCTGCCACGGCAGCAAGGGCTCCCATGTGAATATGCCACGCCGGCACTCGGTAGCCTCTCACGCGTGTGAGCTCTGTCGTCAGAGGAAGCGAAAGGTAGCTGGGCCGAAATGACATCGACATGCCTGTTCGCGTTCTTTTTCTAACACTGTTTGATACCTAGTGCGATGGAGATGGCCTGAACACTTGCCGCGCATGCCATGAGGCTGCCGTGGATTGTGTGTATCTCGCATCCACACGTGTCTCCAAGGCGAATTTGCGGGAAGAGGTTGCCAGACTGCGGTCGATCAACTCGGACAATAACGTCCTACTAGATGCCTTATCTTCCCCAAATACGAGTCCTGCACAGCTCGGCGACATATTGCAACGATTATGCGATGGCCAGCCACGAGCCGAAGTGGCAGAACTCTTGACACAGAGCCCCGACAGACGTCGTGGATCCAGCTTAGGTACGACAAGGCACTTGCCATTTTCCCATCCCTAATCAGTCACCTGCCTTGGTTGAAATCCTTCGACCTTCTAACGGCGATATGCATGCTAGGCGGCTCTTCTGCCTCGCTTCCGACCTCCCTTAGTCCCCGCACTCTCCTTGCAAGCACAGGAGCCAGCTCGAGAGGCTCGATTCCATCGGATACGACGCCACCAATCATGAGATCTCCTCGGGAAGCGAATTTCCAAGCCGACCTGAGACACTACAGGCCACAAATTCCCCAACTCCTGGACGCTATCCTCACGGGAGACTGCCTGTCGTTTTGCCCCATTCGCAAAGATGCCTTTCTTCGCGATTTCGAATCGGAGACCGATCAACACTGCTCTCCAGCTCTTGTAAGTACCCTCCTCGCCTTGGCCACCTTGTTGGTCCCGGAGAAGATGGCAGCGCTTGCAGCGTCTTCCCCGGGAGGTAGCTCGCCAGAGGGTCTAGGTTACGCTTTTGCGCAAGACGCCGTAGCGTCATTGTACAACGGGGAGAGATTGCCGCGAAGAATTGCAGACATACAGGCGATCGGAATACTGGCTCTATACTCCTTTTGTGGCGGCGAGTTGAAGGATGGGCTGGGATTTGCAGGCGATTATGGTATTGCCATTGCGACCCGATGGGAGAGCAAGGATGATGAAGCAACCTTGCCGGATCGTGAGACATGTGCATACATTTATTGCGCAGCCGTGTCCTTCAACAGGTAAAAAATCTTTCTAGGCTTGGTCCTGTCAAATTCGACTAAGGTCTTTTCAGATTGTTTTTCTTGATCGAAGACTATCAGAAGACTCTAGACGAGCTCGCGATCGAGGTTGGAATAGAGAGGCCTGTTCTGCACGATGCCAACAGCGCCGTCTTCACAACAAACATTTCTGGTTCTATGACTGGTAAGAAGTCTCTTGACAGATGTTGTCCTGGCCATGTAGCTCATTTACCGCAGATGATATCTTCTTCATGAGAGATTTCAGTCTATCACCCGATGACCCGAAAGTCCTTGCTGCCAAGCTGTTCGAGTTTGCCGAATGGGTGTACGAGGCCCGGTGCAATCCCGATAAAACTATGGAGCAGGCGATCGAGGTCTACCAAAACGGCCTGCATTGGTATGATACTTTGTTTGAATATACCCGCAAATGCAGTAGCCAAACGCCATTCACGCTGTTTACCCAGTAAGTTTGTGCAGTCCCAATTGGCAGTGTGTTGTTGTTCTCACTCAATATATTAGCGCTTATTATCAGTTTGGTGTCATGTGTCTGCTGACACCCTATGTGCTGGAATCGATTCCCATTACTTCGGATGGGACGCTTCCCATGGCCGCCTGTAGACAAGCAGCAGGAGATATCGCGCAGTTGGTACAGCACTATGGCAAGCTGTACAACGAAGCGAACGTTTTTGATTTCATGACTTTTTTCAAGACTGCCATGTTCTCTTTTCTGGAAATATGTAATGCAAAGATACCAACGTAAATGTGAGTAACAATGAATGGCCTTTTCTAACTCATCTTCGTTGTCAATATTTGTAGTTGGCTGATCAAGGCCGCCCAGAAACCCAGAAACCGCTCGACGCACTAATATACATTTCCTTTGGTAGAGAATGTAATGGAGGTATAGAATATAGAATAATTAGACGGAACAAAAGAGAAAAAAAAACAGACAAATAAAGTAGCAAATAAAATAGACAAATAAAATAGCCAAATAAGATGAGGTCATTATTGTGGCTGTTGCAGGTCGCGTCATGCTGCGCGAGGAATTTCCGAGCTGGAATAGGGGGGATTATACGTACCCAAGCCAGCCTTCACCTCAGGGTTCCATATTCGAAGTACGTAGCACCCTGATCAACATCTTGCCAAGGTTTAACCTCTCAGGAGTGCGGGTAGGGGTCCAGAGGACGCAGATTATAACTTGTGCTCGCGAAAGTGTCGGTAAAAAAAAAACGTCATTCCAGAATTATGAGGTAGTACAGTAGTGGTATTCCCGGGCTCCAAGTAAATGCAAATAAGCCGACATTTCCTTCTTCCAGCCACATCCCACGGTATATATCCCATTCGTTTTCATCAGCGGCAGACTCTACGCCACGGTTAGTCGTCCAATCAGACAGTCCCCCCTTCTCTCACGATCGCTTGCGATGGAGCGCCTTGACAAACGCCGACTTGTCCTCCACGGTGAGCCCAACGCGCTTGACTCTGCCCAGACGTGCCAGCGCCTCGGCAATGGTGTCAAGCACACGCTGCTCCTCGGCGCTCACGTCGGCCGCGTCGCCAGCACGCAAGCGCAGCTCGGCATTCGCAGACGCGCCGTTGGTACTCGCCGCCGACGTGTTGGACTGGCCCTCGGCGATGCGCACGCGGATGCACGTCGTCGGGCGCGAGAGCAAATTCCACAGAAACGCGGCCCAGCGTCCGGGCACGGGGGTGGTGACGTCAGCCGGGGTGTAGCGCAGGCTGACGGGGAAGACGAGCACGTCGGGCGGGCAGGCGAGCAGGCTGGGGCTGAGCGGCAGGATGGCCTTGCCGTTTGTCGTGGTGCACTCGGGGAAGACGGCGATGGGGCGGTCGGGGTACTGCCGCAGCAGGTCGCGGAGCTCGACGAGGTCGCGGTCGGGGGGGGCGGCGAGGTCGGCGGGGAGCGCGAGGGCGGCCAGGACAGCGGCGAAGAGCCCGACGCGGCGGACGCGGCGGGTGCCCGGGTAGGCGAGGGTGAAGACGGGGTCAAAGACGGCGGCGAGGTAGACGACGTCGACGGGGCTCGTCCAGTTGGCGGCGATGACGGCGCCGCCGTGCGGGAAGCGGCGCCGCGGCTGGTCGGCGAGCGTGCCGCGCTTGACGCCGTCGAGCTGCAAGTCCACCCACCAGATGCCGGGGATGCCCAGCAGGCACCAGAGGGCCACCTTGCGCGCGATGACGGGCAGCGGCAGGTGCTGGAACAGGCCAAAGTAGCCGGCGGCGAAGAAGAGGAAGAACGGGAGGCGGAGCGCGAAGATGAGCGCGTGGTAGGCGGCGCTGACGGCGGAGAGGGTCGTCGTGACGGGGAGGAAGGGTGCGATGCCCGTGGCTGCGTCATGATGAAACAGAGGTTAGCTTGGCAGGGTTTTGTAAAAGGAGGAGAGGCGGGGGGGGGGGGGGATTGCTGACCCCGATCGCGATATTGGCTGTATTTCTCCATGACTGAAGGGGTTGCCCAGGGTTTGGTGATGGGTCGTGTGTTGGTGGCGAGAGGAGAAAAAGAAGGTCCCGTTTGGTGTTGGGGTTGTTCGATCTCGGAGGTGGTGGGGGCCGCCCGGCCGCGATTAAGCTTTCAGGCGAAGGAGCTCTTCTGGGGGGCGCACCTCAGTCATGGCAAGGAAAAAAAGCATGTGATTTGCACTTAGTAAGCCAGAGCTCATCGCGGAGCAGCCTCCCCAAGAACCGATACAAACACACAAACAAACGACATGAAAATGAGCTCACAGAGCAGTGCAATCAGCGCTCGGTCTTGGAACAATTGGCCATCCGAGAGTATATCATGCTATGCGTCAACTCCATCACAAGGAAGTGCCTATGGAGCTAGCACAGCTCCTGGACTCGAGCTGTCGCCGTCAAATGAAGCGAGGCTGCCACGGCACACTTGGGTCGCAACGCATAACGGCCCTACCCTCACAAACGTTCAAGGCGCAGAAATCCAGCACTTGTACAGCGATCCGTGCTATATTCAGACAGGCCAATGATGCAATTCAGGAAGCAACTACCAACTACAACCAATCATCTCGCTGCTGCAGGCCAGAAGCGCCGTGGCGTCGACTCATGCATTGCTAGCCTGATGACGCTGCGAGTCAGCCCCTTGGATTTTATAGATGTCAGCTGCGCCGCAGCCTGATACTCGGCACCCTTTCTACACTTAAGGTCCCCCCCCGCACGCGGCCAACTTCCCGTGTCTCTGCAAAGTGCAAAAACAATCCTCGGTATGCAGGCCAGGTACCAGCGGAATAATGTCGTCCCCGTGTCTGAGGACCCTCGCGGATCAAGTTCGCGCGAGAATGGTTCGAAAGCCTCCGGTAAACCGCGTGTGCCGTCTCTTCAGGTCCACGCAGACGGGGACAGGCCGACGTTTGAGCATGTTCCCACCTCTTTTAGGCCGATCAAATCGACTAATCGTGGTCTAGAATCATTGCAGTTCCCGGTTTAGGCGCAGATCCTCATTTTACATGGACGAAAGAGGTACAAACCTCCCCGCAGAAGTCTGATGAGCATGACGATGCCACTGCTGTGAAGGCCAAGAACAAAGTCCCTACGCCGAGAGTCCACCTGCTTGATCTCTTTGTTGAATTCTTTCCAATGGCTAGGATTCTACGTTTCGAAGATAACTCTGATTGGCAAGGTGACGCCGTCGTGAAGACAACAGACGAGATGGGAAGGCGCTTGTGGGCGCAAATCGAGGCAACGCGTTTGCCAAGTGTATGTGTAGAAGAGCCCTGCCCCTCAAACATGGCTAACGTCTATCCAGCGTCTACCCATCATACTCATCGGACACAGTCTAGGAGGACTCGTCATCAAACAGGTACAGAAACTGTTGGCAATAAATGCGCAAAGTCAAGCTGTGCTCTAACTTTTCAAGGCTCTATGCGCGGGTCGGTCGGAAAGTGCCATTGACGATATCCTTGGAATCATTTTTCTCGGAACCCCTCATCAAGGTGCCTCAGCAGCGAAAGGCATCGCTCGCCTGGCCACGGCTTTGAATCGCTTCAGAACAGACGATACGCTTCTCAAGTTTCTGACCAAGAACAACCCCGGCCTTAGCGACCTCAGGGACAGATTCGACGAAGTCCTGAGCCAGATAGGGGAACGAAAAGCCACAATTCGAATCATAGCTTTCTATGAGACGAAAAAGTCATATGGCCTCAAAGAGCCTGTATGTACTTACGCGCCCAGAAAAAGTGACGATGTGCTGACTGGCTCTAGTTGGTGAACCGTGACTCAGCTACTACTCACGCCGATGCATATGAGCGACATTTGGTCAACACCGATCATTCAGGTCTCAATAAATGTTGCAGCAAAAACGATGGACTCTTTGTACAGCTGACGGACGCGATAGAGCGTCTACGTTACCCGTCGCGGCTCAAGCTGGCTGACTTATTGATAAAACGAAACCACTATACTGCAGCTAGGCTTGAGATCGTCCGACTCTCGGGAGCCAAGCTAGACTTCAGGCAGTGCTACATTAACCTGACTATCGAGCAGAGATCGGGTCAGGAGTCAACCTGTGAGAGACAAGAAACCCCGAGTTCTCCATTTTCGGTTTCAGCTCGGGAGGTGAAAAACCGGCCCTTGCCTGGAATGTTGAGTGTCAAAGATGTCTTTGATCATGTGCAGGGACGCCGCGCCCCATTTTCGCTTCTGGTTCGAGAGAAGGTGAAGTCAGAAGACCTGGGATTGAGCACCATCTTCGACCAAAGACGGGGACCCGATGGCGCTTTGATATTACCTCGGAGGATAATGATACGTGGTCGCGCTGGAGTGGGCAAGTCTACCTTGTGTAAGAAGATAATCCATGACTTTCTACATCACGGTATGTGGGGTGACCTGTTCCACCGCATACTATGGGTGCCTTTGAGGAATCTTGCACGGGATGAGAGAATGACGAATCCCGGATACAACTTCAAGAGTCTCTTTAAGGACGAGTTCTTCCCCGACAATGATGAATTTGCTGAAGAGCTGGCGCGGGATTGGAGCACAAAGAGCGGCGACTCTCTATTCGTGCTTGATGGACTTGACGAGGTATCAAAGATACTGGCAAAAGAGAGCAGGATGAAAGACTTCATCGAAGAGCTTCTACGACAGCCAAATCTAATCGTCACATCGAGACCCTATGCCAATCATTCAGCTGTCGCCAATGTGCATCTCGAAGCCGAAGTCATGGGATTCCATCCTGATCAGGTAGTAGCCTACCTCAAGGCTGACCCCGAAATGACAGGGAGGGTGGACGAGTTCATGTCTTTCATCGACAGGCGTTGGATCCTACGTGACTTGGTACAGGTTCCCATACTGTTGGACGCACTTTGTTTTATCTGGGACAACCCTCGTCGCAAGGGCATACATGACACCATGGCTGGGATATATATTGCCATTTGTCAGACTTTGTGGGAGAAGGATCTACAAAAACTCCAACTCGATGATCCCGAGTCTCTGCCATCCGAAAACCAGTCCAAATTTCAACACGTGCAGACTATTCTCGAACTTTTAGCATTCAGTGGCCTGAGTCGCAATCTCGCCGACTTCACAACCGACCACCGTGACGTGCTTGCTCGGCATTTTCGCAGTCCAAAGGGTTTCCCGTTGGATGCCACTTTGAGGTGCATATCCTTCATGAGGTCATCGGATAGTCCGGAGCTATCGAATCGAAATTACCACTTTCTACACCTCACTTTTCAGGAATTCTTCGCGGCGCAGTATTTCGTTCGGCGCTGGATTGACTCCGTGGAACTAGAATATGTCTTCAACGAGGGTGAATCAGACGCGGAAAATTGTCCCGCTCAACCTTTCAAATTCCTACAAATATACAAATATTCGCCCGACTATGATGTGTTCTGGCGTTTGGTTACCGGCCTGATGGCGGCACGCTCAGCTGATCATCTTCGGCTTTTTTTTGCTGCGGTTGAACAGGAACCATTGGATTTATTAGGCCCAGCACATCAACGGCTGGTTATGCATTGCTTAGCTGAAGTTGATGAGAAATCAGAACTGCTTATCCGACCCAAACTGGAAGCGAGACTTTATCAGTGGATGATGTTTGAACGCGACATAGAAGATGGAGCAGGTGCCACAATTCTGGCAGAACCGGGATTTCCAGAGGCATATCTTTGTAAAGCCCTGGACTATCATTCCTTGCGGCGAACAATGCACCTGCAGAGACTGGATTCTAGAATCCTGTGGATTCTGTTCGTTCTGAAGAGGAACAAGCGCCCGCTTTCCGAGAAAGTCGAGGCTCGAATCTTTGAACTATTGATAGAAGAGAAATTCCGGGATGAAGCTGCAATCACCCTAAAGTGTCTTCCAAGCCTTTCGATGATCACTCTGCGTGGAATAATGAAGCTGCTCATGGATAAATTGAAGGACCAGGGATTGCGCAATGCAGCCGCAGATGTTTTACGAGGACATGCTAGTCTCCCCGAAGAGATAGTGAATGATTTGATTGCATTACGTCGGAACGAGGATGAACATCTCTGGGCCCTCGCCGCGTTTGCCTCTGGGGATTATGTCTTTGATCTAACAAAAGAATCGGCATGCCTTGTGTCGCTGCTACTCGGGGACTATGTTGGTGAGGGCCAGGACTGGGCTATAAGGGGTCTATACCTGACAATGACGCCATCTGAAAAGACAGAGTCAACTCTTGTACGGTTGATGAAGGAGCACCAGAGCTCGGAAGCTCGGGAATCTTCTGCGATTTTGCTTGGGAAAATCCCTCGGCTTTTCCCAGCGACCCTGGCAGTACTTGTACAGGTTCTCTCAGACTGCCATGACGCGAGGACTACGTGCCTCGTCATTTCCCTCCTACATCAGCAAAGACAGAAATTCCCAGAGTCAAGTCAGGAAGCATTAGCAAGCCTATTCTTACGCATGCCTGACCTGCGCTTTGATATCGCTTATATTTTGAGAGAGCAGCACAGTCTTCCGACGGAAGTGTCCATGACGCTAATGTGCGTGCTCGAAAACGAAGAAAATGACGCGGGGTATCGGCATCTTGCCATTGAAGCGCTCAATGGAAGCATCGATTGCCTTCCACATCCGGTAGTCATCGTTCTAACAAATCTGGTAGCAAATGACAGCCACAGTGACGTTCTCCGCAGTAGTGCTGCCGCCCTTCTTCGCTATCAATCTACTTCGCCTGCTGACACGGAGACTTTGGAAAGACTACTGCGCGATAAAAGTTCTTGCGTTCGGAGCTTCGCTTTGAAGACCCTGTCGTATCGCGATCCGGGCCTGCTTACAACCTCGAGTCTCTGTGGTGTCCTAGAACGTCAACTGCCACACTTTGAGGTGGACGGGTGGACTACGGAGTCTGCCCAGGCCGTAGAGGCCTTTGAGGCTCTCGAGGCTTTACAAGGCCGCAGTGATCTTCTACCGAGTGACGAAATGGTACTCTTGCGGTTCATGAGCATCGCCCGTGCTTTAGCTCACGAGCCCCGCCCAAAAGAAGAGCATCTCGGACCGCGAATTTGGTTGGAACCGTTTGTGAGTCCTTTGGTCATGGCGGTCGTGGCCGCGACGATCCTGGCAAGACAACCGCAACTTTCAGAGGCGACGAAGGAGTCATTGCTGCGCTCACTAAGCACGGCAGATAACAAGAGGGTGTTCCGATTTCTGTCGGCTGCCCTCTTTGGGCACCAAAAACAGACGATGCTCCCTCCGATGACCGACGACCTTGTCCGAAGTGCCATCTTGACACCAGGCTTTTTGGACAGGATACTCAAGTCGTTTGGGTGGCGTCTCACCTCTGAGCCGCAATCCAAGTCGGCACCAAATACGTCAATCTATGTAGACCTCATTTTCGCTCTCCACAGTGGCCTTGTGCTTCGCAGCTGCTTTGAACGAGTCACGTTGTGCATTGATGGTAATCTTTGCATCATTGATCAGTCTCAAGGGCGCCGAAGCCTTTACTTCAGTGATGGTGAAATCGACCGTCTGAGACACGGCATTGGTGTCTTTAATAAGCACTATGGAATTTTCTCTGACTCTGATGAGTGAGAGTAACGACTAAAGTGGCGGTGCTTCCCTTCAACACACTAACTACGAGAGCTGCGTCGCGTGACGTGGACAGCGATTGGTTCTGGTGCCTGCTTGTCTCAATGTTTCTTCGTCATCACTCGGGGCCAGAAAACTTGTTGCCAGCGTTCCGAACAAGAGCCCCCAATTTGAAGGTCTGCTGTGTGTCGCGGAGAGTTTGACTGCGACCAAATTGGAACAGAGAAGGCATTTCGAATTTTACAACACTGGATGTGCTGGCACGCTGTGTGCATGAGCATGGTAGTTCAGTTCATTTCGGTCTGCACTATTTCCTAGAGTATTGAACAATTAATGCGTTTTGATAGGTATTAAGGGATGCTGAAGCCATGTCGAGCTTTAATGCAGTCCACTGTCCCCAGTAACAGACATATACTTTTGGCAGTTCAGCAAAATTTTGACCTGATCGCCCACGTCGCTCAGCCGACCCAGCACCTGGCGGTTTCCGTCTACAAAGCCCAAGATGGAATACGGCACACCGGTTTCGGCACAAAATTCCTTGACCATGCCCTGGACTGTCCGCAGGTTGTGCCTGGGCACGCGCGGAAACAGGTGGTGGATTGCCTGGAACTGCAGGCCGCCGTGGACAAAGTCCAGCCAGGCGGGACAGTCAACATCGAGCGTGGTGCGCAGCTGCCGCTGGGCAAACGACTCGGCCGCGCCGAGCTCCGCGGTGGACATGCCCCAGTGCGAGAGGGTGAACTGGACGTGCAGCGGCATGGTGACCATGTGGGAGACGGCGACAAAGGCCACGCGCAGCTGCCAGGTCGGCAGGCTGCGCCAGACGAGCACGTAGCCGTACAGGAACCAGTAGCACGCCATGAAGCCAATCTCGGTCGGCCGGATCCACCACGCCGTGCTGCCCGCCAGCCCGGACGACTTGGACGACAGCACGTGGCTCCACGAGAGCGCGTAGAGCAGGAACCGCGCAACGCACATGGTCGGGTAGAAGGTGTACTGCTGATACGGCACCAGGAAGCTGGCGGCCGCGTCCCACACAAAGACAAAGTCGTAGTACGACGACCGAAGAGACTTGAAGAACGAGGGGCACGTGGCAAATAGGGGAACGTTTTGCACGTCGGGGTCATGCTCGGGCGAATTGGTCACGAGGTGGTGAACGTTGTGACTGCTCTTCCACCAGCCCATGGACAGTCCGGCGCAAAAGTCGCCGATGAAGAGACCGATCAATGTATCCACCACGAAGCTCTTGGTAATGGCTCGATGGCCAGCGTCGTGCGCCGTGAACATGATTTGGTGCTGCATCGGGTTGTATTAGCCAAGGCGGGGAGGGGGCAGCCGCGGCGACAAGACGCGAGTCCAAAAAAACGTACCCAGAACAACCCGAGAAACACGGCCGAAGTCAGATACCAGCCGGCGCGCAGGGCGGCAAGAAAGGTGGCAAAGAGGGCCGTGTACCGCATCAGCTCCTTGCCGTACTCCATGTAGCGGCAGTCGTAGAGGCCCTGCTCCTGGATGCGGCGGTGCAGCGCCCTGTACTTGTCGGCAATGGCCTCCTGCACCGTGGCGTCCAGCGACGGGTACTGTCGCCGGTCGACCTCCTGGCCCTGCCGTATGGCCCATTCGGTCCACTCGTCCGCGTTCATGGTGACGTGTGCACCGGCGCTGCTGCTGCCGCCGAGGTCCTTTGTTGTCCGAGGCAAGTTGTGCTTGGCGCGCCGCGCCACACGGTCCGGTGCAGACTCTCGGCCGCTCGCATATTCCGAACCGTCGCTGCTGGAGGCGGGAGACTGCTGGCGTGAAGGACGTTCTGCAGGAGGAGCATGGCCGTCCAGCTGCCCGCCGAGAAGGGCCCTCTTTTCCGGGTCGGAGGGCACGGCCGGCTCGTCGAAGCGGCCGCCTCGGATGGGCGGCGTCCGGTTCGTCCAGGTACCGGGGGGCTTGCGGCCGACGCGGAATGCCTTCATGGTGCGTAACGTGTGCTCCATGTGGTACCTGGATGATGAGACTTTGTTAGTGGCCGCATGGTGGGAGATGTGGATGCTCAATGCAACGCTGTGGCTGCCAACTACCGAAGCTTCCGGCGCATTGTTGGGGGCTTAAGCTTATTCCCGGATCTTGGAGGCGAGATCCAGGGACGGCGCCACCAAAACCGGGGCTCCATGGAGGCATCGCCCGTGTCGCATACGAAAGAAGAAGGATAGGTATGAGAAGTAGACACTTTCCGCCTCCCCAGGTTCTTTAAGATGGTTTCTTGCCAGACAAACAGAAGTGGGTTGGAAGACAAGGTGTGGAAAAGAAATCGGTGGAATATTTACGCAGTAATTTCGTCCGTGGCATCTCTACCAATCATGTGCAGAATGGCAAGTCGACCGCCGGGATGCTTTCCCAGCCACGAGTTGAGTCGAAGCACGTAGTCTTGGAAAATGACAATACAGTCGCCCTTGGCAATCATGCTGTCCACCGCCTCGGGGGTCAAGACGCAGTCGCGCGTCATCTTGGCGGACGATGGGCTGGTGTAAACGAGATATATGCAAAAGAGCAATGAAGGGACACAAAATAAGAGGACAAAAGGCAAGATCCGTCGGGTGGAGAGTAGATTCTAGGGGCCCGTCGTTTTGCTCAGCGTCGGATGGTCGGCTCTCAATAGGGCGTCAAGACGGATCTGAATCGGGCTCAAACGTGGTGCTGAAAAGGATGAAGAGACGAAAACTTGCCCAGGACCATGCCAATCCGGGCGCAGACAGCCTTTATGAGTGATACATCATCACTGGCGGGAGACAAAGAACACAGCACCGGGGCCGCAATTTGGTGGCTGAGACTCTGCCCGCCCGTTATTGGACGCGCGTTGTAATCTTGCTGTCAGGGGCTGTTTGCAAAGATGGGACCAAGACCTATATATATATAGCCGGGTTAGTTAGTAAAGTAATCAATACTCCGTACATGCGATGTGCATTTCCGCCTGTCCCCTGGAGCTTTGACGTGCATTCCCACTCTGTTTGCTGTGGGCCTAAAATATTTGCCGAACCTAAATGGATAATTGTCGAATAAAAAAGTGGCTAGTGACTGTTGCGGTGGCTAGTGTAGTGCCTAGACGCCGAAGCCGGCTTTTCCATAGATTTGTATGGCGGGCGAATAAATACGTAATCTTAAGAGTATTATTTTAATACTCTTTATAAGGTATATTCTAAATCTAAGTAAATAAAGTATAAAGTATTAAAAATAAAAAAGAATAATAAAAAGAAATAAAAGCTAAGAACTCTTAAAAAAGATAAGAAGTAAAGAAGTTAAAGACTTTAAAAGGTTATAATAGTAATTAAGCTTAATTAATCTAAAGGTATATAAAGCTAAATATAACTCTTTTTAATATAAATAAAAATAAAAAAGAAAGGGAAGGAATTAAGAAAGAGTTAAGTTTAATTAGTTTAAAAATATATAGAATTAAATATAGCCTTTTTAATATAAATAAAAACTAGAAAGAAAGGAAGGTAATTAAAAGGCTTAGCTAGCTAAAAAGGTATAAGCTAAATATAAGCTAAGATATAAATAAAAACCTAGTATATAGTATTAAGAAGGGTCTTATTAAATGCCTATATACTTTAGAATAAGACTATAAAGAATCTTAAAAATATAGATAAGGTTTTTCTTTAAATACTTTAGTTTTTCTTTATTTTATAATTAATAAAGGTATTAGATAGGTTATTTAGCTTAATTAGTATATAAAAATTATTATTATTAAATTAGGTAGTTTTATTCTTATTTATATTTAGGTATATTAGTTTTATTATTATATAGATATATATAAAAAAGATTAAACTTAATACCTTTTTTTATAAATAATATATTTTTAATTATAAGTTAAAACTATATTAATATAGAAAAAAACTAGAAAGTATTTACTATATTCTACTAAGTTATTTAGTATACTAAACTAGGCTTAGATTATTATAAAAATAACTTTAAAATAGATAGAATATTTTATTAATACTAAACTATTTAAAGAATTTTATAATTATTATTAAGTAATTATACTTATTTATTAAATTACCCTAATTAAACCTTATAATCCTTCTAGTACCTTAATAAACTTATAAGTACTAGAAAAACTATAGTAGTAAACTTATACTTATACCTTACTATACTAAGCACTATCCCTACTTAGGTAAAAACCAGCCTCTCTTATATACTAATCTACTATTATATAATAATTCCTAGTAGGTTTAATAGTATTTAGTATTCTTAGTAAGTAAGTTCCTAGGCTACTACCTTAATATATATCCTTCTATATCTTCTATAAATTATTAACTATCTAAGTATATTAATTTACTTACTATCTATATATATATCTAAGTAATAAAATAGTCCTTTACTATTAGTACCTTTTATAAGGTATATATTATAGTATTATTAAGGTGTATAAGATGCTTAAGTGGAAAGTCTATTAAACACAAGTTATAAGTAGGAAAAGTAGATTAAATAGGTAAAAGAAGAAGGAAGAAGAATTATAGTATTAATTACTATAAAGATTATATATAAATTATATAGAGGGATTACTATACTTTATAGCTAGAGACTATAAAAACCTTTCTTTTACTTCTAAATAACTACTAAATACTCTAATATAGAGTTAATATAGGTATTCTAAAGCATCTAAGAGGAGGTGTTAAAGGCGTTCTAGAGTATCTAAGAGTTATATAACTCCCTTATATCTTATATAATAGTTATCTAAATTATATAAAAGTAAGTCTATTATAATAGGAAAAATTAGGGTATTTTTATAATATATATAATTATACTATTATCCCTTATATCCCCCTATAAAGAGTATATCTTAAATTTATATCTCTTTAAGTAAAAGTATTATAAAATAGGAAAAATTATATATATAAAATATATAAAAACTTAGTTATATATAGGAATTTAAACCTATTATTATATAGTATTATATTATATATAGGGATTTAAACCTATTATATAGAGTATTTTTATAGTATATAGGAATTTTAACCTATTATAGTATATAGGAAATTTAACCTATATATAACAGACTGGCCCTATAGGGGCTTCAGTGGCAACTAGCACCGCGGCTGTTAGTAGCCTTATAGCCATAACCCTCTTAACTATAAGGCTAAAAGGATTCATAATAATAATACTAGTACGATTATTATCTAGTTACACCTATAAAGGTTCTCTTCTACGCTAGCTACTATAGAAGGTGCTAGGCTAGAGCCTAGCTTATAACACACTTTCTCTCCCTAGCGTGCTAATAAATAGGCTATAAATCCCCTAGATAAGCCACTACCTATAAGCCTAGGCTAAGGTCTATATATAGCGCTAATCTACCTTCTATTATAATAGCTACCTACTATACGGTTTAAACCTATAACCCTAGGGTAGTACTATTATATATAATAGACTAGCCCTATAAGGGCTTTAGTAGTAACTAGTACTATAGCTATTAGTAGCCTTATAGCTATAACCCTTTTAACTATAAGGCTAAAAGGATTTATAATAATAATACTAGTATAATTATTATCTAGTTATACTTATAAGGGTTCTTATATAAAGGAGTTAGGCTCGAGCCTACTCTAGCTAGACTTAGCCTAAGGCTACTATAGGCGTATTATAACCAATAGGGCATATATAGGGTAAGAGGTAAAGTTATTATATTATATAACTTCTATTTAGTTATATAGTATAGGTAAATACTAAATATACTAGGTAATAGGAGATTATTCTTCTAGCTTTAAAGCTACTTATTATTACTCCTACTTAATCTATATTAATTAGGAAAAATAACTAGAAATAACTATAAAGAATAAAATAATAACTATAAGGAATAAAATAATAACTATAAGGAAAAGTAGTAACTACTATAGCTATTATAATATACTATAATAGTAGCTTAATTCTCCTACTTACTAATAGGTATAATAGTACCTATTAGTATACCTAAGTTACCTTTTTCTTCTAAGTATAGGGTAGTTTATAATTATACTAGGTATAGGGTAGCTTATAGTTATATTAAGTATAGGGTAGCTTACTACTATATAGGGGGCCTTACTATTATATAGAAGGCTTTATAACTATTATATTTTTTATTTTTTACTTATAAGGTAATTTAACTTAAAAACCTATATAAATAAATTTTATAAAAAATAAAAGTTATACTATAAACTATATTTAATAGGGGCACCTTATCCTAAAGGCTATAGAATATATAAGGGACTACTAGCTAAGGTATACTAGGTACTATACTAGTACTAAGTATATTATAGTAGTATTATACTAGTACTAAGTATACTATACTAGTATTATACTAATATTATACTAATACTAAGTATACTATACTAGTATTATACTAGTACTAAGTATACTAATTAACTATAATAGTCCTAAGAGTAATAGAATAGTAGTAGACTTATAAAGGCTTAGGCTTTTATAAGATTATAGCTATAAGAAAGCCTTAGTAGCTATAAGA